TCAATTTAAAGATTACGTTTAACAGATCGTAACCNCTTTTCATCTCATTGCCGCCATTGTTTGCTAATTTGATTTAAAGAGTCTTGTCGGGTAACTTTGCTCCTTTAATTCCGGTTGAAGTACCTACTCAGTATTACTACTTTGGTTGTGGCATAATATTTGGACCGATTTTTTTGCACTGCACTAAATTTATTTTCATAGCATAGTTACAGTTTGGAGCATTATCTGAAGATTACAGTAGATGGATTATTGCTAATAATTATACCTTTTTGTAATCGTAGTTATCAATATGATAGCGGTTATACTTTAATTCTAGTGTTGCTATCATGCACGCAAAGTAGATAGACCACTGATACCGTGCTTATGAATAGTTAATTGAGGGAAAATTCTTGATATAATACTTTATTACTACAGCAGTGCTGTATTTATAGTACTGTGTGGTAGCAGTGATAGTTTTTATTAGTGTGACTGATGCAAATAATACCACAGCCATGGCATTAAGATTTTATATTATACTGTATATGAATTATTATTAATTACGGCCGAAGCGGCACCTTAGCAATGGTATAATAATATCACTGCAGAACGATTCAATATTGTTTGATGATCTTGAATGTATACCAAAATTGTTTGGTTAAGAGTTCCTTTAGGAATCGTTGTTGAAATGTAATTTTGAGTAGAGTTTCGAATTTATAAAATGTATTGATACTATCTAATTGTGGCGGATTGATCGTCACTTTAACGTTAGATATATATATATACAGTATGCGTTGGACATCTGTGCCGATACGAGCCTTACTGTATCTCTATCGTTGATTTTCTATCGAATAATAATAATAGTAATAATTACTATTGGCATACAATACGATACATCATATCATTCAATATCATTAGTTAATTACGCGTCTTTATCTTTGGTATTTCATAAGGGATAATGTTGATTCTGTATTTTGATTTATTTAGCGGATGATTTATTATAATAAATAAATAAATACGAAGAAGGCTAATGACTGTAATGAAGAGTAAGTAAAACTGCATCTGCGGTAGTTTTGCTAATTGAATGTTCTCAACGTGTTTCAAAACTTGGTAAAGTCTATGGAGCACCTTTACTCAGCCATGGGCGTTAGCCCATTCCATTTATACATGAAAGACTCCAATACTTGTGTAGCACGTAGAGAAAAATTCAATGTCAAAATGGTACAAGGAAAGTTGGAAGTCTAATCCTACCGTCACTATTAGGCAATTTCCAGTAGTCCATACAGTAAAGTACTACAGTGTATTGCCTCCCATCACAGTGAAAACAGTACATTATTGTACATGAAAGACTCCAATAGTTGTGTAGCATGTAGAGAAAAATCCAATATCAAAATGGTAAAAGAAAAGTTGGAAGTCTAATCCTACCGTCATTATTAATTAGGCAATTTCCAGTAGTTCATACAGTAAAGTACTACAGTGTATTGCCTCCCATTACAGTGAAAACAGTACATTATTGTACATGAAAGACTCCAATAGTTGTGTAGTATGTAGAGAAAAATCCAATGTCAAAATGGTAAAAGGAAAGATGGAAGTCTAATCCTACCGTCATTATTAATTAGGCAATTTCCAGTAGTTCATACAGTAAAGTACTACAGAGTATTGCCTCCCATGACAGTAACAGTACATTATTGTACATGAAAGACTCCAATAGTTGTGTAGCATGTAGAGAAAAATCCAATGTCAAAATGGTAAAAGGAAAGTTGGAAGTCTAATCCTACCGTCATTGTTAATTAGGCAATTTCCAGTAGTTCATACAGTAAAGTACTACAGAGTATTGCCTCCCATGACAGCAACAGTACATTATTGTACATGAAAGACTCCAATAGTTGTGTAGCATGTAGAGAAAAATCCAATGTCAAAATGGTAAAAGGAAAGTTGGAAGTCTAATCCTACCGTCATTATTAATTAGGCAATTTCCAGTAGTCCATACTGGAAAGTACTACAGAGTATTGCCTCCCATGACAGTAACAGTACACTATTCTACATGAAAGACTCCAATAGTTGTGTAGCATGTAGAGAAAAAATCCAATGTCAAAATGGTAAAAGGAAAGTTGGAAGTCTAATCCTACCGTCATTATTAATTAGGCAATTTCCAGTAGTCCATACTGGAAAGTACTACAGTGTATTGCCTCCCATTTTACAGTACATTATTCATACATACTCACGTCCTGTACTGTACACTGTACGGTACTTGGGTACAGTATAACGGTATCTCCGTTGATCACATGGACACGGCTCGGCCAATCAGATTCAGTTTACCCATTTTCAAAAATTTAGCGGTAGTACTGTACACTGTACAGTATCGGGGTGGGAGAATGATGGTGGCGAAAAAGAAAGTTTTTTCTTGCAGTTCAAATCAATCCATTTGTTGCCACTACGCCGGTTGAACATTGAAACTACTACTGTTCATGGTTATACTATGAGATTCAGTTAGGTTATTGACAGGTTGAGAATAGGCGATTGTACATTCCATGTACAGTATGCGGTCTTCAAAATTTGTTCATTAGAAATACGATGAGATTGCCCGATTCGCAGTACTTAGTACTGTATCGGAGGGTACGCTGGATAGGACAGTACTGTATAGTGCACCAAGTTAGTGTGTGATAAGTATACCACTGTAGAGGGGATCGCCTTGACGATAGCCTTGGGTATGACACAGTACAATGCACTGTGCCCTTCGTCAAAGTGAACTACGGTAGTCTACGACCAGTCGACGGAGAACGCCAAAGACGAGCTTGGAGACGAGAAGAGTAAATTATTTTCAAATTTTCATTGAGAAAAAAATCAATTTCTTATAAGGAATCGCTGAATTACTAGACGATATTATCTGGAAAGGTGAAAGAGTGATTGGTTGATTGAAATTGTGATTCCTTTCCTGGATTTTGTCTTGGTTGAAGTGAATACAAAGAGTGCTCGTCACACTATCGGACTGTCAGAGGAAACTATTTCTACTTTGGTCAAAGAATTTCAAAATTGATTCTACAACATCATTATAACCAAGGTAGGGATGACCACTAGAACAACAGTAATATCTACCTTTATACACTTTAATTCATATTAAAATGACATGGAAGATATACAAAATGGAGAAATTAAAATTGTAACATTCAATGGTGTAAACGATGGAACGTGTATGCTTACTATTTTCAAGCATTCATAGAATACAGTAAGGATTAATCACCATCAGTTTAGCAATGTTATAAACTAGGATCTTGAAATTATAGAGTACAGTCATCAAAGCTGTTTCATACAAGCTACATAAGTTACTATACTGTTCATCAAGAAGAGTTTTTGATTAATATCTTGTCGAAAATAATTCTTGAACTTACGGATCCATTGATGTCAATGATGCATTACCGTTCATAATGGTCCTGTGTAGCAATAAATTGGATTAGCGGTCACTGTTGGCATTCACGCTACTTTACCGTTATACTCGGATATCGCACTGCTAGACTTCTTTCAAAGTTTGCCTAGTCTGTCTTTCATTAATGACGGCTAGATTGGATCTCAACGAATATTGATGAACGATAATCATACCAATTATTTGAAGGAAAATAGACAACTAGGCCTCCATCTGTCTATTTACAACGTCTTTACTTCACTTCAAATTGAAGTTAATCAACTTACTGACTGTAAAATGCTTTAAAGATAAAACTTGACACAACAACAATTCCGTTGTAATTCACTACTATAGGATATTTGTAAATATGTAGTTGTATTCATTTTGTAGAGTATACTAGCCTACTTAGTTTTAGTCAAGATTATAGCCTCAATGAGTTTATGCGATGAAAATTGTATCACAATATCCTACTCACATTCTTAACCCTTAAATGTAGAATATGATATTTATAAATCAGGAGTGTGCTCTAAAAAGCTTGCCAACGATAGCAGTCGATATATCATAGCGTAGTAAAACAGTGAAACATCAACTTCGTATTGAAAAATAGACTCTTGTCCACTGTATTTTATTGATACTGTAAAAAATTACGACTATTGAGATATGTTTGCAGGGTGATATTTTAATACGACTTAGCCTATTACATCAAATTCAACAGTTATATTCTGATTTATGCTGTTACAGTAAATGTGCAACAATTTGCATTAAATTTGTTTGTATGATGACATGATAAACTTACATTCGATATCCGGTAATAATTATACAAAACTCGGTATCAACTACAAACTTAAAAAACAGTCAAAGATTTTCTCATAGCCAAACTCATATAATCATTATTTACATTGAATTCTTTCATTAGAACATATAATTTATAATTTACTCGTATCATGGCGGATGTCAATATTTGTATCACTGGTTTTCAAGTTGCCAGCAATTGCGAGCTTGACTTGGCTTTGAAGGTAAATTGATTGACTCAATACATGCAGTCTTTACATGATACGATACCACATGGTCATCATGATTGTTTTCACATGGCTTACTTTTGAAAACTATGTACTAGAATTTCTAAGATTGCTACTATACACCATGCAAAAGTTGAAGGTCCATTCCAGAATTACTAAACTACTCTTATATGCCAAATTAAACAATTTCTCCTTTACTAGAAAATGAACGCAGTTACACGCAACTGTAAAGACGAAAATGAAATTAGTCAACTCTTGCAAGACAAAAGCAGAGACTGGTTCTTCCTACTTGATGACTTTCAGGGTCCACTGTTTGACATGTTGAAACTAAAGCGGCAGAGGTTATGATCTTAAGCTTATCATTAATCGAATCTTTGTATGATAAAACAATCAACGTTCCATCTAAATAAGAGTTCAATGTTACGCAATGATGTAGGATAATTGGTCCGCCGATCGTCTTATCTTGCGCTGACAGTAATCAGGTAAAAATTATATGTCTATAATCATACCTGTTGTACATTAGTGTAGAAAAGTTGATAAGCTATTCATTGAGTTTGAAAGTATGTTTTGTCTATATCTGCAATGAAATAGTTAATCAATTTTATGTAATTTTATAATACATATAAAACATTTATGCTGTTATGACTGTAATAAGATATGAATATTTACTTATATAAAACGTCCATGTCATAAGATTACACTTATCATGCTAAGAAATACAAAAGAAGACATCATTTATGCTTAGTAATTGTCAATAGCATCCTATCTGTTTGTGATACATTTCGTGTTTTAGAAAAAGTAATCTAGATTTTAAAAAATTTTTTTTTATGTAATTTCACCACGTACCAGTCATTACCCAACTGTATTAGGCCATTATATTGTACATTATTGCAAGGAACGATTTTATGCTTTACCGGCTTTAAAGAGAAAGATGCAATTGTAAGTATTGTCGATTGCATTCAATTAAGAAAGAATTTATATCATTTTAGTATTTTAGCATAATTTATATTAAATTTTATTCAGTTAGCATCTTTTCTGGAAATTTTTCTTCATGTAAATTCTATAGTAAAGATAATGTTGCTGTTTCATAGGCAAAATTAGTAAACATGGTACATTTTATGGGAGCAAGTATTCGTAAGGAAATGACTGCAAGGGTAACTCATCTTATTGCTAACACAGTTCAGGGTGAAAAATATCGTGTAAGTAAATATCTCCCTACCACATCGCTATATTATTTCGGTTACGATTGTGTGGTAATGGCAGAAAATCAGATGCTTATGATTGATAATGAATTATTAGCTATAGTCATTCATGCGCTATTGACAAATTTGATTTTGGAATTTTTAACTGTTGATGAGAATAGGCAGCAGTAAATTTTGGCGCTGCTATTATGTCAGAGCAGTGGATACACGAATTCTGGGATAGGAAGATGGAGAGGTTACAATAATAATTTAATATATACATTTAAAGCTGTAGTTACTAGAAGTAAAGAGAATAAAAATTATCGTTTTCTAACTGTTGCTGATCGCAATGTCGTATATGAATAAAATAAAAATATTGCCACTTTCAGAGGTTTGACTTTGGATGATCTGAAATTGGTGAGTATACAGTATATACCATATTTTAACTTTTGTATAGTATCATTGCTATTTCAATGTATAATGGAAATTGATAGCTACTTATCAGAGTTTAAAATCTTTTTTAAGATGGCTCATCGGTTAACGCTTTTTCATGGATGCCATATTGCCTTTCACGGATTTTCTAATACCGAGCGACAGCAAATGGAAGAGAATGCTAAGACACAAGGTATATCTAGCTTAACGTTTTAAAATCTATTTAATCGAATTATGATACTAAAATTATAGCTAGCGTCATGTGCTTTTAATCTTTTATTTTACTAGGAGGTAGACCTACAACTATAACTGATGTAAATTGCACTCACATTGTTGTTGAAAATCCAAATACCGAGATTTCCGAAAATATTAGTATTAAAGCGAAGATTGTTAAGCAGGAGGTAATACGGAATTTTTTAAGCTACAATTTATACGACAGTATAATACAAGACTGTTAACAATTTTGGCTGGTTTTTATTGAAATTTGTAGTGGTTTTGGGAAAGCATTCAGTTAAATGCATGCGCCGATGAATTACTATATTTGATAAGAAGGGTAAGTTATACAATCGAACTTTGACATTGATACTGCCGTATCTGGTTATACGCATCTTTAACCATTAATATTTTTTGGGTTCAGTCTGATACCACTCCTTTAGGAAACAATAGTATGAATACACCTGGATCTGGATTAAGATCTAGAAAACGTCGACGTGGCAAAATTGATTTGTCGGAGCTATTAACTCGTGGAGATTCGCATAATAGTTTACTAGGCAATGTTTTGGATTTGTCAGTTAGTATGCTTGAAGCCTCAGGAATAAACTCTGGCCAAGGTAACGTAAAATGAGTTTTAACGCTGTGTGTTATTAATTACTGTTATGCTATAATCGTATTTATTAGTTCATTACAAAGCTATAAATTACATTAATCAAGATTAATTATCCCTTTTCAGCTACACCATCTGGCGTACTATCTCCTCGTCCTCCTCTACTACATCATAGCGCAAGTGTGTCTTGCTGTAATACGCCGTTAGGAATTAGGGATAAGCGACATACTGCTCGTAAACAAGTTGTTATGGAACTTCTACAAACAGAAACTAATTACGTTGGTATTTTGAATACAATTATAAACTTGTTCAAATTACCATTGGAGCAGGATCAAAGAGGAGGTCCTATGCTTACACCAGGAGAGATTAAAACTATTTTCTCTAGTATACCAGAAATTCTCGATGTTCATAAAATAATCTTGGTAAAAATATTAGAGATTGATAATCTAGTCTTTTCATCTAAGGTAAAAGGATTATATAACGCCAGAAATATTCATTACTTGACATTAGGAATCTTTGCAACAAAACTTGAATAACTGGACCGAAGAATGTCTTACTGGTGAAATCTTTACAAAAAATGTTAGCATTACCATTATAGCTGTTACACTTACTAGATTTCTTTTAACATGTTTAATGTTTCTTTGATCTGCATGTAATTACGGTATACTATGATGATGACGTCATTGGATTAATTTCTTGATAGGCTGAGGCTTTACTTAAAGCTTACCCTCCGTTTGTTAATTTCTTTGAATTAACCAAAGAAACACTCGAGCAGTGTGATAAAAAGTACCCTAGGTTTCATGCATTCTTGAAGGTACAGTATTGACTCTACTATTGATAAACTGTATACTGTGAAGGTTCGAGATAAAGTTTCCTGATTTATTAGTTATGTCAGAATAAGCCGGAATGTGGACGACAATCCTTAGTTGAGCTTTTAATAAGGCCCGTGCAACGATTACCGAGCACTATCTTGCTATTACAAGGTACAATACTTTTTCTTTGTTAATTGTCAACAAATCCTAGAAAGAGATGATTGTTTGATTATAATCTACTGTTTTACTAATTCTGCTTTAGATATAATGAAACATACATCTGCGACCAATCCTGACTGTACCAAGTTGGAAGAAGCAATAAGTTCTCTCAGGAATGTTATGACGTAAGTTTGGGGCTTATTTACAGAGTTATGCTAAGAAAATTGTGTGTTTTGAAAGGTAATTAATAAATACAATTGCAACAACCTATTATTGATATCCAGACATATTAATGAAGATAAAAGAAAAACTGAAGGACGAATGCAAATGTTTGAAATTGTTAGGGACATAGAAGGATGTCCTGTATGTATAGTATAATGGATCATTATTACAAAAGATTTATATTTAAATGATTTCTGGTTGTGATTGTTGCATTTAAAATATTATGACTTTTTTTGATTTACTCGCAATCATGTAGCCTTATTTACTATCCTCCCATCGCTATCTGGTCATGCGTTTCGATATGGTAGCATTAGCAGACGTTTTTTGTAGTAAAGGAGACGCGATGACGATATTCTTGTTTTCTGATAGTATTGAGGTTAGCTACTATTCAGTGAATTCAGACTGAGAAATTTCACTGTAATTGATGTAGTTTCATTATATTGGATACAGATCAGTAAGAGACGTGTCAGTGCTAAAGTTACCAGAACACCCAGTTCAGCATCAAATTATGCCCTTCCTATTGGAAAGAGTCCTCTCAAGGCTTCATTTGGTAATAAGTTGATGTATAAGCATGTCGATTTCATGCCGTTATCCTATGTGAAAAGAGTTGTAGACGTAACGGATACTGAAGGTATGGGAGAGCTTTTACGAAATTAAATATCTTTTATAGAATGTACAATTTTTAATAAATATTTACTGTTATAAATATTCTGTAGAATGTAGCGGTATGTTTGCATTTATATTCCGATCACCAACCGATGTGAAGGAAAAACTAGCTATCTTCCGTTTAATAAACAACGAAGATATGACGAAAGACGAAATTTTACGGAAATTTACTAGATGTCTCGCGGATAATGCTGCTCTGCTGACTCGGTAACGTTTAATAGGGGTGATGTCGTTGCCAATAGGTGGTGCTATAAGTGACAGTGTAACTTTACGTTTTAGGATAATTTTCTAACGACGGCAGATTCTCAAGAAGTAATGCTTTCAAAGAAGGATTTACATCTGGATTCGTTTAGTAGCAATTTATTAAGGTTTGTAAGTTACTGGATTTTAATTCTTTATGATATTGATGGTTCTCAATTCGATCGCTACAACGTTATTACGTAACAGAGCTGCAAAAAAGACAACCAAAAAGGTTGGTCGGGCTTTTTCCATTAGCAAAACCCCTAAGAGAAATACGTACAGACGTACAACGAGGTTAATAAAGCCTAATTTAAGCCTGACGTTTCATGAATTACATTTAGTCATTTTATGATAAGGAATGTAATATTTCATATTATAGTGCTATAGCTAGTCCATTCATCACGCCCGTATCCGGTACTGTAAATTCATCGGAATGCCTTGATGTAAGTATTAGTACAGCTTTGATTTTAACCTACTATTATACACGTATTTTCGATGATTGAAAGGCAGTTGTTATTTCTATAATAACAGAAGGTGTTTTTATTCTAAAGGATATGAGTTCTCCTTTGCCTTCTCGAAAACGGGTTGCTTTATCTACCAATATTTAACCTGAATTATATGGTATTCCGGTGCCTAAAGTGAAATTTTCTTAGTTGCATGACTAATTTATAGCGATAAGGCGCTTCTAATTCACGAGAGCTATTATAGTAGATCTATTTGTAAATGTTAATGTAGATATTTTACCATAATTAATTAATAACTCACAACGAACTACGTGCATTTTATTATTAGCTTGATGATATGTAATGTTATTGTAAACTTTACTGTGCAGAAATGCATAGGTATTGTTATAGTGTAATCGTAACTAGGTACGTAGCTACATGCAATTTGATGTTTCGTATATAATGCCTATAGCTGTATTTTTAAGGAGGTGTAAATTTAATAAATCATTACAACTACAGCACATACTCATATCGTTTCTTGTTTGTCTATCGTTCATTCTATAAGTTACTTTACCATAGCACTTTTGATAAGAAATAACGTTATTACGTGGTTATCTCTACTTTCTAAAACTTTACAACGAATAGATATTATATTAAAAGTATTTTGCACTGTACTTCATTCCGGACAGCAATTACAGTTAATTAATTACTTAGCTGCACACCTATTGACAATAGAGAACTACGCTAACCTGTACCTAAATCTAGTAAACAATCACAGTAACACACTATTTTTTTCGCATACTTAAGCCAGCAGGAAGATGCAATTTACTGCAGTACAGTTGTATGATTCATAGCGAAATTTTTGTTGAAATCCTTGTTATTGCAATTCGAAGGTGTTACAAAATTGTTTACTAGCAATACTACAATCGAAGGCTATATAGGAGAGCGTTCGATCAAGATCGCTCTAATTTGGCTAAAAGAACAAGCCGTAGGTACAAAGTGAACATTTAAAAAGGTACATTCACACGATGAATTTTTTAGAGATTTTTTCGTGAATTACTTTCGGACAGGTAAGTAAGTTCGTTTAATATGGATACTATACTAGTATGCTTGCTTTATGTTTCACCCAACGTTTGAATTTTATCTTCTTAGGTCGTCCGATTTATGGACAGTTGGGTGGGGAACATGGCTAATGGTTGCAATCTCACTCGAACATTTTAATCTTATTTTTTCGGTCGTCCAACTTATGGAGAGTTAGGAGGGCCGGAAAAATAAAATTCAACTACATCCATAGGTATGACTGTTGTACGATAAGCTGTTCTTAGGCTTCCATAGAATATGCAATAGCATAATAATTTTCTGTATTTAATTCTTTAGTGATACAATTGCGATGACAGTTTGACGGCTAGCTCATATTGAAAATATCCACTCGAACGCAGGAAAATTTCCAAATCTGCAATTTCATGCTTTACCTTCAATATCTTCATTATCGATGATGCCGTACTATTTTAAACTGTTTTGACTACACCAATAGCGGCATACAGTAATGCAGGATGCATTAGAGATTTATATTATCAATACGTGAAAACAGTAGTGGGTTATAATCCCAAGTAAGTTGATGTGCGCGTAATATAAATTTATTATTCGTAGGTTAACTGAGATAGGAGTAAATTTTTTCATGTACTGCTTCGCACCAATTATAAAATAGCAACATTGCTACAAACTAGTAATCATCTATAAGACAGTTCTTACCAACACCGATATTTATTAGCACCACTCGATGTAAGGTAGACTGTAAAACATTACAGTCAAAACGCTACAATTAGAGTTTTCAGAGTAACAATGCACTTTTATCGTAAACAATATTCGAAGTATTTAAAGCTACGCGTTGTTTCGTAATAACTAAAATAATGATAGCATATTATAATGAAATTCGTAATATAGGCCGACATGGCGTATTATTTTTAAGGTTTGCTATACGTTCATATCTGACACTGTATATTTACCACAATTGGCATTATCTATACTCGTTACGACACCAATATTTTAGAATATTCACATAGAATACTTTTAGGTGTAATAATATATTCACCACTTCTCATAGAATAAAAATCCTATCGTTATAAACACTACTTACTCATATTTACATAACTTTACGTCCGCGTTATGGCTAAATATATAGTTATATATATGTATCAATATCCCGCAAATAATAATTTCACATAGGGTGAAATCAAATAACAAACATTATGACAATAAAACCACATGGCCTAGCATCTATATTGCTATCTGACCAGTTACAATGTACCCCTACAGTAGTCATAGTTGTTCATGGTCATGATTAACTTTGAAATTGTGACTGAAATTTACAATACTGTATAAATATCGAGATTTTTAGTAGCTAACGGTACATTGCATTGTTTTAATGTTCGACATTAAATATATACGAAAAAAGATAATCTAAATCCGAAAATGGTAGATAGCACGAAATATCCCGGAGTCTATCACTAATTTACAAGTATATATTACTCTACCGCCCAAAAAGACAATTCAAGATTCTTACAAAGGCAATTAGGATTAAAATAAAATAAAAAACTACAATTTTGCAGTAGTAAAACAATACTCTGAGCAGTATTACTTCCAATCTAGAGATTTTGTGTAATAGTATAATAGTAATAGTATAGTGATAAAACATAGTACAGAATGATCTAAATATCCAAACGAAAAATTGGGTTTTCCGTAGCGTAAATCCTGCGCTCTACTAGATTTTTCAATTTAGTAACTATTTTTCAATTTTTTCTTTTGAAGCGACCCATATTGTAGGCCCAGATTCATGATTAATAACCGCTTTAACGTTTTCTAACAGATCATCTAAAGTCTCACCTTGCACCATAGCTATTCAAAATAAACATTAAAACAAACAAATATTAACGATTACGATCAGGAATTTTATGCGTACCTATTAAATCAATTGAACTACGCACTAGTGAAATATTCCGCGAATTCTTGTTCTGTTTTTTGAGCTCGTTCGAAGGCTTTTCGAGCTTGATCGGCGGTCATTCGTTTTAATTGTTCTCTAAATTCCAAATAAATGTTCACGTTTATTTAGTCTGTTGCATTAGCATAGCAATGATAAGTTTAATTATATATAAATTTATCAAAAACAGGCCCTAACAATAATGATTTGGGTGATTTCGGTTTTAAGAAGATAGCCACAGGATCTAATTTTGCAACTTGTAACCTCTTAATTGCGTAACCGCTAACATCAAGCAAGCAATGTTTACCCTGTAGAACGTAAACAAAATCGAGGTTATATTATCGAGGTCAGTCTCGACGTCTGATATGCTTCTAATGTAGAATATGCGGATAGATACAGTACATACACCATACCTTGCGGCAAACGTCCTTGACAGCGGTAACTGAAGTTCCATAAAGGTGCTCATTTAGCTGTCCAGCTTCAATGAAAACATGATTTTGGATATCTTGTTCCATCTCCTGGCGAGACTCAACAAAGTAGTAGTCTTGTCCATGGATTTCACCATCACGAGGTGGGCGTGTGGTATCTTTTATAAAAAATAGAATATCTTAGCTTGCTAACCACAAATGCCTATAGAATGCGCAATATATTGTAAATTACAGTCCAGTAGATACTAGTAAGCATTTATACCATTTTTTGGTAATTGTTGATCTACACAGTATTTGATTGCTAAGCGTCTAAATAATTTACTGTCAAGGTGATGCCTCTTTCCACAATCTGTAATTACTGTTTATTTTATTAAATATCTTACGAGGTACACAGGTTGTTATTCGATCTGAAAGTTCCACTAATAAATCATCGCTTATTCGATCCTTGCAAGGTCCAAGCAAAACAATAGGTCTACCAGCGGTGACTAGTATTTTAAAAAAATATAATTTTTGTATCTTAATGGCATATTGACAGTAAATCATGAATAATCTAAGAAAGTGATGACTTAAATATTCTGTATTTACTTTCTTTTTGTATCACAGGTTCATAAGAGAGAATAACATGGCTTGCAAGTTCTAAAAATAAAAAACAATGGTGATATTTTATGGCGTTAATTTTGATATTGTACAATAGCTATAATATCAGCAATTTAAATTGTACTATTGCAATTCATAAGCATAACTTACTGTCATCTTCTTCGGCATTTATTGTTTCAGATGATCTATTTTTTCGATTGAATAGAGGCATCCTTTTGATATAGCTCATACTTTTATTTCGTTTTACTGACACCAATGATACCTGATATTTACATCGTTAATACAATTCATTAATTGTACGAAAGCTAAACATGGTTAGCTAATAGCAAATGGTATGACGTAATAAAATGCTACCCTGCGATCACTCGATTCGTCTAATCCGGAAGATTTACGAAATTTAACACTTTTCAATCGAGACTGTTCTTTCCTTTCAACCCTCTTCTTGCTAGGTATTATTCCACGTCCTTCTTCAGAACTGTTCCAGTTAACTAAGCTTGCTTGCCACCATTCATCATCGCTAGCGTTCGTAATATGTAAGATATCGCCAAAGTTGAAACTTAATCCTTGGCTTGGTAATCCAGAATCATTGTTCTTATCATAGCTAATTAATGCCCTAAAAATATGGATTAATCATTAATGTTTTAACATGCTGTTGATAACATATTACTTTTCGATAATCCTGCTCATCAATTGTCAATACTTTTGCATTCAACGCTCAATATCTTTCTTACCGAACATATAAACTTTTCTTCGTTGGTGCCTTTAAACTAAGTGTACTGGCACTAGCGGTAGGATTTAACATTAGCTCACGTATTGTGGCAATATTCGATTTAAGGCGGCCAAAGCCTGTAATGAAATGTTAAAAATGAAGACTTGAAGGTAGCAGTAGAGAGCTACCGTTTGTTAATAAGCTAGTGGTCCGAAATTTACCTTCCGGATCGTGCACCACAGCCAAATTTACCGGTGATTTAGCTTTCTTGATAATTTCAACAGCTTCATCGTGGTTTGCTTCTGATAAATCAGCACTGTTTACCTGTACACATACGTATGCAAGTTTTATTGAAGAATAATACTAAATATGGATAAATGCTATCCATGTTTACATGTAATTAAAATAACAGTATAATTCGTTACTGATTCTGATAATTTTTGTGTTGTATTCAAATGGATCTAGATGAGCGTCATTAGCTAGATTTTAATATTTATATTTAGTTTATGCACACTATATATTTATGATTTAATAGCATTTACCAGATGGGAAAAACGAAGGATCATAGAGTACTTATACTGAAGTGCGTTACCTTGAGTAATCATATGTATAATAATATTCTTATGTAGGTATATTATATAAAATGTTGGCGATAATTAAAAGATTAAAGAAAACTTGTTATAAGAAATACTTTTGGGTAACAGATATATACTAAGGCGTCAGGTGAATTATATAATTAGTCTAAGAAACGAGCTCCGCTGACCCGTGACATTCCTATTCATTGTTATGTGAAAGTCATATCATAAATACATAGACTGTATATGTGTATATTCGCTTTGCAAGCTTAATGGTGTATTATATTTCATACTGTATTGATTTTAAAAATAGTATAATGCAAGCTATATACAATCACAGCTTTGATTATAGGCTATAATTAACGCTAGACTGATATCAATAATATTTGTATTACTTATCAAAACTCATCACATAAGTTTATGACTTGCATCCGTAAATGCTAGATATGGAGCAGCACTGCTTAATATAAAGTATGAACAACAATGGCTGCTATGTATCAGTATTACCTGCAATATCTTATCACCAGGTTGCAGACGACCATCTTCTTCTGCTGGTCCTCCGTAAGATATAAACGAGACGTAGATACCTTGTGCATTATCACCTCCCACAATATTAAATCCTAGACCAGATGGCCGTCGGTTTAATGTTATTCGTCGTGATTGACTACGCGAGTGCATGCATAACAGTTAGTTGAGTTTAAAATTAATAGTTACATTGAAATTGAACGAATTACTACGCCAAATTGTTTAGAAAGCTAATGTAAGATTAGACTCATGACTGTTACTATAGCATGTTTTTCGCTTAATGATCGAGTAGGTGTAAGTTCCATAGCGGTACAATTTCGTTTCATAAATGCGAGGACCTCTACTAATAACTGCTAAGTGTCAAAATTTGGTTGCAAATAGCAAGTATATCTATCGTACCTATTATCATCAGCTGACGAAGATGATTGTAGCGCTGCCGCTATCTCAGTCGACTCTGGTGGTGATGATGAAGGGGCAGTTTGAGTTTGTTCCTGTATTTTCTTATCTTGTTTTTTGTCTCTTGAACCTACAGTAAGTTAGCATGAAATTACTTTAACTCTTTTTTCGGTATTATGAATTTTATCAACTAAGACTTTAGCTAAACAGCAATTTCTAGGTAAGAATTTGTAACATCTCGTAAAGTAAGGCAATTGCTATGATATCATTAGTGCTGGAGAGGAAAAAAATACGGTACATAAGAACAAAAGCAACGAACTTCATGCAAGACTGCTGTAGAACTCCTTTTTGACTCTCGTGGGGAATGAGTATGAATGGAAAGAAGGAAGGAGTAATTGAAATAAATATTAAAAATTATTACTCCAGAGAAGAAAGAATTCCTGATCCTTTTCCGTGGTAAATAAAAGTACTTTATTTATCTTTTATTACTTATTACATAGTTGATAATAAGCACACCGCAAGGCTAAAAATCCACTATTACAGAATTTAGTAGTAAACTTCCGACACTAAAAATATTTACGAAGAAAAAAGTAATATCACAATCGCTTATCGGGTACATAAAATTCTATGTGAGACGATACGTATGTCATGAGCACACCATGTTTAAGGGTTAGAGTTAAAAAAAACATTAAAATTTTGCCTGTTTCAATATATATTAGAGCCAAACCAAAGGAGTCTAGCAGTGCTACATGAAATGTTGCTCTTCATAAAATAACTTATGAACTACCTGAGCCATCCTTGCGTGGGCGTGGCTTAACAACTACTAAAGAAACAACGTCAGCAGTTTCTTTTAATATAGCAACAGCCTCTTCGTGGGTTACATTTTCCAAAGATAGTGTGTTAACCTAAATTAACCAATTCAGCAACAATTAATGAACGCAGTTACAATAAATGAATTCCTATCAATAAGGCTATCTTGACAATTTCATTTGTGTCTATTATTAGATACAGTAATCAATCTGAAAGAGTAAGTTGTAATTTACCTTGGTAATACGATCACCGACTTCTAGGCGACCATCTTGAAAGGCAGCACCACCCTCGATGATTTTAGTAACGAAGATACCATTATCGTTTATGATATGTTGGTTACCGACTCCACCGGCAATACTGAAACCGAGACCTTGTACAAGAATAGAATTCATTTTTTCAAATTGATCGATAGTTTTAAGCCTGTATTGGTACCTAAGCAATAGTATAGACCTCGATTATATGGCTTACCTTTATCCTCTTTATGAAGAACAATGTTCATCAGTTGTGATGCATCATAGTCCTTTACAGGGAATCGCTTAACTCTCTATTGAAGTATAATTATTTATATACGTATTATCTATTACTGATTTTCAGTATTAGCCTAGCTAGATTCAATTGGAATATACAAACTTTATTACCAGTAGTAAGTACTAACCAATTTAACTTCGCTACCGGCTGACTTCAAAGCATCAACACAAACTTGATGGGCAACATCTTCCATAAGTTGATCATCAACAGCAACGATCGTATCATAAACTCTAAAATGATGAACGTCAAGTTTTGTTGTAACTATTTGTAATAGATCTTTTCCCATTGATATTTTTGATGTCTTACAAAATTTGACTTACTTAAGTCTTCCGTCAGCTTCAGCAGCGCCACCAGGAATAACTTTGGTGATATATATGCTTGTATCGTTGTCAAAGTGAGGATTATCGGTACCACCAGCGATGCTAAAGCCCAAACCGGAGGAGCCCTAACAAAGATATTATTGTGATGTTAAGGGAAGATTCAATTTTCAATCTATCTCACTTTTTTAACTTACCCTCAATAGTACTATATCTAGGTATTGCACTTCGTTAACGGCACCATAGTCAAACTATAAAAAATTATGATTATCAGATCGGTATGTATATATTCGATAAATATTAGCTAATTTAAAATTAAAAATTTGTATACTTACATCTCCAATATCTTGGTTATTTGCTTCCTATTCAGAATATATATATATATATATAGATTTATTACGATGAAGATAGACTACAGATATAAAGTAGAAAATTGTAATTGTTAGGTATGATTTTTCGACCTTTTCTTCTTCCTCTTGTTCATCTTGTGGAGGTTCTCCTTTCTCCAAAACGTAAGCATAATAGTCGCGGACATCTATATATACAATAGTACAAGGTTGTAGCGTTACATAGACACGACACTAAATGTGGATTCATTGAAACTAACTATTCGTAGTAGATTAACGACAATGTTCGCGATCGAATTGCAATCTGTCGTTAATGTAGTTTATAGTACTACGTGTGACCTCATTGTTCTAGTGAGGCTTCTATCAGTTTTTGAGAATCATTGACAAATGTTATGTAAAACATTAGATAGTACATTACTATAGTGATGACTACTATCATCATGGTGTACGTACAGCATAGTACTGTTTTCATATCATCTTACTTATCCAATGTATCGGTTGCATCCAGCATGTTAATATATACTTGATGACCGATATGATTTTTTTGGGCGTTATCAAAACACTGTACTGTATAGTAGGTGTACTGGTGAATCAATATATTGTCTATTGTACAGTATTGTACTTTAATCAACCAATTTGGTCATTCTAAATCAAGGCTTAACTACTACCATCTATCACAGATGCATCTTGTCACATAAAAGTAAATAGATGGGAAACTATGCCTAACGTCTGGCTATTCCATTCGATCGATGTTGTCGCAAAAATTGGAACGCTGACGGTACGTCATTATACTGTACAGTTGCACCTGTCGATGGTTTGGGTTGTTGCATCACTGCGGCATTTAGACAGTATTAGCCATTATATATGGAGTAAAATTGCAATCATCAGTACAGATAGTAGTATAACTACAGTGTTTACGCTACTTTCCATTTCAAAACATATCTAGAGTTTACCATCTGGTACACCCAAAACTTTTTTTTGACGACTTCCAGTACTGTACTGTACTATCTCGATCAATATTGAGGTGCGTTGGTGTAGATGGGCGTGGACCGGTCCAACCCTATACTGTATTCAATGACGGTATGATATTACTTGTGGGGCCCCTTGCTACAGTATACAGGCTGCACTCTGGCGTAGCGGCGCCTATTCTCATCCAAGACAAAACACTGCCGCTGTGTTGAGAGTGACCCGGACGGGCCACGATCGCCACAGCAATTCAAAATTAACATCGATTGTCTTATTGTCGGCTCGTCAGACAAGTGACGTAATACAATACAGTACACAATGCAATTCACTGTACGATACCGCTTCCAGGGATTGTACTGTACAGTATGTGTCAGTTATTATTATTATTATTATTATAATGATCAAAGCAGTTCATTAATTTATACAGTACGTATTGTACGCGCCAAGGTGAAGGCACCACTCGGCTGACCTGGAAAAACGCCGACACGCAAAATGACACTTGAACTACTGTATGGCGCACAACACTCTGCAACATGTGACTACGCACTGTAGAGTGACACAACAGTTGCACATACGTACAGTACTGTCAATCTCTTCATTGTCCGTAAAATCTTCTTTGCAGTACAGCGTGATTCGCTTCTTTTTCGCCATTTTAGCATCGAAAATCAATATTATCCTCGTACAGTAAATATCGCTTGAGAGGTAATTCGGCAATTAATTCCCAATATTCACCCAATTAATAGTTACTTGTTTTTGTACAAATAAAATGAATGACACCGTAGTACAGTACTAGAGGCATGCTCGGTAAAGGGTAAACTAACCAAGGATTAAGCTCGATTGAATCAGTTATAGAGAAAAATGAAAAATTATCGAGCATAAAATTGGCCAGCATGGACACTACTAAAAATTATGCTTAGATCATTCATATACAGTTGTTGATGGCAATACAAAAGACCAGTAAATCAACGGCATTATACGATGGTTAAAATACTCATTACTGTAACTTCATATTCAGTAGCATCGCCGTAAAACTCTTTTACAGTTCGCTATTGTAACTGAACCTTGACTGTCTTATGAGACTACAGAATTAATTAGCAACAAGATACAATTAAGCAAGGAGATCTGTAATCGACTACTTTATGGTACTGTGTACCTTCTACGGAGTATGTATTGCATTTTTCAATTGAAGCGGTGATCCAAAACTACTAAGCGGATGAATTTAAGATGGGCAATGATTTCATGGATAAAATAAGAAAAGAATTCAAGACTGGATCAATTGTCATAACGAGTCATTAGCGATGAGTGAGTTAGAGTCATGAGTACATTGATAGCTAAATAATCTGGGTCTGTTAATCCCAACTCTCAAGCATAGCAGGGTTGACTTTTTTTAGTAATCCCTAGCTGTACTAAAATTACAAGTAAAAAGGATCGCTTCTGAAAAAAAAAAAACCTGTACAAAACGTACTTAGTAGGCAGTCTTGAGGCTAGCAGAGTTACGGTATAAAGTATGATGCAGTCTTCCTTTGTCATTATCACCGAAGGCGGTACAGCAATGCAAGGTGTAATGGTGTTAAAAAGCATACTCATGTTGATCCTTTTTTAACTTTGTTAGTTAATCACTAATCATGCCTACGATAGCAAAAGATGGATGGATGGATCAAGGCAGAGTATGGTATAGGACAATCCTGTATGCCTACAGATACAGTATTGAATTGTAGACGTTTTCAGTCATAGTCAAGCATATATGTATACCTTGCTTTCTCGCCGAGTAATACAGTGTCCTCTACAATTTTGGACAAATCGATAGAATTGTCTTTAAAAGTGAGGACTACTTTTCATTCGTGTACAATATCATGTAAGTCAATAATAATGATGACTCTTGGTATCTTATAAAGAATCATAATGTCGTCTTTTTGTAACTACTGCTTGGCTGCCATCAATCATGACCTTATTCGTTAAATTCATTCCGATTGAGTGATGTAGCAAGCGATACACAAGAAAAACGTGAAATACTTGGAGCTGACATGTTTCATAATAATATTGACTCTTATTAAGAAGATCAAATAGAGATCTAGAAAAATTGACGTCTTATAGTAGATATCACCGATTAAGGCAGGTTACACAACGAAAGTAGTGAGTAGAAGGAGAAGGTGTAACGGTCAAGTTAATGCGTACTAAAACGTAAAATTAGAAAGAGTTCAACCTTGCTATACTACTACTAGACTACTAGTACAGGTTGTACTATGAAATTGCGAGCAAATTGTCTGTGTCGGATCAGTTGTTTTAGTGGTTGTAAGCAATAATGATAATTAATTTTTGGTTGCTTTGTTAGATGTCTAATCATCTCATCATGATACCGCATAACGGAACATCAAGCATACCAATGGTGAACTCACTTACCGATTAAAGCACTGAAAAGATCGCTACGAAAGACTTGACTCAAACGGGAAATGGATTCTTTAATGGTGTCTTGCTCTTCATCATCTAAGCTTTCCTTATATTGCTCGAGTACATTTGCTGCTGCGAGCATCACAGAATCTGCAAGAACATAATATCAATTATAATTGTTAGCATTGAGATGGTTTTGGACACAAATCAACACAGACTACCCCCTTACGGTACAGCGTTTGCAGTAAAAGAAAATAATTGGCGATTTGTAGGCACTGTACTGTACATTTTTCTACGCATTGTTTTTACTACGTCCACCCTACTTAACTAACGGAACCAATCAATGCGGTAGCAGCAATATCGTGCTAAAGTGATTTGAATACAGGCTTGACTGTACTAGCTGCAATCATTTTGGACTCCAGATACACATATGATAAGTGGTAATGTAAGTACCAATCCATACACCTGGCGATAAACCTACTGTAGGTCGGTTTAAAATTGAGATTGCAACAGTAAAATTGACTTAAGAGGCTAACGTTCTCTTACCAATGGCGGTATCCATTACATGTGGATACAAACACGATTATGTAAAGTATGTAGTTGTGCAACGTGTAACACCGTTTCATTTCAAGTAAGTTACGACTAAAGAAGAATTTTTCATGAATGGTAATGATATCAAAGTTATAGGGTTATGCGTGATATATTAAGTAGAGAGAAAAAAAAATGACCATGAAAAAGTTTTACAAGGAAAGCCACCGTAAGTACCACCCTAAAAGTGGCTAAAACAATTATTGATTACCGTAATAGTTTCACACCCACCTTTAACTGGCATGGCGTTGCTGTTGGATTCGAAGATGAACAGGAAAACTGCAAGACAGGTGTTAATAAAGCAACGTTAAATTAAGGAAATTTTGCCTTAATGATTAAAACAATAATAAGGCTAAAAGCGACAATATACTTGAACTAGATTCAAGATGGTAGGCTTCCGGTAATAGTTAGCACAAAGTTTTTTGTTGAGTTGTATAGTAAATACGATAGACGAGTACAGTATTTTTCCATGTTGGCTAGTACAGTAATAGGATGTAGTGTGCTCAACTTCTAGCGTAGTCAGTGATGTCAAAACTACAGTAGACTACATCGAATACAATAGTTGGACAGTAAGTGGTACAGATTGATTCATTTCAAATGTATATGATGATCGCCGAGGCTTATGCCTCTCCTTTTTGAATGATTGACGATGAGTGAAAAATAAATCGTCCAGCAAGAGCCAAGGATAGCAAGTTTGTTACCCATGGTCAATTGTTGTACCACCTACGGCCAAAAGCCACAACGCTATCATTTGTACCACCTTAGCGTCATGAAATAACTGTACATGGACAAGTCAAAGTACGCGTCGAACTAGTTGACGGCATCATAGCACTAATCTACATCCTTTAGCATGTCTATTTTATCTTGGAAATAGCCTACGTACAGTCATGATAATATTGTAGCGACTTGATGGTATAAAATGATGTTTTAATGTACAACCAATGCCACTAGTTTACTCACCTTCCTTTTTACAGCTACGTTCCCGTAAAATAGCGAGGTGAAAGCTTTTCGTAAGGGTTTTACAGCCCCAAGCTGTTCGTAGCTGCGTTAGCGGCCTATGGTCAGCCAATCAAATTGACTGATGTTCTATTTGATATACGTGATTGGTCATCAGTCTTCAACAACAGATTTACATTGCAAACACGACAATGACAATAAAGTACATCCAGTACAGTGTACAGTACCTACAGTACAGTACTGTACTGTAATGTAAGACGACGACGCAATGTGTGTCTTGTGGCGAAGAAAAGAATGCACATACTGTACTGTCTAGTCCGTCTTAACAGAACTATTGTATCTAGTGGTTGATGTAGTACTGTACAGTACGGTACGGTACGCTAGCATACAAAAGGCGTAGAGTACTGCCGTACAGGCAATGGACTGTGGCTGTGCAGTGTGTACTGTACTGTACTGTACACTGTACAGTATGACCACTCTTGCCTACAGTACAGTATACTGTACAATACTGTACAGTACTGCAAAAGAAAGTTGAAATCCTGTGGGAGACTCGCGCAGTTGCGCAGACGTATCTTTTTTGGGGGCACCGGTACAGTACAGGACAGGACTCAATGGCTACAGTACGTGTACTGTAATTTGAAGTGAATTAAAGTGCAGCACGTACAGTACTGTACTGTACACTGTACATTGTGCACCACACCAGTGCTCTATACAATCCTATTGTTAATTCAGTACTGAATGGCTAATTTGTTCAACTGCAGCTACACGAGTACGTGTACAGTACAGGACTGAATGGCTAATCTGAAGTTCAACTGCAGCACGTACTGTACACTGAACAGCTAATTGGAAGTTCAACTGCAGAAACTGCGCGATACACCCGCGTCAGCCGACCATGGATTTCGCTAGAAGAAAACCAAAGCTTTACTACTCTACAGTACTATACACTGTACAGTACAGTGTACAGTAGAAACGAACCTTGTCGGTGAAGTACTGTAGACCAGTGACGGAATGTAACCAGTCTTGATCGTCAATAGTGAGTTATAAATGCGAGTAAAAACCAAACGATGATGAGCATTCATTAACTCGTTCAAGTTTCTCAATATAATCAAAAAATCTCATCGTCTGGCACAAAGGTAGAAATGGATCAACTGCATGGTCCTACTACTCCCTTAATATTCAAAAATGACAACTACCCTAACCCGAACATTAGCAGTGTACACTGTAGTTGTCATTTGAAATCTACTGGTCAAAATTGAGCAGTCGATAATACTACACACTACTGAGTGCAGACCTCTGCTTAGTCTGCTGTATTGTACTGTACAGACCGGTATTACCACGCGACTGTATACTGTACACTGTCTAGTTTTACAGCGACTGATAGTTTGTATTCGAGACTTGAAAGAAATAGAATTATTCAATACTGCGATAAAAAGGAATCAAAATATCAAGAGCCAATTGCTCAAGGTTGTACTGATCTGTCTGCATGGCATTGGAGCCAAATAGAAAGTCCATTTCTTCACAATTGAAAGACATAATTTAAAGCAACACTATCGCTGAACATCTTTCAACCATTTTACACTACTGTACAGTACAGTACAGGGTGCGCCACGCCCCTGTGGTAGAGGTCTTAGCCTATCGCGAAACGCTGGTGCACAGTCAGAGGTCAGAGAAGCTTTTTTTTCCTGTACAGTACTTCTAGTCTGTGTTTGACTGTAAGGAAGTACTGTACACTGTACGTTGTACTCTGAATTTCAAAGACTCCGTCCATACTGTACTGTACTGTACTAACCCTAACCCTAACCCTAACCTGAACCCTAATGTACGTACTGTACAGTATAAAATACAAAAGAATCGACGCACTGAATCCAGCTTGACTCATTGTCATTACTGTAAACTACAGTAGTACCAGTACTGAAGCTTTTTTTTCCTGTACAGTACTTCTAGTCTGTGTTTGACTGTAAGGAAGTACTGTACACTGTACGTTGTACTCTGAATTTCAAAGACTCCGTCCATACTGTACTGTACTGTACTAACCCTAACCCTAACCCTAACCTGAACCCTAATGTACGTACTGTACAGTATAAAATACAAAAGAATCGACGCACTGAATCCAGCTTGACTCATTGTCATTACTGTAAACTACAGTAGTACCAGTACCGTCATTGAGCTTCCCCTATAATAATCAAATCCTTGATCAAAATTTGTAAATTTGAACATTATCATCTGCTTTGCTAGTCAGCTCAAAGATGCAATCAGTGTTGAGGTTACGTACTGCTGTGCGACTTGGTCGAAATCTTACAAGGGGTACGTAAAAGAGATATTGCATTTCTGTAATTTGTTGCTTGTGTGATTTTGAAGATTGCGTTCAGTGTTTACTGGACCATAAGCCTACATTTTGCAAAAGAAAAGTCTGCATACTGTATATTTATTGTAACCGGGTAAACGAGGACCTACTTTGCACAATTATATTTTGAATTGTATTTTTGGGTTTCTGTTGTCATCCCTGTGATACCTCCTTATTCATGATTGAGTGTTGAGCGGTCATCAGAAATAAACGGACTGATTCAGTACCTCTTCGACCTGCTTCTATGACGCGATGTTGCAGTGAACGCACGTTTACCAACACTAGCCATCACGCAAAATATAAAAATACCAGTGTACTGATCGTTTAAGTTTCTTTTACAGTACTACGATCGATTAATACCTCAGTAAGGTTTCAGCTTTACATATCAAATATTTGTAAAGATTCCTATATGACCCATAGCAGAGCTACTGTAAAGTAGAGATCAACACTATGTCAATCAAGGAGTGCACTACCGCCGTCATTTGCTGTACACTTAAGTATCATCCTAATCACTATCGCAATTTCCTTATCTTACTGTTTTGTTATACCGAATGACATACTGTCCTGTATAGTATACTGTACAGTGTATAGCACGCCACTACTTCGGTCGACAGGACGATAATAGATCTATCTGCCGCCTTACAGAAGATTATAATAATTAGTGTTTTATGGAAATGTTGATTCCGATTATATTCAGTTTCTTGTAGGCTATATATACGATATGCTGTATACAGTTTGTGCACTGCGTTTTCAGTAATATTAATCTTTGTAAGCTTGTGCGGTTTGAGCTACCATTCAATATTCCAATATTTTTATTCTATGCAGTCAAATCGATCAGTACTGTTTGTGCGAGTTATCAGATCGCTGTTAGTAGTCCTACGCATATCGGTATCAGCTTTATCAATTTTACGACTTTTATGGACGATATCGAGAACTCCCTTAAGGTATGACTTCTGCCTAATTTCCAGAAGGAAGTCGCGGCTGACCGATGATTGGCCCGCATAAAAAGGATAGTACAGTACAGTACAGTGTGCTCTATCGATTTTTCCTAGCTTTTGACATTGATCAGCTTTTTTGAATGTTACTGTATCAGTTAGGCTATTAGCTCTATCGTCGACAATTATTTATACAGTACAGCATTTCAATTGAAATATACCTGCTACCTAGTACGACTGGTACGACCTGGGTTCAAGCAGAATATAAAAATAGTGTAGAATAAATTACAATAATAAATTGGTAAAAGATGTTTCTTTGATTGGTCCTTCTTTTGCGATTGGTCAATACCCTCAGCTGAGTGTCTGACGTATCGAACGTACTCTAGTCAATGGTGTGAGAACAATACACAACCAGATGGAAACGAGTGTGCATACAGTGTACTGTATTATAGAGTACTGCACTTTGTATTCAACTCTTTGACCCTTGATAATTAATGACCTATGTAAATTGATCCTGGAAATAAAATTCACTACAATTATTTCGCAATCAACCTACTGTACACGTCTTTCAGAATTCAGCGATGATTGCTGTCAAGTTGGTGTTATAAATAGTAAATAATAATAAATAATAAATGATAATATTGTATGTACCAAGTAAAATAGATATAACAGGCACTAATTCTAATACAGGATGATATCGTTTGCAATTGAAATATTGGCTAGAATAGAATTGCACCTTGACTGCTACATATAAAGCGTTTGGGTGTAAAAGAATCAACGCTGGAAATTGATATTTTATTTATGAGAATATATACAAAGCCAATAGCTAAGGTATAGTCATGTTCCAATTTTATAGGTAGACAACAGGCCCTAAGTAGCCAAATCTCAGCAACTGGCCAAGGTGCACGTCGTCTTCCTGTCATTATTGGTACAGCGGTCGGATTGTGCGCTGGCGGTCTATTGTATGAATACAATCGCAGAAAATGCTCAAGCGTAACCTACGCTGCTACAACTGAAAATCATCAAAACTCGGTAAGAAGATGACTACAGCTACGCTCCGTTATCCATATTAGTGCTATATTCACTCAATTAAAAAGTATAAATACTAGCATTAGAGAATTTTTTCAAAATTGGAGTTACATACTAAGTTTGTATACCATCTTACTCGTATATGCAGCTTGACCTCGTAACACTCGTATATGTAACACTCGTATACCTACAGTATAACTGTAATACACTGTACGTGTATATAGACTGTGAGTTGTGATTCAGTTCTTGTGGAATACCAACAATTGAGCAGTTATTTACTCTCTAGGCATCATCAGTTGATAGATATTGTGTAATCTACTCGTATGTGGTCACTAATTTTGCGGTAGCTGTTGCTACATTATCTCAACTATAATTCTAATTCGTTATTTTAGATTGAGTCAAGTAATTATGAAAGAAATAGCCAACCAATCATACTGTACTGTAGTGTACAATGTACATGTAAGATTGATTGCTTTTCAATACTCTTTTTGTAGGTTATCAGTTTGACAAAAGAACATGCGTTATATTTATGGATTCATGTTAAAGGAACTGCTGATCCTAAAGCGTGCGCAAAAGTTGCTGCAAATGTTCAAAAGTATGTCGACGGTATAATTCCTCCTAAAGAAGCCGATGAAAATGATGAAATATGGGCTGGCGTTGCTTTCGGACCAAGTTTCTATGCCAGGGTATTGCTGCCTTTGCGGTTTTTAATATTGTTCTAATTTACAAAACTTAAATACTGTACTTATAAATCTCTGCATAAATGAAAGATATTAGCTGTTATTCGATATCAAACATAGAGCACTTCCATTCATTGTATTAATGTAGACATGACAGTAATCAAAATCTTTATTACACAGTGCGGAGGTACTGTACATGAAAATTACGACTACCCTCACCGATCTGGTAAAAATGGGGACCTACCAAGCACAGGTTTTTATTTTATAATTTCAGCCAAAAATTTTTATTGGTACCATATCATCGATTCATATTTTCTTGAAAGTATAACTGAACACTTAACTTATAATTATTATGTCTGCAAAGATACTCTTACATTAATTATTGCATGTGCGTATATAATTTTTTGGCGTTTTATTTAGGTGGAGATATTTTTGTACATGCCAAGAGTAACAGTAGAGGAGGTCTTTACGAGCTAGCACAGGCGGTATTGAAAAATTTACCGGAAGGCTCGGTTGAAAATGTTGAAGAAGTATACGGATTTGTTTACAAGAATGGCAGGGACTTATCTGGTTTCATTGATGGTAAGACTTGCGTACCCAGTGTGGTAGATATGCAGACTTATACTAATAGTCCCATACAAACTATGCGATTGACAAAATCGAAGAAAATAGTTTTTTCTGCAGCAATGATCTTCTAGAATACATTGTAATAGCTATGTTGCAGTATATGAGAAAATACGTATATATACGATATCTTAATGCATTGCAATATATATATTAAAGCTAATATAACTCGTCAATTTAATCGAATAACCCTAACCCTAATACTTCTAAATAACTTTCATATCTGTAAATTCTTTAGTTATAGTCAGTCAATTTTGTTAAAACATTGACAAATAGTTTCTGCTGGAACACTGCACTTACGTACTAAACCATCTTAATTTCTAAATCTCAAGGAACTGAAAATCCAGCGGATGACGAAAGCCGTACAGAAGTCGCTATCAACAAGGAAACAGGCGGAAGTTATCTTGTATATATATATTCATAATTATAATTACCTATATTAATATAGAAGATTAATTACTGCCCCCTAGTTTATACTCAAAGTTAAGCATTCTTATTTCACATTAATACTCTGTCTTGCGTAGCATGTTACCGTTTGCACAAAATTCTCACATTTAATTTATTGCATGGGATAGATCACTCAACGTTGGATACACAAATTTAATGTTATCAATAATACGAAAGGTTAGCATCCTAACGTGTAGATTATAAGGCATTGTTGATACCACAGTAAGAGTTGCTCACATTTACTTATTGTTAATAATTTTGATATATTAACTAGTGAGTACAATGGAAAATTGGGTTGGCCGTAATATAGATGATAGCACTGAACAAAGACGAAAATCAGTAACATCGCATGTTGCTCGGATGACCAATGGCTCACAGTTTAACGCAGCTAAACCTTACCAGATTGTCCGCCAATCTCAACCTTACGGATTGAGCTCAAAAGAATCCGGACTCTTCTTTATAGCTTATGCTGCATCTCCGAAAAATTTTGAATATATGTTAGGGCGCATGGTTGGTGAAGGCCGAGACAATTTATCTGATGATATTATGTTGCTTACCAAATGTGTTACTGGAACTTATTGGTACGCACCTTCCTTGTCCGAATTAGCCAAACTAAAGTGAAGCTTTTAGGTTTAATTACAGTCACATTAGCTATCTATAGTGCGTGCAGACGCAGCATTATAAAGAAATTCAGCCATTTAGGATTCCTTACATCTTTGATAAAGTAGAGTAAACACTTTTATAGGAAGCTTTTTTTGGTAATGCTATCGTAACCATTTGTTAGCGCTATTTCTGAAAGTTATTGCTCAAAGTAGAATAAACCTTTAAAAAAAAAAATTTGGGGGACGATTTTGACTCAATTATGCCTTGGCTAGATAGGAAAATAAATTGCTGGTATTATGGACTAATCTGAGTGAATATACTGTATCGTCTAATTGAATATAGGCGTACACGTATAGTGCAACTCATACACTTCACTAAGTATTGTTAAAATTTTAACTCAAATGCGAAACGTTCACGTGCGATAATGTGATTAAACCGATAATACAGCACAGACAAAAATATTTATCATAATTTATTAATATAATACAGTATATTACGAGGCATTCGATGTTTTAAATGGCAAAGGGCCTTTATCAATAGCAGTGAATAACATTTGTGCAGATAAAAGAATGGTAGGAAGTACATAATTATCTATAAATAGGTAAAAATATAGCGGTTAATGTGCCATTCCTTGCATAAAAATAGAAATTAATAGTAAAAAATTTTAAATTTTACTGGCCATTACAATAATTTTCTGTCAACAATAATATATGCACTGTACTATATATATATATATACTCGTATATATCTAGTAGTTCTGGCATCAATTTTCATTTTTTAGATTTCAACCCTCGCGTGATAGATTTTCTTTAAGCTTGAAATGGTTAACAAGAGCTGTCATGAATTTCTTGACGTAATCATACTTTGCATGGTATAGAAAGTGAAAAGGTTGCCATTTACTTCATGGTACCAATTTTATCATTACTATGTGATGAAGGATTAGGTACTGCTAGCATTCTTAGCTATAAATGGTTTATCTTGGTTCAGCAGTTCCGATGTTTTGCCTACCATTATGAACAATAAATGAAAGCAATATTAAAATGTAGTGCTATGGTAGCGTACAGTTTATATAATTATTAAATGTTTATAAAATAGATCCCGAACCATTAAATTATCTTGTCAATACTACTCGAGATAGGCGATATCAAAGATTTGATTATGTAACCTATATCAAGTAATATCCACTGCCTCGCGTAATGTGTTCGTTGTGCTACGAAATAGGTTATCTAGCAGCTATAATCGCCGGAGTGTTACAGTACAGGTCGACGGGTTATAAAGAGTAGTTCTGATAGATAACTTCGCTACGTTGGAAATTGCTGACAAAGTCATCCAGACACTACAAAGGTCGCTATCATCAAAGCAGATTCTATGTAGGATTACTATTGGTGATAATCACTGCAATCATAGCGCATCCTCCATAATTTATTTATACGCTGATAATACTTCATTATATTTAGGCGTCATTATCTCAGCTTAATTTATCGATGTTTACCTTTTTTTCTTCAAACCTTTTAACCTGGATGTAGAATTTTTAACAAAACCTTTCTTCCTTCTTAGAAATGCATCCTGTAAAGTAACTTCTTTTGCGTTAGTGTCTCCCTCTTCGTGGCTACTGGGCTCAGAGGTGGCATCCCAGGGTGTATCTTTTTCTTGTAAAAATTTCCGAAAAGGCTGCATATCATTATATTCGTTTAACATGATACTATAATCAGCATCATCAACTTCATTCGTTGTGAACTCAGTGTTGTTATTTTCCGCATGTTCATATTCCAGATGTTGAGTCTGCTTTGCAGGTTCGCTTTCTTCACCAGGCCAATCGCCATAAATTATCAATGGTCGCTCTTCTAAATTCTCATTTTTAGCTAACAGCGTACTGCTTGATTCGTCTGTATGTACATCAGAGCTATAATTGTTCTTAGAATTATTTGACAATACTTTTGCAGTAGATCCTTCAGCAGTTTGATTGTCTTCTACCATTTTTGTAGTATTTGTTGAAATAGCATTGCGACTTACATTTGTGTCAGCAGGATCTAGGCTATTTAAAGGGTAGGAGGAAAACACACCGCCAAATGAAATTTGAATATCAGTCAAAGCGTCTGTATTTAGATTTTCTCGTAGGTGTTTCGTTGACGCATGCTCAGACTCTGAGCTTGGGCTAGTTTCACTTGACATTGTATAGGAACTAAGTCTTGCTTCTGGCTCAAGTTGTAAATCGGCATTCAAATCCTCTATTTTCTCTGAAAGTTCTTGCAATTGCGGTTGTTGGTGCTGATTGTCATCTAAAGTGGTACCATTTTCATTGTTGGCATTATAAGCGGATATTATTTGCATTGCTGGTGAAGATAGGTTACCGTCGTTCGATAGTTTATTTAAATTATCTATCATTATTTCTTTGTTTTTTATTTTACTATCGTCATCAAGGGCGTCAAGTGAAAAATGACCACCTAAATCAGATTCCTCTTCTTCCTCTGGAACAGGGGATAACATGAAGCCATAGTTATCGCTAGTGATATCCTGACTTGTACTGGAGGGATTGTGGTGTTTTATGTTTATTTCGTGCCTGTAGGTAGAATTTAATTCTTCTCCAAGTCTTTGAAGCTGAATTTTATTATCACTATCATTCACATTATTGCGATCCGATAAATTGACGTTGTTATAATAATTGGATATATTATCATTTGCTAATGGCACAGCAGGATCGAGCAACGGCTCATGTTCATTAACTGCATCTTCGACGATAAATTCATCAAACCATGCTTTCGATGAGTCTGTCTGTTTTTTGCTTTCAACATCATTTCTAAGGTTGCCATCAGCTACAACATTTTTGTCCCTTAATCCTTTTTCTTGGTTGTACAAAAGGCGCTGATGTTCTAGCTGATATTTTAAATCTTCGAGTTCCTTCTTCTCAGTAAATAGCTTAGCTTCTAACTCTGCGATGTTACTCGATCTTGCAGTTACAGAATTATTCAACGGAATTCGATCGGAACCTAGTATTTTATACCGTCCATTCGTGACGCTGCTATTCAATATACTTTCTTGGTACTGTTTCACTTTGTCACTAGTAATTACTAGGCTACTATTTTCTCTTTCAATATCGTTACAAGTAGTATCTGTAACGCTTGAAATAATAGCGCCTCCTATGTCATCTACATCAGAATTCTTCTTTTGCTCTAATAGCTTCTGTTGTGCCCACTGCCTTTGATCTTCCTTAATATCTGTTTCTACCTGACTGTCAGGTTTATTCGTTTCAAGCAATTTTTCTCGTGCATGAAATCTTTGTTGCTGCAAACTGTCGCTTTCATCTTGCGTAATTTGCCTAAGACCAGAAATGATTTCGGAATCTCGCTCTTGTTCTTGCAGCAATTTCTGTCGTGCCCACAGTTGCTGTTGTTCTTCGATATCTTTCTGTAGTTGCCTTTGCTGCTGTTCCAACGCAAGATTACGAGATTGTATTTCTAAAAGTTTCTTTTGTAAATCTTCCTGCGCTTGCTCTTGCTTTTCAATAGTCAAGGTACCTGATTCAGGCTTTTTATCTTGCATAGACAGCCTATCAATCTTAATCTTATAATCGGACTCAGCTATGAAATAAGAAATTTTAATTTAGCAAGTAAATACGGGTATAGCAAAGTCTCCATGTTTAATTAATCATCATTATTAATCCTTTATCATACTTTTGTCATCTTCAGTAGACTCTTCAATACCCTCTTCGGCGTCGTCAGCACTTCCAGTAATGACTGCAGCGTCTCTTTTGATTTCATTAAGCCTTTCAGTTTCTTCGGTGATTTCAGTTTTTGGTTTACTAGGGTATACTGGTGAGGAGTGTGTGTTTTCATTCTCAGGATCTGTGTTTCTAGATATATTTCTACAGTACATAGTAAGTAACGTTATTTATCAAAATAAATTTTTTCACTTACTCTAACTTTTACACCAAAATCCTTTACATTATATCATAATATCGATTAATAAGTAAGCTATAAGTTGCAGGTTACGTAACAAACTCTTAACGTGCCTATTTTGAATATTTTCCGATGGGATATTTTCCGTTGACTTTGCTATAGTAAGTTCAAAGTTGTTAAAATTAAAATCGAAACGTAAATTAGCGCGATAATTATACGCTACAGTTGAGAATAATTTTACATTTAATAATAATGATAATAATCTAGCGTAAATTTTTTCCGAAAACAACTTGCAGCAGTTGATTATATTATATTAATGTGTATAGCTTACTCTTGGAGTCGATACTGCTTAGTGATTCTCTTTGAAGACGAATTTTTTCTAGTAGCTTTTTCATTGGATCGGTTTGATCCACTATCAAGAAACGAAGTAAAAACTTAATTATTAATGCTGTTAAAACTGTCGCGGTAACAATTATAAATTATTTTGGCTTCTGATACAGAGCTAAGTTTAATTATCGTACGCCACATTACGCAAATATTTTATAAACTAAATTACACTTCACACACTTTCAGTATTTTCCTTCAAGTCACACATCTCGTTCTCATTGATTTCTTGTGTATCCTCACTATCCTGCCTAGAACAGCCTGAATTATCATTTTGCTGTAAAACATTAAAACAATACAAAAATGATCTGGTTGAGAATAGTTTCTCCACTTACAAGTCTGCTGTTAGTGATACGATTATAATTATAAATTAACAACTGCATTTTAGCTAAAATTAAATGCCACACATTAATACCTGTAAGTCATTTTCAACGTGTTCTTTATCTAAGGTAAAAGAAAAGAGAATTTTTTTTTATTGTTTAAAGCAACGCTGTTTGCGATTGATAAACTTTTTATTGCATTGAGACAAATTGATACCTACCAAGATTCTCACTGATTGAAGAATCAGACTTAAATTTCGATAGTAAGCGATCGTCTCCTAAATCTACGAATAATTTTGCCACTGGTTAACAAAAGATATGGTATACTAACAGCTAATAGTCCGTAACAAGAGTGTTTAATTACCAATGTCTGCAGAAAACAGATCTTCAAATTGCTCTTCTAATTTTGCTTGCTTATCTGCATCATCTTCAATCTTATGATTTAAAGGTTGAAATATATTGACCTATAATGATAAATTACGGAAAGTATCATCCTGTACATAGACTATTATATAACAGTTATATTCGAGAATATACATATTAACATGCTTACAGGTAAATTCGAGACAGCATTTTGTCTTCTTTGTCTATCCAAGAGATCATATTCTTGCAGCTCTGATATTAGGTCGTCGTAATCCTAGCCATACAAGTAGATTTTAAACGGCTATACGTAATGTAGCTTTATCATGATTTTTATCATATGTCATTCCTCATTGTACCTGCTGTAAAAGTACTTTCGTTCTAGCACTATGATATCGCAGTCGTGCTTTCTCATTGTATTCGTGTCGAGCTTTCTCTTTTTCCTAAATTTACAAATACACATATGATTGAAAATATTTCTTGGGAGACAGCATATAGTAATTTTAAATAAATCGTACTTTCTTTAGGAGCTCCATTCGTGTACTTTCCAGTTCAGCAGCACGCATTGCATTTTCCTAAGTGGCCATTAGTAAAAATCAATTCGTTAACTTGGGACAATGTCTTTTTAGTATATACCCATATCTATATCGATCGAAATAGTTCTTATGGTGTACCTGGTCAGGGTTAAATGTTTCTCTTTCAATGTAACGTTCAGGCAGATGATAACGTGTTGAGGCATAGCCCTGTACGTTAGTCAATTGTACACTGTTTCCTAAGCAAAAGAACCTGTTTGATTAAAACTTCAAAATAGATGTAATAAGTCTGTAATTATGGGTAAAATTAATTACCTTTAGAGTGTGCAGTCAGATTCTAGATGCGAAACAATTCAGAGTCAGTGCATGCAGTATAAAGATTAATAGAATGGCAATTACGAGTACGTTAAGGTGATGTTCAAATAGTACCCATACTGATTAAATATATATTACGTATATACGAAAATATGGCATACCAAAATTAGCTCAGACGTAGCAGGCTCTATCTTTTTCATCGAATCAGCCAGTTGACGCTGCTTTTCAACGATTCCTTTTCTAAAAGGTTTTAAAATTTTTACGGTTGTAAGTATCAACCGGTAATGGAATCATAAAATTTTTGAACATTTTATTTTTCATACATACTTGGCTTCAGAACGTCGAGATTCTTCTTCTGCAGTAGATGTTTTAATTTCTTGTATCTAATCGCAATTATTGTATGAACGATACATTTAATATAAAGCCTTTCTGGCAGGGATAGTAAAAATTTGCTCTTGAATTACCTGTTGAAGCGCTTTTTTGTGCCTAATTAATGCCCTATATTGTATGTTAATAACGCATTTGGGGTATATTAGGTAAAAAGTAATTTATCGCCATAAAAGATTGAATTACGTATCAGAGAAAGCAGTATATCTTGACTTTAAGACTGATTGTCATACCGAGCCTTTGCATCAGATGAAACTTGCTTCGGTTCAGCTGTTACCACCTAATTTAATAAAATCTATGTTAGCAAAGCATTTAATTCACTACATAAATTATACTATTCTTGATGTTAAAAATTTGTTTTTGTAATTTCGTGACATTAGAAAAAAATGGATATGTAATGAGGATTAATATATACGGCTGCATAACATACGTAGTATAGCATATTGTCAGCAATTCTTTAATGTCTGTTAGTATAATAGCTAAGCATAAAAGTAACTTATCAATTATCGAGCGTTTTACCTGAGTAGCCATGTTATGTCCATGACCTACGTTACTTAAACTATTTTGATATGTACGCTTTATTATATGTAGTTTCACGTCTTGTTCTTTCTGATATTTGGCCTAGAAATCAGTAGTAATGCCAAGACAACGTTAAGACATCATTTTTGCAAGATATTTCTTATTAAATATTCTGTACACAGTATTGCGATAGAGCAGAAGTCACATGAAGTGATCCTAAATCTAAATATAATTGCAGCTTTGTCATCACTGTGTAGAGGCCTTCAAATTGTATAATATATACTGGCACAATCCGCAGTTATCTTTAGCAAAGTGTATAGCAAAAAGAAAAATACTACCTGTACTAGAAATCGACTGCAGTATTACAGTTTTACTAAAAGGTATTTCGGTGCAAAAATGCAGTCATTAGTGGAAAAGAATAGTAAGCCAATTTTTAAGCTATTAAGGAGATATTTTAAATTTTTGCTTACTTGTAAAATTTATTACTAATCCTGTCGGTAATACCACTAGCTAATACTGTAGATTAACATTGAACAGTCTGCCTGTATACTTTCATTACAGTACTGTACTGTATAATATATATCGTATACTCGTAGTTTAGCAAAAGTACAGTTCAGTAAGTGGATAATGTAATCGTAGCGCATTTATTAGTAGTATCTCGTAAAAGATGGTATAAAATTGTCGAGAAATACAATGCATTATTGCAAGTATGATACTATAAATACGCTATTAATGAAGTAACCTGTATATGTTTTGTTATCAGTTCAATTTCATTATCACGCCGTTCTTGAAACTTTTTTCTTAACTGAGAAGCAATTCTTTTCTCTTGTTGGCGTACCTAAAATGAATCCTAGTTAGCAATGCCGTCATGATGAAACGGAGACACTATGTAATATCAATGATTCGATGTGAGAGGCGGTATAACAACTGTAAAGTAGTTTTCCTTCATGTCATTATGAAATTAGATTGATCTGTAAACTACATGAAAAGAGAATCAATCCGGTTTAGCTGTTGTCTAATTAGATAGAGCGGCAACCGTTTTGCCATTATGGAGATTCTACGCAATTTGGTTGCATTTGGTGATTGATTGAAAATGATACACCTACGTATCCTGTAGTAAGTCGTACCTGAATTAAGCGTAGTTTTCGTCTTCGCTCCCGTTCGGCTTTTTGGTGTTCAGCCTAGTCAATAGGATTATAATTAATAAGCAATTGAGTTATTTATGTTGATTAGCTATGAATGTCAATTTGTCTTGGAATACAGTAATACCATTACTACAGTATAGACGTCAGCGCAAATTGTACAGTATTATTGTATTTTTTTTTTGAAGGCAATTTCGAATACTACTACTACAGATTGACAATGATAAGACAATCCTCCATATAGGATATTTCTGAATGAATAAGTTAAGACATAAACAAGTTTAAATATCCATGGAGTACTCTTACAGCCTAATTGATAGCTTACCTCTTGAATATGATTGATATATTTCTCATTGGATTTGGTCATGTTGTCATCAATACCAAATAGCGTCCAACCAATGTCAGATCCTGTACAACATTCTAATTGTAGGTATTCTGCCCAATGATCGGGTTCAGAAAAGCTGCAGTAACCAAATTTCAACTTTATCAGCCAATACTTGATAAAACCGAAGATATTTAAGATGATGGCGAGGTACTAGTATATCAAAATTCAATGAGATGTGCAATTTGACTAAATTGAGAGAGAAAACTTTCAGTGAAATTTTTGGCAATGTTTTCAGCTTTACAGTATAGTACAGTGTACAAGGATACTCAGTAGTACAGTACTGTACTGTGGCGCAGCTGTAACGGATTGACGGCACTGTACTGAGTCTACTGTATAGAATTTTTTAAAATTGCCCGCGCTGCTAACCGCTTCAGCCCTAAAAGTAACTCATACAGTATCATGTCATGGTCTTCTTGCAGTCTGCACAGTGTACAGTGTACAGTACTGTGGGTTGAGTTAGTACCGTACTGTACACATACAATGTACTGTACTGTACTGTACAGTGTACAGTACTGTAGAGTACAGACTCACCATTGAAAGTTCGTACAGTACTGTACAGTACTGTACACTGTACTGTACAGTACAGACAGTACTGTATTGGAGTCTCTCAATTACTGTAGCAAACTGTACTCAGAACTGCAAGGGTTAGACTCAGTGTTAGTTCATATTGTATGTTACGGGTTGTTTATTACAGTACTTTGCGCTATTTTACAAGCTACAGTTTAAAGCGTACAGTACAATTGAAGATACATGTGTGTACTGTATGGTGATAAAGGACTCATTGGTGTACAGTAGATGAATTTACTTTTGCAGTGTTTCATTTGTTAAAGAGAATTCAAAACTTTGTTCTGTGTAGAATGAGATACAAAATTTTTAGACACTTTAGTGGAGCTTTGACTTTTCCATATCCCACTCACCCACCCTTGAAACGAGCAGCGCGGGGGTATTTATACTGTACTGTACTCAGTAGACCTGTCAGAGGTTCGGTTCGGTTCTACAGTACTACAATACAGTACAGTACTGTAGTAAAAGTACTGTACGCTACAGTACTTTTGTACAGCATACAGTACTGTACACGGTATAAAGTCACTGAACCTCTGGCATGTCTATCAAATGGTAATACTATCTGTTAATTATAAACAAACCCTCACATTATCGTAAACCGTCAGCAAAGCGACGGGAGTTTGCACTAGTACTGATTGAATCAAATGGCGACGAATGGGAACTGAAACGGTGCTTATGGACAGTAGATGGGTATTTGTACTGAACCGGTTACGAAAATGGTTAACCGATTAGTTCAATAGTGAACTGGTCCTATGTTTGGATGCAGTGAATTATTTTACTCATTACACTGTACCAAGTCCGATATGAAGTGGTATTGTCTATAGTATATTCAACTCTGAGGTCTAGTGTGCAGTACTGTACAGCAAGATTCACTTCGGTGGCACTAAGGAAAATAAACTGTGTATGCCGAATGAAGCCCAAAGTACGGACATCCTTCTACCTGTACATATCGATTTTGAACTGGAATGTTCACCCATTGCAACTTTCAGTTTTCGACGCCATCTTGTCATCCAAGCTAGTCGTACAGTACATACTGTACAGTACAGTACTTTATTTGGAAATTTACAGTGTACAGTACAGGACTGGTCGTAAAAGAAATACTGTACTGTACTGTACAGTACTGTACTGCCTGACCAGTTTTCTACAGTACAGTACTGTACTCTATCTAGTACAGTATATTATACTGTACTTGTACAGTACAATATAGTAGAGACCTACTGTACTGTAGTTGACCCCTACAGCGAATGCAGGCGTGCCCTTGAGGCTTTCTTTCATATTGAATCATAATAGCCGTTTACAGACTGTCTGTACACTACTGTAAATTACAGCTCCATCGATTCCTCCTCCAGCCGGAGCAATCAAGTTGGCGTAAAACATCGTGGAAAAGATTGAAGTAAAATGACATACTCTGATGATGAGGCTCCAAGGTAATGCAACCAGTATTGCATGATCCGATATTAATGCATTTCTTGAACTGAAATACTGGCTGAAGATATTTGGATGCACTCGTATCATGTTAAGCTACATTAAGTGGGGGTCCACTATCGCACAGCAGTGTAAAGTCAATTTTTAATTTCCAATCATGATCAGCTAAAATTCATAACTTGTTAGCAGTGGAACTACAGTCAAATTTTGTGTACCACTTGTTTTCCATTCTAATTTTCCTGTTAGTGTACAAATTGAAGCTACATCTAGGGAATAAACTGGTTAGCCGGTTCCTTCACTATCAACTAGGTTATACTCGCACCGAGTTACAAGATGAAATGTGGACTGAATCAATCATCCATTTTAAAACATTGAATTCACTCTAATCATCTTTATCTTTCCACCATCATTTACTTCCAACTCTTGCATCAATTTATACCGGTGTGGATACAAATCGAGTAGATTGACTAGTCCATACAGTAGGTGTGCCTATCAACATACGCCAGGAAAATTTCATTCATCCAATAGCTATTAATTATTATACTCGTATAGGGATAAAATAACAATAATAATAAGCCATCGCTTCGCATATCATAGTAACAAAACAGTCCTACAAATAACACTCGGAAAATTCATCGTGATATGCAATTTATTATCATAAAGGTACTACTAGACTGATTGAAATGCTGCCTTTTACTACTAGATAGTAAACTCAAGTTAAATTCATCTGGATCATTTTCATATATACTTCTACTTCTACAGTACATACAATAATTCATATCTATTACCTCTCCATCTCAATACATAGACAACTAATAGTACTGTATATATTTTAATGTCATCGTAACTAGGCCACAGCTAGCACCCTATGTCAAAGCCAATATTCTATCGAAATTATCCATCTGGTGGGTTTCCAAATTAGTCATCACTGGATATAAGAAGCCCATTGACGCAAGTGATATTTGGCCATTGCCTGAAGAGGAATTAGTCCAAGCTAATTATGATACATTTGATAAATTATGGAATGAAGAATTAAAAACGCATGGAAAAGAAAAGGCATCCATAGCAAGGGTCTTCATTATTGCATTTCGCAAACGATTATTGTTGACTTTTCTTCTTTACTGTTTTGTAACCGCTTTAAGTATTGGTAGTTCGGTAAGTAAAGACTATGTGATATTGCTTAATTCATTATATCCTTTACGTCATAGCTTAATGTTTGCTATTTCTCATTACAAAACTTTCGCGTCTACCTTGTGCGTAGGACTGTAAAACGAAAATTCAACTTATCATACTTTATCGTTAATGATGGAATTTTCGATCCCTCGCTCTTTCTACTTCACGTACTCTACTTGTACTTTTTACTTTACTGTACATGATTACTGTCGCTTCACACTGAGCATATTTATCTTTCAAGCAAATTTATGTTTTCCCCTTATTTCTATGAAAACAATCATCTTAAAGAGCGCTCTCTCTCTCTCTGTCTGTGTCATAACAGTTGCATACTTTTTTGCCATAACTCGAGCCTGTTACTTCTGTAGCGCGATACAGTACTAACTATACTGCATAAGCAAATATATCACCAATCATATGCTTAATTCAAGTCCTTATTTACCCCCATTTTCGCTAATTCGTACAGTGTATATGATATATATTTAAGTTAAAGTCCCAAATGCTGTTCTTATGCATAATAACCAGTTAGTATGTGCAGTATAATAGCTAGTCAAAAGTTTGTATATACTCAATTAGTAGTCAATATTATACGCCTTGGATAGTAACCACCCCTAACTAAAGTTGCAAGCTTGAACCGGCTATTATAAAAGTGAAGTATACGAATACATTAAACTAATCATTAAGTCCATAGGTGAAATTTAGGCTATTTTTTCATTAATTTTCTTACTCTTTTTCGATCTTTAGCCGGCTAATAAGCACAATAGCCTATTTTAATATACTCTACAGTACAGTAATCAACCCTGTAAAAAAAACATTATGACAATCACTATTAGCTTGCTACCAAAAATGATAATTATGCAAAATCCTGATGATTGTAAACCTCTTCGTAAATAAAAATGATATTTAAGAGTTTAAGCTCAATCATAAGTATAAAAATAATTCTAAGAGTACCATCAAAATTACTATGATTTTAGCTTATAGCCTTGGAGCTTATCAGGTTTTCAAGTGACATGGATGCTTTACCAAGCAAAGGATATCTACTGGTAAAAATTATACAAATAATGCTATCACATAGCTATTCAAACTATTTGCATATTATGAAATATATTTATTACGGGTTAATCCTGATAATCCTGTATGGTATCAACGTATTTAAAAGTAAAATTATACAAATAGTGCTATCTCATAGTTATTCCAATTATCTGCATAACATGAATTATTTTTATACGAGTATTTCCTGACAAACGTATGCAATATCTATATAAGAGTAAATTATACAAATAGTACTCTTATGATTATTCAAATTATTTGCACATTATGAAATATACTCGTATTTTGCAGACGAATGGTTTCTAATAAGTGTTACAGCATCCATTCAAGAGTAATAATGCTTGCATTAGTAATAGTATAGGTTGGAGGTATTCCATTCTTACTTATCCTATCCGTTTAAGTAGTAATGAGTTTCTTGTTCCTGTATAGTAGCCTCCATATACATTAAAAGTACCGCACGATAAGGTTTTAGTAAAGGTATGAAGTTGTATAATAAGGGGAGATAAATATGCTTTATTAGGTTATAATTTATTAATAGCATCTTGTAGAATCTGGCCTCGTAGTATTTCGCGTAGATGTATAGTACTATTATTACCGGTATACTGTAAATTTTAATAGGATACAACTACTTCGGGGTCTTCACTTAGCTATAACGACGCAATTATTTCACAATCTTGCTCAGAAATAAGGTGATGATACATCTTATTATCCTTGCTAGGCATTCGGTCTGGTTGGTATAGAAATAACTCATAGCGTGTTTTACGGTTTTACATGGTACAGTAGTTACATTACTGGTATAAGAGCTAGATCGATGGCATTCGGTTTGGTTTTTCACAAAATTGTACGATTACGAAGCGCTTCTACAAAATCAATGGGAGAAGTAAGTACAGTATAACAATTTCGATGCTATATTCCATAATCGCCTTCTATATTTTTTTCTATCGCAGAAACCCGTTGTTGAGAATAAATAGCCTGTTGCATAAGTAGCTAATCATAATTTATTACCGTTTTATTAGTTAGTGAATATGTGTGCCAACGATGCTCAGCGTGTCTTCCTGTCAATGTTATTTTTTGGAATTAGTATCTGTGGGTTTGTGTTTTTGTTACAAGATTTTAGCTGCCCTTATTGTCTTCTACAAAGTTATTTTTAACCTTTTAATATTATTTTTAAAAATAACAGCAATACCTATCATTGCGATTGCATTATTCGCCGCAATGATATATATTATCGGTCCTGTTTGTCTCGTTGCTGCTGGAGTATTTCTAGTTTCTATGATGTCGACGGTAATGTGTTTTTACTAGCTTGAAAATCTATGATTCCTGTAAGTGTAACAAGACATAGCATGTGATACCGGATACGAATATTTTCTTTTACAGATATATTTTGGCAAATACATAAAAAAATTACGTTGTAAATCGTTACTCTACGGAGATCAAAGGGTACATCTGAACTATTACAGATTATAATCATACGTATTCCCTTGCTGAGATTGTTTAATTACTATATTATGATCTATTATATAAGGCTATGAATGCATGAAATTATATGTTATAACATTTCTCTTCAGGTCTTAAGTTTTTGGTAATAATCTATACTTAAAGTTAAATTATTCATATTTACTCTCCGTTAATTAATTTTATCAATTTTAGGTACAACTAATAAGTGAAATTATCCGATGCATCAAATTAATCAAGATGTTTACTTGGGAATCTTCTTTTCAGTCTAGAGTTAATTGTAAGTTATAACATCGCGATATTGAGTTATTTTATTAATATAATATTTATCGAACTTTTTTTGTACAAAATGCCAAATAATAATTAATGTTATCACATTAGCTTAAATCGCGTCGGAAATATGTGTTTATGTATTTATTTATTTATTTTTATTATATCACAATGGTTTAGTTCTCCGTAGCAAGGAAAGCAGGTGGCTAGAAAAAATCGGTTACATTTCACGTTTTACTGGCACATATATCGTGTTGGTACCTGCGGTAGCGATTTCTTTGACTTTTTTAACTAACTCTCTACTTGGTTTACCGATGACATCAGCTAAGGTAAAGGAGCTGCTAGTAGTACTCATGATTTATTACCATAAATACTCGTATTTTGGAATATCAACTACAATCAAGCTATAAACTGTTATAACTTAAGACTGTAACTGCTTCAAGCCGGATAATTTAATTTTTATTTTGCCTTACTTATCTTAGGCTTTTACGGTGATGCTCTTATTAAATGGTTTGAGACTGGTTATAGACATATTTCCTTTATTCGCGAGTCATTCGGCGGAAACACTTGTAGCTTTCCAGCGCTTTAAAGTAAGTTGTATTATTTGTTTTATGTGTCAAAAGCTTTTATAATCTTGTGATTGTTGCAACTACAGTATGTTTGCTAATCTTCAATAGTATTAAATTTTTATTGCATTGATTGAATTATACAATTTTTTACCCTTATGCATTATATTGCTGTACATTATAACCCGTTTTAGCTAACATAGCGTATCGTAACATAACATTTATTACGAAGCTAATGCTATACTAGCGATATGGGCAAGCTATACTAATAATCTTTGGCCGCTGCTATTTATTTTACTATAGAAATTACTTCTTATGAACGAAATCGAGGCTACCGGTCAAGTGTCATCTGACAGCGGATATGTTATATGTATTAAAGATGCAGAATTTATTTGGGAAAAGGTAAAGATAGATTTACGTCAATATTAGCTAAACCTTAAGTATTTAATAGTTATAAATTTCAAATTAAATATATTCGTTCTACTATTAATTTAAATTTTGATAGGTTAATGAAGGTGTTGATGTGGGTGCTGATGGTATAGTGGATATACTTAATTTATCTTTAATACTTTTACACTCATTTCTTGATAAATATGAATTAATATACGGTATTATGATAAAAATCCATTGTGTTACGTCACGTTTTAGTTAAGCATGCGAGATATACATGCATCCATGCTATAATATTTAGTCTACTAGTACGTTATTTATTATACGTATAGATTATTGTATTTGAACTTAGTTTTTACTTAGAGTTGATGTTACTTTACTGAATTTAAATCTACGTATTCGAAAGTTAACTCCATTATTAACTCTTTCATTGGTCTGTTTTACAAAATAGTCTTTTCTTTGAAGAGTATAAACCTTGAAGTTCCAAAGGTCTGATAAATAATCTGTGAAAGTCTGTCTCATCATGTGTTGCTCATAAACTGAGAATTGTCTTAATATGTTTACAATTTGATACGTATAAATAGGGTCAGGTATTAGGTGCCTGTGGTCGAGTTGGCAGTGGCAAATCTTCCTTGGTATCAGCAATACTCGGAGAAGTATGGAATAAAATGCCTAATATAGTCATACCTAATAGTATTGAACCAATATTCGTAACAATAGTTCGTTATTTGTAGTACTCTTTCTATTTTCGATGTTTTTGCATATCCGGGTATGCGTATTCGAGGATATATACAACGCAGTAGAATCTGACATTCACGCCCGTAATATGGCTGATTTGATTGTTAAGCAATATCAAAAGCTGAAAAATAGTTATAAAGTGTTACATGTGATAGAGCAAATTGTTTATTCAGTAAATTATGACTTCCTTTTCTGTCATGTTCGTAGATGATTTGTCGACGTGGAGAAATTCGAAGAGGAGATTCAATAGCGGTAGTCACTCAACAGGTTAAAACAAATATCAGTGGATCTAAATTTAGCACTGTGTCAATATTTTATACCTGAACACGTTATTTGAAATAAATTTGTATTTAAACAGCCTTGGATTTTTAATGAGACTTTGAGAGAAAATATTTTGTTTGGTAGTAAATATGATTCCAAGAGGTAAGCTTTTGCAGTGGGAACTGCTTGCAATAAATTATCAACGCTAGTAAATATGAATAAATAATGATACAGTACTTGATTATGATATCTAACATACTCTGACTACTCCCTTAGATATTACGACGTTTTATCTGCGTGTTGTTTGACAGCCGATTTAAAATGTTTGATCGCTGGTGACAGAACTCTGGTAGTCCAATATTTTCCAATATGATATTAACTAATTTGTACTTGGCTATTTACACTTATTTTATCCTAATCTTAATTTACGCATCGTATACTAGATTGGTGATAGAGGAATTAACCTCAGCGGTGGCCAAAAGCAAAGAGTCTCCTTAGCTCGTGCAGTTTATGCAGATAAGGAAGTATACCTCCTTGATGACCCATTGAGTGCAGTAGATACAGATGTTGGAGAAAAGATATTTCATCGTTGCATCAAAGGATTATTACGTTCAAAAACGGTCTTATTAGTAACCCATCAATTACAGGTATTGGAATACTTTATCCGTGTATATTAAACATGCTTGAATAATATTACAAATGGTTTAAAATGTGTCTCGCATATGCAAATATTCTCAGTTTATAATATTTGCGAAACTAGGCGTAATTTCGGAATGGCTAATATTTATACTAACATCGTATGTTTGATCGATGTACTTTTGCTTATTAGTATTTAACTGGATGTGATTCCGTATTGCTGTTGGAAAACGGTATAATTGCTGCTAGAGGTACACATGATGAACTTATCAAAAAAAGCAAGGTATCAAGGATTCCGATTAAATATTTAATTTGAAAGAGTGAATAAGACATTTTTGCATATAAATATACTACTAATCCTAATAGGGATATAGGGAGCTTGTGGAAAATTTAAAATCTAAAAAAGACAAAGAATCTCACGAAACAGTAGGATTTCGGGAAAGCACTAGTACTTTTTCCAGTATTAAAAGCGATGAATTTGTTGCTTTCGAGAAAACAAGTGACCAGGGTGTTGACATTAACGTTTATCTGAAGTTTTTTAATGCTTGTGGAGGTTTGTTTAACCAGTTGACAATCTACTTTAAGTTAGTAATATTTAATGACAAGTGATCTTAACATTATTTCGCATTCCTCCAACGACTAGGTCTACGTGTACTATTCCTTTTACTTCTTATGTACATAGCTATTACTGGCTGTCGTGTATTTTCCGATTGGTGGCTAGCAAGATGGATTAACGATAGCCTAACGGTTTAACAACAATTGTGTACTTAATGATACACTATATTAACTTATGATCGCTATTTGCTTAGAGTGTACTGTAAATTTTTATAGGTAGATGTTGACAGTAATAGAACTTTAACGGATGTATGGAATTCAAGTGAACCTATGCCGCCTATTCCGGCGAAGTCCTCAAAATCACAAATTGATATAATTGTTTACGGTCTTTTGGCACTAATTAACGTTCTGTTATTCGTGCTCAAAGCGATATGTGTGTCGAAGGTAATTTTACTTAATTCCAAAGATACTTTCGGTGGTATCTGAAATTAACCTTTGGTATATCACTAAATTTTATAAGGATACGAAAAGAGATTTATTACCTTATTCATCTTAGTATGACTTTACCCTAGTTTACGTAGTTAACTAGGTATAGCATTGGAATATATTCAATCTTGGTAGATTTGCAGTAGTTGAGTATAAGATCTGCTTGCTGAACTAATCTTCTTTATATTACAGATAGCGCTTAAAGGGTCATCTTCTTTGTGTATGAGTGCTTTCCAAAAGGTGGATGTTGAAACATGCTCTTGTCTTTTATGATCTAACGTCTTAAAAAAATTTTTAAAATCGCTAATTTATTCATCATTATTTGATTAAATGCCTGATACTGACATATTTAAAAATAAATAAAACGGACGAATCGTCAATACTGAATTTTCTTCTAAGATATTTTAATCCTAGCATGTTAAGTAATTTAGAAAATTTCCATTCGTAGATATTATCTGCTCCAATGTCTTTTTTTGATACAACGCCATCCGGAAAAATTATTAATAGATTTTCCAGAGATCTCGACGAAGGTAAATGCATTGTCTTCTCCTGAATAATATTGCTAGATTTTTTGCATATCTATACTTGCCAAATGGCTAGGTATGAGAGACTAAGGATTCGTTCTAGTTAACTTTGAAAGAATATTTGTATTGCTATATATATATATATCTAAGGCAATGAGTACGCTAATCTTTGAAATTACTATTTAAAAATCTTATTTAGTTGATACGCAACTGGTATTCTACGCAGATCGAGCTATCTCACTGGTCCTATTAACTGTGGCAACTTTAACGATAGTATCAATAAGTTATCCATGGATTTTATTGGCAGTATTTCCCATGATCTTCGTAACTGGAGCGTTGGCTTATATCTTTAATAAAACAAATCGTGAGCTGAAGCGGTTAGACAACGCTAGTAGGGCGCCTGTAATGACCCACTTAACTGCTACAGTTGAAGGTTAGCTCATCTGTTATATTGTTATCAAGCATGATTACCAGTTACTTAGCTGTTATGATATTTCAAATTTTTAGGACTGACTACCGTTCATGCCTTCAATAAAGTAAAACAACAGGTTGAAATGTAAGATTATACTAAAATCGTCTTAATACAACTAGTAAATTTATAAACTTATAGATGGTTCTACTTTTCTAGATTTCAGAAGTATTTAGATAAAAATTCGTCAATTTTCCTTACTTACTGGTGTGTCAACCGGTGGGTTGCTATTCGTGCAGACTGGATAGCTATAGCTCTAGTTGCGATTTGTTGTATTCTTGTTACTGCCCAGAGAGGCTTAGCGCCATCTGCGTATGCAGGGCTTGCCTTATCCTACGTGCTCCAGGTACATATTTTTAGTTTGCCACGCTATTGTTTTCATAATGGTCGTACTTGCAACTACTATGTTTTTTTCTAAATTTGCTTATATACTTTAGCTAAAAGGATTGATTCAGTTATCTGTGAGATACGTTCTTGATGTCAATTCACGCTTTACGGCTGTGGAGAGGCTAATTGATTATACGGAGGTACTTCTGCATAACACCTTTATACTCTTATAACTATTTGCAAACTGCACTTGACAAAGCAAAGCAAACCCAATTTCATTTATACTACTGTAATTCCTTACGTTATAGAACTTGGAAACTGAAGGATTGTCAACATATTCCAAGCCTTTGTGCTTACCAGATAAGTGGTTAAAGCATGGTCATATATCATTTAGTAACGTAAAAGTATGTACCATATGGCTTTTAGCTAAGGATGTTTGCTGCTTTTCTTAATTTTTCCTATTTTAACCGAATACTACCCAACATTCAGCTTAAGATTAATATTTGACATATCCACGCGTAGGTAAGATACAGGCCAAATTTACCGATTGTGTTAAACAGAGTTACTTTTTCAATAAATGCGCAAGAGCGAATCGGTATAATCGGAAGAACAGGAAGTGGTAATGCTATATAAGCCAAATATACAGTGTAGACGTAATTTAATCTTATCCTAAGAAATATCGATAGATATGAAATAGCAGTAAAATATTTCCTTTCTTTTTAAAATGTTCATTAGGAAAATCTTCACTTATGGCATGCTTATTTCGTTTAACTGAGATTGAGAGCGGTAAAATATGTATCGATGGCATTGATATTCGTGATATAGGTAGTAGATTCGCATTAACTAATCTTATTACAACATCGTTTAACATAAGTGATACCTTTACCACCCATAAAATATTAATATCGTGACGTGTATATCTACTATAGGTATTAAAAATCTGCGCTCTAGTTTGTCGATGATCCCTCAAGATCCATTTTTATTTGCAAATACTCTCAGGTTTAATTTGTTATATTGCAATCAATTTATAATAATTCATTCAGTATATGAAAATAAAATTGAATAAAATTAATCGCTGAAAATAAAGGCATCGGTAAAAAATTTTGTTCACGTGATATTAATTCTTATTATTAATACTACTATCATTTCTAGGAAAAATCTAGACCCATTCGATGAATTTGATGATGAAGAAATTTGGTCAGCTTTAGAGAAAGTGGAATTAAAAGATAAGGTATTTCCGAATTGTTTAGATAAATAAGCAAGTTGATCTTGTTATCTTCATCTTACATTCATTTATATAAAAATTTCTCTTCAGTACTACTTACTGCTAAAGTTGTCTACTTTATAGATCAATAGCATGACTGATAAGCTATATACAAATGTGTTCGCTGGTGGAAGTAATTTTTCACTGGGTGAAAGACAGCTTCTATGCTTAGCTAGAGTGTTACTGAAGCCGAGCAAAGTAAATTTAAATGATACTTAGACTTTATACATTTTAAGTATTAGTTTATTAGATTAACTTCTCATACTCTTATTTGAATTCGCGTAGATACTGATGCTTGACGAGGCTACCGCATTTATGGATACCAAGACTGATGCTATCATTCAGCAAACATTGATAAAGGAATTTAAGGGCAGTACTGTTCTCGTTGTTGCTCACCGCCTAAATACCGTTTTAAATTGCGATAGGATTTTAGCTTTGAGTGCAGGAAAGGTAAACGACAACTTACCGTATCTGGTCTTTTTATTTACCGTATATATATGATAAACATGCTCTGTTTCAGTAAATAAGACACATAACATGAGTCTTTGTGAAATTCATAAATGATTTAATTTATGCTAGGTTATCATTGTTGATTTTGCTATGTAAAATCTTTACTCTTTAATCTTTCAAGTTGATTAAATTTGGTCATCAAAAATACCGTAATTACAGTATTAATATTTATAATATTTAAGATGGCTTAATTATACATTCATACTAGAGATGTTATCCGAAAGAAGCAGAGTGACGACAGAAATCAATTCATGTCTATATATGATTACGAGTACATTGAAATGCATGCGTTAATTAATAATGCAGTCCTATATATTCTTTAAAATTTATAAATTACTTATCTCAGCAGTAAACGATTGACTACACCAGTGTAGCCATTTGAAATTTTTTTCTACTGAAGATATGCTAACAGTGCATTAATGGTATGGTTTGTTGGGATAATTATAATCTGTTAGGTTGTGGAATTTGATACACCCAGAAAATTAATGAAAAGAAGGACTTCTAAATTTAAGGAATTAATAATAAAAGGTGGTATCGATTACGAATCATGGGAAGTCTTTGGTAAAACGTTGATTGGGAATAACAAACAGACTATTGTTTAATATCGGACTTATACGTACATTACGTTGTTCCTTAAAGTGCTGGCAATATGTGTACCGTATTTATACAGTATAGTACACATACTTACACTTGGTTATTGTTAACTGTAAATTATGCAATCTGCAAAATTAAACAGATTTAAAACTTTAAAATGAAGCTCCTTAATTAATTATCTTTTGATTACATTGTATACCGATGTAAGTATTTTATACACTGTCTGTACGGTAGTTGGTTTATGACTGATTTGATATGTGGATACAGTGTACTATAGTACCTTATACGGCTTCGATCGTAGTAATATCGCTGAAAGGTAAAGTTACGAAAAATATTAATTTTAGATATAAAACAGTTCTTTTACGGTAAGAAAAATGCTGGTACGAGAGTATGCATATTGTACAATGATGTATTCAAGTTTATGTCATTATCATTTTAACGTATTTAAAATTAATATGTACGCCTGGCGTAATTCTGTATTTATTCCTTGCTCCAGCTGCCATCCGTATACGAAGACGCTATATCATATATCATAATAGCTATCCTTGTGTAATGTGCAATTAGGCCATTTTTTGTATTAATCCATATATTATTGTATAAATTGTGGCTAATGCCTGAAATGGGGCTATTATACATAACAACCACTTAACATTGTGCATATCGCTTATAACACATATCTCAATTTCTGGTCAACTTTGAGGTGTGCTTGCATAGGATTAGTGTGGATATACCACAATGTAGTAGAAATGAAATTTAAAGATACTTCTTCAATGGTCCACGATGGCTTTAAAATAAAGACAATTGCCAAGTGATAAAGAGTTAATTATTCTCATATGAGTTATTCATCATCTCGTGAATGATATACTGTTATATATAATCCTTCTTCTAATTTATTAAAATCTAAAATTTACTATTGTATCCATTAAAGGATATTTCATAAAAAAATAGTACATAATTCTACAAATTTTGATTAAAGAAAATATGACGTTCATCCTAATGCTAATTTAGATGTAGTTATAGATTCACTGTTGAAGCGATCACACTAGTTACTTAACCCTGCTAATCAAGGACTTCTCTAAGACAAAATAGTCTATGTCAGGCTTGAAGTGGATCGTATAGTGATAAGCTATAAGCATATGAGTATAAAGGGGATATTTAATTAAGATAGGGAACCGCGTGTAGCGGACTGGTATTTCTTCTCTGTAGGGGCTATGAGCCATGACGGGGTAACCTTTTAAATTAAAATCCACTGCAGTAGTGACGGAAGATAATTTTACGATAATTTTGCTATGATATCTATGAGTTTGTGCTACTTTATTATTATATGTAACTGGTACCTTACGTTATTTTATCTCTGCATACGACAATTAAGAAATTCGCATTGCTACGGTAAAGGAGTTAAATATAGAATAGTAACTTGTTGCACGGAATATTGTAGCAAAAATAGAAAAATAAGTCGATACACACGTAGGATACAATGTGCACTGATAAATTAACCTAACTATTAGAATGTATTCAGTCTACCCTTATTTCGATTATAGTATGTGATAAAGCATCTCCAGTATTATAATCATATTATATATCAAAATGTAATTAATTGATTATATAATGAATCGTTCACGGTGCATTCGTGATGTATCTTATAGAGCTTTAGTTTCATGAAATTTTGATATTATTACAATGCTTTGCTTTATTGGTTAACCTGTTATGCGACGCCATGGTTTTGGTGGCTGATACGTAGGATGATAAGAAAATGTATGATGACATAATACCAGACGTTTGATAATCTTTAAGTATCAGAACAGATAGATTAAGGCATTATAAGATCGCTCATAGGAAATTTTATTTGATTTCTAATTGTAACTGGCTTCTTGTAAATATTTTCGTCGGTACTGATGATAGGAATGTGCATAAAACAGCGATAAACTATTACATTCAGCAAATGGCTTTATCCTCACCAGGAATACAGTATCTTTATTTCGTTGGCAATTAATAAATTTAAAAGTATTTAATACAACTATGAGACATAAATATAAATATATTACTGCCCTTAATTACCGTACACAGTAATTATCATAACGTTTGCAGTCTGCATCAGCCCTCATAGTATTGACATTATATGATAGCTATCGGATATTTATACTAATTTTACTTCTTTAATTGAATATTGATATCAAAGGTTAAGTACGATAGGAACTCTTAACAACTGTTAATCATCATTTAAACAACAATAAAGTATGCATAAAATGTTGGATAATTATGACAACTGGGTATACTATTTTACCCATTGAATTATTTTACCGCACTCTAGTGATGGATACAGGAAAGTACTACAGCAAATTACTTGGTTGATACCTACATTTGCTGCGACATTTGTGTACACCATCTGATCCAATCACCTAAGAATTGGTAAGATGTACGGTACGATTAGTATAATGGTATGAATTAATTTAACAGATTGAAGCAATCCTGTACATAATTATCTTTGACGCATACACGTATATGTAAATAGTAACACAGTAATGATATGCTAAGAGCTGCTAATGTAAATATGCCGAAGTGAAATTCTGATGAATAGCAAGTTACATGTTTAAAAATTAATCTATCGTTATGTAGTGAATGAAAGTCTTGAATATAGCAATGCAGTTTATAAATTCATAAAGTATGCTAAGGCATTGACGGATTTATTCATTTGTTTACTGTACTCTGATAGCTATAATAGCGAATTAATAGTTGTAATATCGATTTCGAGTGGGATCGTGGGATAGCTAGTTGTATGTCATACAGTAGAGATGAAATCATGTCGTTATTCAGATATCTAAAATATAGATTGTAGTATATGTATACATGCTGTGCGATAGAGAATGATTACTACGTAATAAAACTCGCTAGTGTTGAAATAAATCACCGCTGAATCAGTAATTATCCAGTAGGATTATCAACAGCCTGCAATAGGGCATTGAAAGTACAGATTTGATAGTATTTTATTACCATAACATTGCAAATGTATCACATTAACTTGACGGCTATGAATGTCTACTCCGTAAAGTGTCAAGTTTCAAGTTTAGTTAAGTTCATAGCTTTATGACGGAAAGTTAAAACAATACCCAGTAGAGCTTTGGATTATATCCAATTTTATCATTATCATGTTACACCGTATTACTATTTCGCACTTTTTCTATGTAAAGATAAATATCAGTTAATTTTACTTTACTACAATTATACACGTGGTCAAGTACGCGTATACGAATAAGATAATAATAATAATCATAGTGGTAATTAACATTGAATATATTAAATCGGACATTCCATCAAATTTTTTTGGACAGATGCTATATACTGTAAATGAGATATACGGCTTTATATTGATTACTAGTATAATTAATGCATCTACCAGCGTCTACAATAGACCCCGCCAGTTTATGAAAAGTTCTTAGAATATTTAACTTAAGCTGTCTAGTAAGTATATTCTAAGAACTTTTCATAAACTGGCGGGGTCTAGTCTACGATTAAGTCGGTGTAATCTACTGTACGGTCTAATGTATTGTTAGCTCCCTAAATTGTACAGGACTATTACAATTGCCGTTATCACATGATAGTTCATTTTTAAATTGTTGAAGGTCGGCTAGGATTACCACCTGTCGAATCCGACCAGATGCACTGGATGGAATGAGTTAAAAGATAAGTGCTTTCAGTATGGCTGTATACATCGATCAACTGAATTAGGTGCTATCGTATTCGTTGTACGCTGTATGTATACAGTATATATATATATATATACTGTAGAGAGAGAGAGAGAGAGATAGATAGATAAGCTCTTTTATTAAAGTAATTTACAATGTTGGTTTTCCCTTTTAGAGCACGCTTCAAATCAATAAAATTATTACGTGTAAAATGACAATTCAGCATGTGCTGCATGTGTGTCGTGTGTTGGCATTTTTCTGTTTTGTATTTTAAATTTAAATGGATTAGGAAAAACGCCAAAAACTTAAAGTATGCAAAGGAGGCTGGATCTTTTTATTTTCTTATTGATTAATAGAGAAAAGACTGGAATTCGTTGATGAGAATAGTTTATTTAAGCATTGAATGCATTATGTTGTTGTTGATCATTCCTAGAATCAGTCCTAGCTCGATAGGGTTCAGTATGGAAATGGATGAGGGAGTGTGGAGTAAAGTGTACAGTATTTGTCTTCCAAGCTACAGTACAGTACTGTACTGTAGTTGCGGTGATTGTGGTGTTTGGCTGATACTGTACAGTACGTACACTGTAGACACTACAGTACTATTGATTGGCAGGTCTTTTTTATGGGTCTTTTTTGAAGTCTTGAGTCATTTTTCCGGCAATGGTAAAACCTGCCAATCAGTACCCTAGAGCACGCAACTGCCTGTGCCTTAATGCAATTACTATACTGTAGATGCGCTCTATGGTAAAGTAGTGATTGGATAGTCCAATTCCGTCTGGGTAAAAAGTTGAAGCTGTCACTATGGACATGAGACAATGCTATAGTGGATTTATGTAAGACGGGGCCCTACAGAACATAACAAATTTTTCAATATAATTGACTTAAGACAGTAAACAATACAGGAAACAGCTGCACGTTGGTAGTGGCATTCCCACGATTGACTTCACGACCATCGCGGCAGATTATCTAGTCGTACTGTATTGGAGGCTGTCGTCACGCTGATAGGGTAGATTTAAGTTATGAAGTTAAACCTCCAAAGTCCAAAGTGGAGCTTTTTTCACTATGACGGACGGATAGGGTAAGATTTTGGTCGCTGTAGCCAGAGCCAAAAGCGTTAACTGTGGCACTGACAAACGCTGTTTTTATTCCGGTTGGCAGTGTACAGTACAAAGTACAGTACTGCATACAGTATTTCTTCTCGCTTGATACTGTAGTGTACAGTACAGTACAGTACACTGAACACTACAGTATCTTGTACTGCACAACAGTACTGTACACTGAGTAAATGGAGCGGAATGAAGCGGGAATTCTACAGTACTTTACTGTAACAAGTGTCACTGTCCACAGCGTCCTGTCGACAGTACTGTACTGTACAGTGTACAGTACTTATACTCTAAAAGTCGACTTGATTACGCAATACACCTTACAAATAATCTTGCTAAGCATGGCGATAAACAACGAATGACGGTCACACGACCGTAAGTGTAACAACTTTGGTGTTGTCACTTGTAACACGGATGAGCAAGTAGCGTCACTTTATGAGTTACTGTACAAAGTACTGTACTGAAAAGGGTCAGTGGTCTTGATTCGCTTCTGCACCGTAGTGTACTGGTAGAGAAAATTTCGACAATGTACAGTATGTAGTACTGTACGGTACCGTACTCCAAATGAACATCTCCTTCGATCTGCAGGTCACTAGCATGGTAGTACAGTATATAACTGATTGACTGGAAGGCAAGTTCGAAAAAAGTTTTTCTTTACCTTTGAGGTTACACAGACCAACACTCAATACAACACACTGTACTCGCCGCATTGCAGTGCAGCCCTTTGGCAAAGAAAAATTGTTCTTACCTATTTGATTTTTAGCCTTTTTACCACATTTTTTCTCAACCAAGTCCACCTCAATAATTCATTCAATAGTAGCTGGCTCTGTAGCATTCTTGGCCATCTCTTCCAAGCCTTTTTTATGCATACATACTGAGAAATCAACCTGTGTCAAAGGTTTGTTGTATTCTTATCAAAGACGTGTTTGAAATAGAGGATTAAAACTCCACGTCCTTTCTCGACCGTTGTTGACATCATGGAAAATAGTTCAAATGAACCGATGCAGCAGTTGAACACAGTTTCAATACTGGAAATAAATAGATTAATAAATGTTACCTTGTATTAGTATTTTAGTGACTCATTTTGGAAACTATTCTTGTGCAATAGGACGTTCAAAGTTAGCAACATCGTTTTGCCTCTACAGGCATAAACAACACGTCCATTCAGTCGTATGGTATGGTGTATTGTATGAGCAGTACGTGCTACATTAGTTGTAGTCTTGCAGATAACGACCTACGTCGCAACACGAGTGTGTTGACGTCTATTCTAGAATTGCTTTTCTTTTAGCCTGCTTCCCTTTTTTATCCTATTACCTAATTTATATTTTTAGCTTTGATAACTGAAGATGCAATTTCATAGGCTAACTTTGTTTTTCTTCTACATAGACATTGCGTTGTTTAATAAAATATTGAGGAGCGTATCAATCTACAGTTTTCTTCCGACCTTATTTCTCTTGGTGGTGAAAGAAAATGGATCAGAAACCTCAACCTGTAGTTCATGAACGTCATGACTCAAAAGAAGAATTAGAACGATTATTTAATGTATTAAATTCACAAAATAACCCTACAGTACCTATGCGTGATCGTCGTTTACCTTATTCATTCTTTCAAGGGCCAACTCGCCCCTATGATTCCAATAATACAACTGCAACGTTATCGACTGATAACAATTTCGGTGTTGGCGATAGCATCGTTCATCCTCGTATCAAATCTTCACCTGCATCATTTCCGTACCACAATAATAACAGTGACATGACTAACAGTAACAATTCAGCTTTTCAACACCGTAATCAACCGCTTCATCCTAAACATCATTCTAGCAGTGCGGCATTTCGTAATGAAAACGCTCATTCTAATAAATCATTTCCTGCCGATGTAAACTATAAGAATTTGATCAATCCTAACGTGGCAATGCGACAACTGCCAATGGCCAGGTAAAGTGGTAGACACTATAAATTTTTTTAAATTCTTCAGTTACCTTTATTATAGCCTACTTCTATTAGCAATTGGACATGAGGAATAGTAAAAACTGTAATCTATACATTACTTTTCAACATAAAAGACAAAGGTATTTGTTTTCAATCTATTCCATTTGACGTAGCAATGTGTTAATCCATGCACTGTCCATACCTAGGCGCTGTTTATTGATCAGATTGTGATACGAGATTTGATTTCCTTATGTTATTTAATTTACTTTGAAGGACTATCTTTCTTTTCTATTGATGTAAGATAAGTAGCTTTATTTAATTAATTAATTTTTTGTCTCCAAATTGTTACTCTCGGCCTCAATACACAAGTGTAAATGGTGGATATCTATATATTAATCAATATTGGGATCCCTTTTTTGATTTTATGAATATAGCACTAGGAGTATACTAGTTTTATTCGAAGTAATCTTTTTCTGTCAGCAGTAGATTCAACACCATAGCTAATAAGGAGACAAATCAAGATGATACAAAATCACGAAGAACTTCTTTTTTTCATTGCATCGACATTATACTGTATTCACAGTACAGTAAAGTAGATTAATTAAGCCGAAGTTAAACGATGAATTAATACCGTACTGCACACTACACTGTACAGTACAATGTACACGTTTAATGCAGTATCGCCACAAGTCAGAACTACAACTTCGAGTGAGAGTACTGAGTACTACGCAAATTATCCAATGTTATTTTATTGATCGCGGTCAATTTTTTGCCATGGTGATGCTTTTTGAGTTATCGCTATGATCTGAACATGCTTTATCTTTGATCCTTAAATCTACTATTTTGATTGTAGTATTGACTCTAATTTATAATTAATGTTTACTGATACAGTCTTATTATTCCAGTACACCACATTTCACTATCTGCTATTCTTGATGACATACGGTACGGCCTCAAACTTAAATGCTCGATTCAACATTTTGTCGTACCCATCAATATTGTGTGCTACTGTAATAATTTCCTATGATGTCATCACTTCAAAGTTATCACTCGAGCATAATTAATTGAAGTTATGGCATAATATTGTTATTACTTACATATGGACTGTTGAGGATGCATTCGTGAGAGATTTTGTCTGTCCTTTAGCCCTTTCAAAATGGCGATTGAAAAGATTTTATCATGACGACTTCTTCCTCCTTTTGCTATACAATACTAATGACATAAAAAAACATTCAGTCGATCGCTTGTTTTTACAACAATTGTACCTGCTCATTTAAAAAGCCTAATGCTAGAGACTGCGTGTAGACATTGTATTTGTATTTGCCGATAGGCCGATGACGACGTTACTCATTGCAACACCCGGATGTTGTTTGAATACGTCTGCCAAAAGTTATTGTTAAGTATAGCATTAGTATTTTATTTCCAACTTCAAGACACTATCACTTTTTATTATTTATTTTAAAGTTGTTAAACGTTCGGTACAGTATCATGCAACTAAACCAAATCAATTTCGGTTATTGTGTACCTTAACTTAACTCGAGCCGCCAATAATACCGTGGTAACGCTAGTTGCCAGTCTGTTTTTTTCTTTAATTAATGGAACTATCATTCCCTACATTCGCAGTACTTATATGTTTTAACTACAGTACTATTCTGTAGGTGCGGCTATACTCGTACACAGTATTTAATTATGAGATTGTTTCGTCGTTATAAATCTCGGGGCTCTGCTGTATACTGTACTGTTTGTAAGACTTATTCCACATCATAAAGAGAGTCATTTATTTTTGTAAGTGGGGATTTTTGACGCCTATAAAAGTAGAACAACTCGCCCGATTGATCCAATTTCGTGAAAGAGTATTTCTTAATCTTAATGTAGCCACCCTGACCCAGTGTCTGATCTTCTATCGCAAAAGTAATCATATTGATAGATTTATTAGATAATTCGGTTGATTCAAATTTAAAAATAGATTTGATGACAAATGCAGCATCATTAATTGCCAAACTTTCAGCTTAAAATTGCTCAATTACGGTATTGTTTGCACTTGGCGGTATGCAGTGGCTAATCACACGAGATTCCTTTTCGAAATTTATAAATTTTACTGATGTACTGCAATAAAAAGTGTTCTTAAAAATTTCTACGTAAGTAATCATCAATTTGGACTACCATTGGGAATAGCAATCTTGTAAATAGCCTCTTGTATTGTTTAACCGTCTACTGTAATATTTAAACGAATTTCACTTTGATCTCATTTCACCAAATCATCCTATACATTACAGTATAATGAAATCCCTTCCAGGTACTCTACAACCTACTTTAGCATCCATTGCTTTTCAATGCCTAACGATCATATTGTAATTATTATTTATATTTTAGAAGCATTAAGATGAACTTGTACTAATGTTCTTCTAAATTATCCTTGAAGGCCCTTTATTACCGAAATTATTTCATTATTCTTTATTGCTTTTAGCATTTTGTAAAAAATTTGCGTCAATCCATTGTTCAAATTTATTTAACCTCCTTTGCGACTGTACTGGAAAGTAAAGAGTTAAGTTCAAATTATGAACAAGGACACCTTTTCGTAGTCCTTGACACAGAATTAAATATAATCATTGTCATGTACTCTAATTGTAGTCATCAAAACTCAATCTACCAGATAAATCCTTTAGCTACTGCGAGAAAAGTGACGAGACTTATTTCTTTGAATGGATTTTAGAGTATGAAATGTTTCGGAAAGGGAGCATTAAGCATAACTACGTGCTTAGCTTACAAAAAAATGCCTTGTCATCATATTTACTTTCGATTGAAATCTTCGTACTAGACCCTTTTATCAGTAAAATGCCGCCAACATTTGATCTGCAGTACTTCTCCGTGTTATGAAATGGATTTTATAAACTGCATTTGCGATGATAGATGAATATTGTCAAAGACAGAAATTTGATGTGTGTTAGGATGAGCTGAGGTTATAATTATAATTTGCCTTTTGTAACTCTAGAACAGATTTGTCAGCCTTAAAGTGTACGTCTTTTAAATAATATATGCTATATTTCTTAAGCTCGATTGTACTGTTCAATCTAGTATGTATATTGTACATTACATATCTTTATTTATCACGGACAGTGCAGCAATTGACCTTTTTTAATAGTTAAACGTAAATACCTCACGCTGGTACACTCAACAGTTGACTATAGCTAAAAACTTATGCCTTTGTTCAACATAATTTTACAAAGTTTGTCCATACAACATTAACAGCTGGAACATCTCCGTTAATTGTCTATTTCACAATTACAATATACCGTATGGGTTACAAATTGTCGTGTGAATTGTTATAACTTTCTATCGATATATAACGTACATGGTGTGACTGTAATTTAATTTTGCGAAGTGGAGATATACAAGTTGAAATTTGGGATTTAGGTAACTAGTACCTTCGAATTTATAGACAATGTTGCTAACAATAACTATGCAGGATTCACTGCTTTGATACATATACACATCATTTACTGGAAATCTTATGTAAGTTCACGTAAGATTTCAAATTGGTATGATTTAAGTTGTCAACTTCTGTAGCCACATTATTTAATCAGACTGATGTTCATCATTTCGATATTCTAAATCATCAAATTTTTGATTATCTTCTGTATAGTTGAAATTTTAAACTAACTTTGAGCAGTTGTTGCCGTACTAATTCGTGATTTCACATTCTAAATATTATAGAAGTGCTTACTGCGTAAACTAATTTGTACAATAGAACTATTTTATTTATTTTTTGGCTATCAATGCGCCTTCAATGAGGAATAATGTAGCAGCGCGCTATTCATGTGATCTTCATTGAAGTGTTTCTCTTATTTTCTAACTTTGTTTAATATAATTTTGCTTAAATTATTTAGCCCTGTGCAACAAAACGGCTTACACATCAGGGGAGGTAGCGGAAGTGGGTTACATCCCAATAATGGACCTATGCAAGCAAAATTACCTGATGGATGGGAGAAAGCCTTCACTCCGGAAGGTCAGGTGTATTTTGTAAATCATATTACCAGAACAACAAGTTGGAATGATCCAAGAAGAAGTATGATGCAGGCACAAAGTCCAAATCCCGTTATACAATCACCACTAAAGACCACTTACGATCTGCCCAATGATAAAGCTATGCAAGAATTACAGATGATGCAATTAGAAAGAAAACATTTAGAACAGAAAAGAGAAGAAATGCTTAGAAAAGAATCTGAAATTAAACGTCAAATTGAAACGTATCAACGACAACAAATACCTGTAGGCCGTACGGAGCAATTATTGCACCGACCTGGATTAGCTACGACTGCTGCACCTAATGGTATACCCAATCATAATCCTGGTCTGATTAAACGAGAGCCAAGTAGCCCCTCTCCCATGCAAATTGATTATCCAACTCCACAGCATAATTCTTTACCGACAGATATTCAAGCCAATTTAAGCCAAGGTCAGATGTTGAATTACCGCGGCGGTAATATATCGATCAATAATCAACTGGCAAACGGGGGATTTAATAATCAAATAATGTCTGAAAATAATGAACCAGATATCGAAGAATTAATTCAAAGTTTGAGCACTTCCGCACAAGACTTAGATATTGAGGCCACTTTAATAGATAGAGATGCTATCGCAAAAATTGAATCCGATCTTGTTAATACTGAACCTGATTGGTACTAAAGGAAATCACGTATTACTTGTAAGATTGCAGTGTACAAATTTCGAAATTAGTTATAAATTGTATGAGATGAGTGAGAATCTATTGGTTTCTGGTCATTTAATTTATAACCATAAACTTAAGATAATGATATATACAAAGTAAGTACTACATTTATTTCGCTGGCATCGTTTAATCGATGGTAGACTACAAAATCCTATGGTATGATGCTTTAGAAACGTATGTGCGATAATACCAATTAATTCAAGTGAATGTACATGAAAAAGTTGCTGATCTGATCTGAACATCTTATTGGATTGTAACATGGTATAAGATATGATATAGTTATTGTTGATAACTCCTGAGCTGAAGTCGAACTTTTGTTACAGTGTAATCTCCCATGATTAAAATATCCTTATGTTAACCTATGTAAATACGAGATGTGGAGCTAAAATTTGTTTTATACTAATTTTATTATATTGAAGAAGTGTAACTATTTCTGCTAAATTACTATGCGATCAAGTTGTAATGCAATAGCGACTGTAGTCCCAAGTTGATGTTTACAGTAATGCGTTATATTATAATTATAAATTGATTTGATTTGAAGCTTAATTCAGAAGTTTAATTTAAAGTGCAACTCTAACTCTACGTAAGAATCGATATCAACCACTTAGATAAATAATATAATTAATAGGCGGTATCGTTAAAATGAAAATACAAAATATTCGTAATTTGTTATTAGTCATATATACGGATATCGCTTGATAATTTTATAATTATCACTTTAAGAGATTTTACTATTTTACATACAGTAAAACTTGCTGCTTTTCTATCACGTCCAGTCTTTTATTCTCGCCATGTTTACACTTGCACTGGTGAATACTAATTGCGCTAAGATGTAACTCCCAAAGTTACTACCCAAAATGTGTAAATTTTTAAAATTTGTTTAACCTCTAATCTTTTTATTGCCTATTGTTTTTACCTTAACATTGTTAAATCTCTGACTACCGTTACGGTATCTAGAGGGAATAAAATTTTATGTATCCTAAATATATATATTTTTTTGATGATACACTTGGTGTGACACGGAAAGAAGGCTTGCTACTACTCAAGTGAATTTGTTCATATTATCAAAATCTAGTCGTCTCTTAGTCAAGCATTAAACTTTGAAAAATGTATAGAAAGCTCTTGTACAGTACGATATACTGTACTATACCGTAATTGCTTTTTATTGAATTTTCATAAATGATCATACCACATGATTACTAACTATCCTTATTGACTTTTAGTATGTAATCTATGAGTCCGTTCTGCATACTGAATAGTATCGTATAGGGCAATATCAACAGACAGTCTTCAGCAACATGAGCTATGATGAATAACGTTTAAAATGTTATTTGCTCATTTTATAGTCTAGTACAAATTCCATGTATAGATGTGACCGGATGAGCAACTAATTTCTACGGTAATGCTTCAGTGCCTATCATATATTTACGATGTTATGGTGTGGAATGTACAGTACCGTAGACATGTCCCGATGCTTAATAGAGCCAGTAAGATCGCTGAAGCAGTTATATGCGTAACAAAAAATAGAAAGTTATTAATAGTAACTTACAGCTGTATACGCGAGACAGGCCAATATATTATATAGTAATTACAATATAATTACAGAAATGAGTAATAATGTACGATTTGATGATTAATTACGGTATATATTAGTTTCACGAGGCCAATAAAGGATCAATTGGCGTAATTCATTAGTGTTAATTTTTCTCCTGATATACAATATATCAACGAAATGTTGGAAAGTGCGTTTAACACCAGTATAAAATTTCGAATAATATGGTAAATTTTCTTTTCAGTTACAAAATTAAGCTAAGTAAAATATTTAAGATCACTTTACAATATCGAGGCACTGTAATCGATTGTACGATTAACTACGCGGCAATCGAATTCATCACAAAACGATTCAACAAATGGTTCTATTGCCTCGTCAACTGTAACTTCCCGATCGCAAATGGCAGTTAATGAGGTGACTCCTTTGCCATGAATACCACACGGCACGATATGATCAAACCACGATAGGTCAACGTTGCAATTCAAAGCTATGCCATGCAGTGTAATCCATCGCGATGAATGTATACCTGATATGAACACAAAAATCCTTCTTATTAATTATAATATTTTGACTTTACAAACGCTGATTAAATAAATTGTCAGTATAAATGAGATCTCCAAATACTGTTTTAAAATCCTTACCCTACAGCATTAAGATAGCGAATTAGCGATAGTTACTGTACAATGCAGTACTTCTAGATGAATCAGCCTTGATATCAGACGATTAACAAATACTTGCTGTAGCTTACTAGTCTCTATGCGTACAGTAATTTATAAAATTAGAAATAGATTTAATCAATAACTATACCTATTGCTGCGATCTTTTCATCATGAACCCATACACCAGTGTGTTCAGTAGTTTTTGCAGTTACATTGAACCGGTTACAAGTTGCAATCAGGCATTTCTCCAGTTGGTGAATATACCAACGAAGACTTTTCGTAAAATGAGCTAAATTAATAATAGGATAACAAACCAATTGGCCAGGTCCATGAAATGTAATTAATCCACCGCGGCTAGTTTTATAATATTCACAGTTTAAGTTTAGTTTTTTTAACCTCTGCACTTCTTCATCGAATCCATCTTGACGCACACCTATAGTATAGACTGGATCATGTTGACAAATCAGCAAAGTATCCATGGCATCATAGGGTGAATTCTGACCATCCATAACATTTTTGCCATCACCATTCAAGCCAGTTGGTTGATTGAGCATTTGTAGTTGAGCCCGTTGTAAAGCCTTTTGAATTTCTAATCCTCGAGTGTATTTGATCCTTCCCAGATTTCGAACAGCTATGGAACGGATAGTCATCTTCATGAATAATAGTTTCAGGGACAGTCAGTCAGTTAATTTAAGATCCATCTGCTAGATCAGCTGTGATATTTCTTTCTTTCCTTCAGGCTATTTTGCAACATTAGTTTACAGCTACCTTGAATGACTACAGTAACATTAGCTTACGCTATACTGTACTGTACTGTACATACCGTACCGGGTAGTGCACTTTCACTACTAACAGTTCCTGTACCGTACAGTGTACAGTGTACAGTACAGTACTGTTGTACTGTAGTCTTTGAGCTGTGTACTATAAAGCATGGACTGCTAGAAGATTACTGTGCTGACTGTGATTGAGATCCACTACTGAGGTCTTCAATTTTGGTAGAAGCCTAAGGGGTTTCTAGTCAGAGTCAGAGCTACTGAAAGATACTTTATTCCTCCTTATTTATTTATATTTTTTAATAGGATACGATAACAAGATAATACCAAAACACTATACTATAATCAGGAATATGATCGGTATGTAGAAAACTGTACAACATTCTTTCTTTAGTAGTCTCTGCAGTACAGTGCAGCTAGCGCCTATGCAGCTGTAGGCGAAAACTTGCATAGGTCAAAGTAATCGTGGATATCAAACATGCGTTAAAATTTTAGTCAAATTCCTGCAATTCACAATACTATACGTTTATCCGGATGATTTAATTACTATACAATCACTATATTTGCGTCACATTTGAGTATTTAGCCTACGCTTTATACAGTATCACATTATAATTATTTTCTCCTATATACGAGTATAATAGTGAGATGGGTGATTACATGGGCAGCGTCACTAGTGGGTACAGTAAGATAAACTAATGATTTAACCAAGTATCCTTATTAATTAGGCATTTGCTAATATTTCAGTTCGTATAGATACAGAAAGTGCCTTATTAACTCATTGTAGACTGATGAGGGTAGCATAATAGGTTAGTTACATTTTTAACAAATTGTATAAAACATTAATCAAACTATGTAAGAAGACAATCCTCTATCACTTCTACAGTTTTACTATACTCTCGTCAGCATGATGCACCTGTATTTGTAACTGGCACATTTCAGGAACTGAAATTTCTACTTGCAAGTTGTAACAACATAGTAAACATTATAAATGTAATAATGAAAGAATTAATTCAATTTTGAACACTACAGGTAATATTTCATTATCTAGTACGCATACAAAAGTGTACGAGTACAGTATATTGACGGTGTGCCAACGCAGGGATTACCATAGGAGAAGTATCCGTAGAAGTAAGGTCCATAGTAATTTACACTCTTTCAACCGAAAGATGGCTGATCTGTCTATCGTTGAAAGTAAACTACAGCAAAAAGAACACTATATCGGGATTTACTGTAGCATTTCTGTTGTTGGGGCGCCTCGCATTAGCATCAATTAAGTTATATTATTTAATCAAACCAATGAGCATGCACATACGACATTATTAATAGACTAGCGTATAGAGACAAGTCCAAGATGTTTCCACTTGATACAGGCAATGAAACTGAACAATTTCTAAAGACCTAATAAACTTTATATAAGAAAATTTTATATGGATATTTGTACAAACACTGTAGCGCGTACAGGCTAAACAGCTGAAAATAATCGAAATATAAATATATTTATGTATCATCAAAGTAGTCATCTTTATAGTAATAGGAGAGAAACATCTCATTTATACAGTCACCAGTACTGATGTTATGCAATGATTAATGTTTCGTATATTGTACAGGTTATATATATATATATATATACATAATAAAAACATTTTGAGGAAAGTATAGTACGATGCATGCTGCTCAATTTTTTGCTTCAATAAATTGCATGTGGCATTAAACTGTCCATTTGAGACAACTATAAATCAAAAAGGATATAATTGAGGATTTTAAAATTTTAAAGTTCATAATTGTAAATGTAGCCGATATTTAAAATTGTACCTTAATAAATATGCAGTAAATAAGATGTTTAACTTACCGAGTGTCTTGGTGAATGCGTAGACATTTAATGCTACAGTACTTAGCACCACATGTTACGCAAATGTAATTAGAAGGAAACCCACAAACATGACAGAATTTTCTAGTGGGATATTTTGGAGGCGGTGCTGTTGCAGTAACATAGTTGGGTTCGTCACTGTCTCCATTTTGTTGAATCTATAAGCAATAAGATAACATTTCAGATAATGAAATAAAGTGTAAATAATTAATATAATAAACGATAATATCTTCCTTATTTTTAAATCCACTATGCTATCATATCAATATCTCATAAATTTCGCCAGTATTCAAGTTAATATATGGACTAGTACAGTAGAAGACACACAGCAAACTGTAGACATACGTTTTCTTCCAGTAAAGCAGCGAAATTCTTTCTCAGCCTCTAAAAAAATTACAGAAGTATTAGCGTGGCTATTAGAGATCAGGGTAGGGTGCAGCAGTATTTATATTAGGTCTAATTTCTTTGGGATGTTGCATGTAAGAACTACATTTCTTCTGCTTATATTACGATGCAAGACTGGTATTATCGTTCAATGTTGATATCTATATTTTGAGCATATGTATCGTATTGGAGTAGCTTTCGTAGCTATGTATACCTTTTGTACATTATCATGGCCCTTTGCTTTTTTCTTTTTCTTGGAAGAAACGCTTGTTGCTACATCATTATAATTAGAGATAAGTAAAATTTTCTTTCAAAACTTGAGGCAAACTGCATCAAGAGTAGAATAATATGAGATTTTAATTTAGAGGAGACAATTACCTTCGAGATCATGAAAGGGGAGATACCTTTTACTAGGTATATTGAGGTTTGCTTGTGGATCGTCATTATGGTTATCTTTCTCTAAATACTCTAGGTAGCGTGAAAGACGTCTCCGACGACTTGAATCGTCTAATACTCTTCTTCCATCCGCATCTTTGATCCTACCTATCAAATTACAACAGCAAGCTACGTGTAAATGCCGATATTGGAGACTGACTAACTTGACTTTTACTCTCTACTGTCTATTTTCATAGGTAATCGAATAGCATTACTCGCATATGAATGACAACAGCAAACTGCGTATAAAAGTCACTATTAGAGAATAACTTCCCTTTTACTCTTTACTGTCTATTTTCACACTTAATCGATTAACACTATTCAATGCGTATGAATGGCTCCATTGCTGCAACGCCATCAGGAGGCGCTGATCATTTTTATATTTTTATATTGGTCAATGCATAAACATTGATATAGTATATAAAATAACTCAAAGCAGATAGGATTCGTGGCAGATACTCACTAGATTCTCGTTTTTCATTTGGTAATTTTGACGACTTGGACATGATCGAGTTCGATGCAACAGCAGCAGGCTTTGAACAGCAATGGATTTGATCGATTATATTTTGGAACTCGTATGGCTATCGGCAGTATGGCACTGTAGTTTAATACTTTACTATACAGTACAGCATGCTTCACGGTGCATAGTATGGCGTCAGTATAACATTTCGTCGCTATTTCTATGGCGACGAGTACCAAGGACTTGCGAGTGCTGTACAAGATGAGCTCTGTCCGCCCGTCTTTCCATAAGCCAAATTAGTTTCAATCATACTGAATCCAGTGGAATAGGAATCGAGGATACTGTATCAAACAACTAAATTCGATATAGTACAGTATATGTAAAAGCGATCACTTCTCATTCAATCTGTTTCATTTTGTATTAGCTATTAAAAGGAATAGTTTGATCTTGGTTAGCTTTTGGCCAAAATGAGGACATCATCCATGTTTGGCATTACTTTCCTTCTAAAAGCTAAATGACAGTGAATTTACCCTTTCTATCATGGAGTTATATTGATTTTAAAGTGACGAGATTGACCTTGAAAAGGATATTTTTTCCATACTATTCCATTCTATTTGCAGGGGCCATCAGGGCCCACTCCATGCAAACTTTTTGTAAATTATTCGGATATTTTGATAATCTTTTTTATTCTTGGTAAGATTGAATCGTATTGACAAATAATAGAGGTACTCTTATTGTTAACAGGCAATACTGAAAGTTATTTCTTTTTATCATAGAGTATTTTAATTCCAATGAGGTAGGATTGCCATAAAATGGGCACAAAGTGGCAATTTTAACACCAATCACATCACTTTGGAGGCCAAAACACTCCATGATAAAAAGTAAACCTCTCGCAGTTTTGATTTTACAGGGGAAAGCAATGCAAATTGTTATAAATTAACTACTTGAAATGAAGCCAAAATTGTTAATTCACAAAATGCTCGAATACACTTAAGCGTATAATACAGTATAGGAATGGAATGAAGCGATCAATGATTGTTCCGATGGTGCGAAAAGTGCTTGCAAATACGAGGTCCTACATTGCATCTGGTTCTACGATACTGTATCCTCCATGGCTACAGTACTGTAGAAAGAGCTAAGCCAGCCAGCATGAAATGCTCAAAGGCGGTTACTGTTAACGCTAAACATGGACTATGAGAAGAAAAACTAACTATTAATCCATGATGTTAAATTACATACTGTGTATAGTGATGTAAATGCAAACCTAAACATGCACATTCCGCTCCAACCAGCCGAGCAGGATGTTGGACTCGTTATTTCCATAATATCTATATTCATTCTTAGCAGTACGAAGGCTTGGGCAAAATGGGCCAAGGCCACTTTATTGACGAGTCGGAGACAGATCTAAATGACCTCTACGCAACTACCATCATCATCAAAAATCCTTCAATTCTGTTCGCAAATTAGAAGTCATGATTCTACTCCAATATACTGTACTGTAGAGAATGAGTTCTACTCTGAAATATTCCGGTGTAAATAATTTCAGTTCGAGCTATGCAAGTCTACAATTAAGCTGTACTGAAACACCTCTTCTTTACTAGCCTGAAATAGATCTAAATGACCTTTATGCAACTGCCATCATAATCGAAAATGCTTCAATTCTACTTATAAATTAAAGATTACGATTCTATTCCAATATAGGGTAGAGAGAGTTCTACTCGAAAGTATTGCACAATAAGTAATTTCACTTCGAGCTGTGCAAGTTTGCTGTACTGAAACACTTTATTTACTAGTCTAAGGTAAATTTAAATGACCTCTGTGCAACAGCCATCATGATCAAGAATACTGCATTTCTGCTTCTAAATTAAGAGTGACGATGATTCTACTCCAATATATAGTAGAGAAGGAGTTGTACTCTAAAACATTCCATAATTTCAGCTCCAACTCTGTAAAATTATGCCATGCAGAGACAGTACTTCATGGCAAGCGCATCGTACAACACCATTATAATTAATCCATTAATTAATTTTAATCAGTAAAACTACATTACTCCACCATGGACTACTCAGTTTACAGCTAGTGCATCTAGTAGAACAATATTCTACCATGGACTACTTAATTTACACCTAGTACATCTCGTAGTATAGTACTCTACCATGCATGGACTATTCAATCCAATTCAATTGACTACTAGTGCATCGAGCAGTCCATGAATCTACTTTAAAGGCAGTTCCGCCCCTAGACAACCCCCACCCATGGTACCACCCTTTATACGGCTCCTGGTACTGTATTGAAAGCAGACTCATTTCGTTTTCATTGGCCTTACCTGCTAAGGAATCCATTTTTCCACGTTATGATGAGGTCTTCTACCATCAATATTATTGCTATTATAGCTCTAACTGTCATAGTCGCATCATCGAATGTGCAATCAGCTAAAATTGTCGGTTACCCATTAGATGCTTATAGCCATACGGATAATTTCATTCGTGTTGGCGATGAGTTGATGAATCGCGGCCATTCTTTTACCTTACTCATCTCAACATGGATTGAAAGTAAAGTAAAGGATAAAATTCATTTCAATTCTATGACTTACTTTAGCTATTTAAACGACGATATTACCAAATTTTGCATTGTATCTGCAATTCGAGATGACTATCCTCCAAAGAACTGCTCTACCTTCTATAGCTATCAATGCCATAACACTTCCAGGGATCAAGAGATCATCAAAGCTATCTCGCAAGCAGGTAGGCAAGCAGTCAATAGTTAGATCGATACCACCAGATACTGCAGTCTTGAACTAGTTCTGTTGGTAGTGTAATGGTGACTATTCTGTAATATTAACAGATTTATTATTGCTTCGATGTATACAAAGATATGCCCATAACTTATTATTACGGTAAATGGATACACCGTTCTTAGATATCACATAAATGTTAACAATTTATTATAACAGTCTTAAAATAGTCTTATTATATTCCTATTTGTAGTTACCTCTTGCCAGTTGCAATTTCTAAATAGTTTATAGTAACGTTAAATTTATACTTACTACTTTACTGAGTGGAATATTTCGCTGTACTACCATGTAAAGCGTTTTACAAATCGCATCTTTAGCAACTCTAGAAGAGTGTATCTTTAAAGCTCGCCGGATTTTTCTAGGGTAGGAGGGGGTGGCATAATATTTCAATAATCTTATACAGACACAGTTTATAAATTAATGTAGTCACCGTTATTTACTGCACGTCCGTTTAAAGCATACATTATCTACTGTAATACTTGCATACGTATATACTCGTATATACAACTTTATATCGTAATTAGGCTGCAATTGCAAACGATTTATTCCATGATATCATCTATGTATGAAAGGAATCTAAAATAAGTATAATTGCTTTTTCCACCTGAAATAGACATCCTAATATGCGATGTTTGCGGTGCCTGCTGCCATGTTCTAGCCAAAATCGCCAAAGTTCCAATTGTGGTGGATTATAGCTCATTGGGATTTCTTGATCCCATTGTATCGTCCGTTCATAGGATACCTAACCCATTAGCATATATACCGCAAATGGGAACAGATTACCCAACCTTAATGACATTTTCTCAGCGCTTATCCAATTTCTTAGGTTATGTTGTCATTATCTTATTTAAAGACTACGTAATGGCGCCTCCTTTTAACGAAATATTGCATCAACATGGCATAGTAAATCAAGATATCTACATTGATCGATCTCCTGCTCATATATTACTTGTGGCGTCTGATTTTGCAATTGAATTCCCCCGACCTATTACACCTGGAGTTAAAATGATTGGACCAGTTACCGTACAATCACCTCAACCTTTACCTCAAGATATTGAAAATTTTATCAACTCCAATAGCAATGGTTTCATCTTTGTTTCATTTGGTACAGTTGCAGTCGCTTTAAATGCCATCACTGACATTGATGAGATGGCTAAAGGCCTGGGACAATTACCATATAATGTTTTGTGGAAATACACTGGATCACCCATCAAAAATTTACCTACTAATATTAAAACTGTAAATTGGGCTCCCCAGAATGATGTCTTGGGCCATGCAAAAATTAAAGCATTTGTATCTCATTGTGGAATGAATAGTGTACTCGAAGCTGCTTATCATGGTGTGCCAGTAATTGCTGTACCATTAATGTACGATCAATCCAACAATGCACAAAAACTTGCTGTTGCAGGAATGAGTAAAATCATCAATTTCCGATATTTAAATGCAAAATCCATTAAACAAATTATTAATGATGTTGTTAGCGATCCTACTTACGCTAAAAATGCTAAAAGGGTTTCAAGTATTATGAAAGATCGCCCAAGTAGGAGAAAGCCTATTCAAGAAGCTGCAGACTGGATTGAGTATGCACTTCGATTTGATGGATGTGAACATTTACGCAGCCAAGAAATGAATATGCCTTTCTATCAACGATATTTACTTGACGTTATTGGATTTATCGCTCTCACTATATACATCATCTATCGGATAATGAGGATAAGCTGCGGCTTTCTATGTAAACGTTGTTGTGCTAAGAAAACGAAACAAGACTAACAAAAGAGAAAATTGATCGATAAGTTTTTGCCTGGTGCTTAGAAGTTATGAAATATTTTATTAATTGTAAAACTATTTTAAGAAATTTTCTTAGCTAGATACAGTATATTTTATAGTTATTATTTGCTTCCGCTATACTCAGACGAATAATTATGACGAGTAGAGCAGTGCCTGTTTTATTAAAATTTTACAGTAGCATCGAATGACTACTACCATAATTTACTCTTCAATAAGAATATGACTGCCTATTTATTGTATACATATAACAAAAATTTATTAAAAACGATTTATGAGCACTTTTACTATTTTAGCTATAACATTTTTTTCATAATTGTATACTAATTAGATGTTTCAGAAAATGATCTGCTAAATATTAAAATGGACATTACCTTCAGTAGATGACTATTCTTAATGTTTTTGTTATAACTAATTAGCAATACTTTAACATGTTTCAGTATTACTTTGTAATAGAGGCTGCTTATGAGGTTCTATCATCTTTTAGCAAAAGCTGTATGAAATTTTCTCAGCATTAAGTGCTTTTTAAGATGACTAATATCGAAATTTTATCTGTCTTTACTTTGCAACGATATAGACATAGCCAATGCCTAGTATATCAGTAGTGATTGCTACGTACTGTGTACAGTCTTACTATCTGAAATTTTCGTATATCTCGTAAACTAGCAACTATTCATTCTACCATTTAAACCGTGAAGGTAGACCAAAGTACAGCATTCATTCAGTACTGTTATCTTGCTAATGCCATACAATAATATAATAAAGATAAATATACCGATATTCGAGCTATTACCTCATTGTCATTTTCCAGACTATCAGTAGAGAAGTTTATTAATGATCCTATCTAACAGTAGTAAATGAGTTCTAGAGATTATTGTGAAATGTATCAATAATTTCAACAGTCTTTTTAGGTACTGCAAACCCTTATAGAAACTCTTACTGCTAAACTTACTAAGAACTTTTCCATAACTTAGGTTGACTTAAAATTACAATTACGTAAACAGGTTGTAATATGAAATTTATTTTTCGTACTCTTAGATAATTACGCCTATGATAATAATGCCGCTCAGCCTAGAAAAAATCTGTGCAAATTTATAACTGCCCTTCTAGGCTTCTCCCACCAGTTAATTTGTTACAAAGTTAACTATAACCGGCAGTAATTGACCGATTTTAAAATTACGATAGTATTGCACATTTATTTAGAGGAATTAATGCTATATATTTTACTTTATCAAATGTAGTTTTATTTCGATATTTTATCAGTCATCATACGTCATATCAATATCCAAAATGCACAATAGGAGAAATTTTATTTTACAAGATTATAGTTTACCAACATGTATATACATTATATAAAAACTTCAAGTGTACAACTACAGTTATTCATTTTAATTGCCTAAAGAATCAGTTATTAACAGTTTTGAGTAAATTTGGGTACAAGAGACAGATAATACAAACTTAACTATGAAATTTCTTTTTAGGATGTATTGATATATGCACCGGTGAGCATAATTTAAGAATTCCATTCAACTGATATTTTGAATTAGAGATACTAGAGTCAGGTTCAAGATCAAAGGCTCCATTTTCCAGGTAGGATTTCCAATCTGTTAGTTGCTTCTCAACATGATCAGCTTGATAAGTTATCACTGGGCATATCTCAATATAGCCTACATCTATATGAATCGACATGAAGAATAGTTTATTACCGCTGTCACTATAACATTTTTACCAAGATAACATCGTTACATTAAGCTCGTGTTACCTGACCAAGCAGAGTGTGATATCACAATTTTTGTAGATAAATGATAGCCAGTGCTACTGCAAGGATGGAAATCTGCCAATTTAGGGGTGAAGAGTTGCGTTCGGCGATCCGGAAAAGTAACCTTAATTTTATAAGTTGGAATAAATCTTAAAATTTTCAAACTAATCTGATGTTCTAAATCCAGAAGACGACACAATGTAAACTATTGAAATAATTACCAGTATTCGTATCACTGAAGGATCTGATACATTTTCAAAATTAATGTCGATGTTAATTGCCACAGGAAGTCTAGCAGTAAAACGATATACATTGTCAGTTTTATCTTTCGGCTCATTAACTATAGCTGTTACACGTTGGATTAGGGAATCTTCATTAATCTTTGATCCATCTTCTTCTAAAAGACTGGTATTATCACCAAAGTGAGGAAAAGAATAGCTGAAAATGATATTCATTATTTTAGAGCTTATGTCTTGTAGACGTCTTGCCACTTCAGATAGTTCAGTTATATTATCTATTCGAAATATGTCCATTTGCCCTCCGAAATCTTTAGATTTTGTACAGATGCCAAGTAATGACTGTATAAGCTGATTCAATGGCAGGCCCATTGAACAAAGAAAGCTAAAAATGAACATTCGAAAAATAAATATACAGAGTAAGGTCCATCTAATTAGATGTTGATTGTGTTGATCCTAAAATAGGCTTAAATTACCTTTCTAAACCGATGATCCTTTCCTTGAAATACAATATAGGTCTATCACAGAAATTAAAAACATAATTTTAAAACACTTCTATTTTATCATTCACTCTCTACTCTTTTCTATAAGTATTTTTAACCTTTCTAAACTTCTTATCTGATCAGTGAAAGCACCAATAGACCTACAAATTAAATTAATGTAAACGTGTATCATGAAATTTATTATTAAAACAGGTTCTAAGCATGTCAAAGATTAACATATATGATATAACTAAAGCAGCAGCATAGAAGCACAATTCAAGAAAAATCGTACTCTCTTCCAATATTAGCTCCGAGCTTTATTCGAATTAATAAGAGGACCAGAATTGCATGAGCTAAAGCTCTTAATTGCCTTAGCAATGCTGATTTCTCTATATTAAGGCCAGTAAATAGGTGTTCCATTCGATAAGAATATTCTAAAATCTATAAACAAAGCAAATTGATGATCACAAAATGTTAGTAATTTTCCGAAAGCAATAGAGTTACTTAATGTACCCTAATGAATGTGTTCATATGCAATTAAGAAATTATCAAACAAACAGTTTACCTGAAGAGTGGCTGACCAGCATGATGGTTCAATACGTGATGCAAGCTGATCTGAGCCTATCCAAATGTCATCTTCCTTTATCTAATATATAATTATAATTGAATTTATCAAAGGCTTGTAATAGAATTACGAAAGCAAACCAAACAAGTTGAGTCTGCATACATATATATGCATACAACATATACATATATACATTAAAAGTTATTTACCCGCGCCCACAATAACTGGCATTCTGTATACAAGGATAAACATTTAGCAATTCCTGCTAATTTTTTGTCAAGTTCCTGAATGCGACATAAGTCTCTGATACAAAGAAAATATTAGATTCGATAAGTCCTTTTATATTTTATCTATCTACTTTCACTAATGACTGACATACAAACCTAAGTAAGAATTTTAAAACTTTTTTCTCTTTGTTCACTGATGATACAGAATTCATCTTAGTTATTGTCATTTTTAAGAATTTGTGAGTATCAAAGTCTAAATAGAAAGCAAATTGACATCTATTAAATTCGATATAACTCTAAATAGTAGAATACTACTGACTTCATACCTCCATTTGTATTTTGAAAATCCTTTGTTCTAATTCCAAGCTAATTTTAAATGCAATCATTAGCTTCGTACTATAATAACTCTAACAGTATTTTCTATTTACAAACCTTTGAAATAGGGACCAAATCAGGATATTTGTCTTTTAGATATGAATAATGTTTGAAAAGAAACTGGGGAAAATAATTTACTAACAGGGGGTAAGATGTTGATGCGCTAAAAATAAATATAGCAATACCAATATCTAATGATATTTGTTAAGATTTACAGATCCTCTGTGATAGAACGTTCTTTATAGTAAAATACAGCTTTTCTACAAAAGAAGTTAATGGTTTTTACTATAGTATTTTAAAGGATACGAGATGGATCAGAGATATCCGCTTCAGACGTAGCAAAGTAGGGATGCAATGATAGTAAATCGGTTATAAAGGACATAATAAGGTATCCATGATCTTTGCCTAAATCCTTCAAGCACCTAAGAATATTTGAATGAGATTACAAATTTGATAATAATATCTTTTTGATTATCACAGCAGAACATACTCCCAAATAGATAACTGATCTTCTCTGTACTGATGTAAGTTTCTAATCAATGCCTGAACGCCAAACTGCAGTGGCGGAACAGTTGTAAAATGTAGTGAACGTAGTAAAATCCTTAAAGCATTGCGTATTTCCGTTGATCGATCCTAAATTAGAAGAGTAAAAATATTATTAATTATTTAAAGTATCATCTTAAAATAATACATACAACCGTAAAACCAAAATGTATTTTACAACCTTTAATAGATCAAGTACAATATTTAGTTGATCATCGCGAAGAGTTATTTTGTGAGCTAATCTTTTCAAACAATGAATTGCTGCCAGCCTAAAATGTTATTACATCAAAGTGTCATCGATTCATAACTATTTTTATATCCTAGGGTTTGTTAAATCACAGAACATTAATCGCATAAATTTACAAACCTAACACTCTCAATTTCATCATTTAACATATCCACAATGAAATCGGTTAACAGATGAGCAAATGGTTCATATCTTTGGCCAAGTAGACACATTGACTCCACAGTAACAATTCGAACCTCTGAAAGAAGAATGAAAGTTTTAAAGATTTTGATTACGCACTAAAATTAAATAGTATAATGTAAAAAATAGTTAAAAACTACATTATAATATAATTAATATATAATTACCCATAAATTCATCTTCGAGACCATGTACAAAAGCCCCACAGGCTCCACTTTCCATTAGATTGACGTCGTCGACTGTAAGTTCAGGCTATAAAACGTAAAATAAATCGCGTTAAATTCGAGATCACGAATTGTACAATAATAAAGTACTTTGTTGCAACTATAGTTGAAGCAAGATATTCCATCTGCAGCACCTTAGGAGCATCCTTCTTCCAAACTCTTCCACTAGACCAACTAACAGCTGATTCTCCAGCCTTTACTCTCTCAATTTTCTTTTCGTGGTCACTTTTACGTTTCTAAAAGAATGACACGTTAATTTACTAAATTCATATAGTAAGATCTGGTGCCTTCAAGCCTTAGATATGTACCTGCAGATGAGACATGATTTTTTTATCCAATGTTTGCTCTAAATATTTGAAGCTAACTGGATGGAAAATACCCTAGATTGTATAAAAATATGAGTTATTGGGCAATGTAATACTGCATATCAAAACACTATAACACAAAGTATAGTTATACCAAGAGTTTAGCGGCTTCAACTCTCACTTTCATCGATAAATCGGTCATCTATACGCATATAAACAGTTCAGAAAATAATTAAGACTGGACGTAATCATTAGCTAAAAGCTATCATTTCATGATAGTTTGTTACCATGCCACAGATTTTAATAAAGCCTTCGTCAGCTAGTTTGTTCTCCTCTCCTGACAATAGCGATTTATAGAAGCTATTATATCAAAGTTTATTCATTAGTAAGGGATACCCTCAGTATTTACTAAATTGCATGTAATATTATTGATTTCTAACCTGTCGCTATATTCCATACTTATGGCCCATATCATCTTCATAGCATTAATTCGAACATCTTCATAATCATCTTTAATAGATTGAACGGCCTATTCCAAAAAAACAGTATACGGTTATGAACCATCTTCTTTTAATAAAGTTGCTCATAACTGCATAAGATTGCTTTACAGAACTAACCCTGTCATAGCTTGGTAATTCCAATTTTATGCCTCTACTGTGTAAAGTTAGCTAAACAGTAAACAAAAACAAGTTCTATTAAATTAGGTTCATGCACAGTTCCATAAAGGTATCAGTAACAAACCATGCTTTGCAGGGCGCTAGTTCTAACACGAGAATCACGATCTTCGATATATCGACTAACCAATTGATGAATACCAACAACGTTCTGTGTAAATAAACGATTATAATTAATGTAGATGCATTAACTTTAAATTAGCACTAATTGTATCATTGAATATAAGTCTATTTCCTCACCGTAACAACGGGCACAGAACGAAAATTACTGCTAGATTCGCTGGAATTTAGCTTTAATGTACTTGCAGGACTTAGCCATCCAATTAACTTCAAAGATTGACATCGGACAAGATGATGGTGATCATCAAGCAACTACGTTAAATTTCAAAAAAACTGTTGCTTAAAATCCAATATTATATGAGTAACATTACATATATAAGCCAATTCTTATTATGACAGTAATTACTGCAGCTTTTAGCATGCTCATTTAATTAAAAATCATTATTACAACACAGCGTATCGTATGCGCTAACTAAGATCGAATAAATGCTGTTTCGTATTACTGTTGAACTCTTCTGTATCAGCAAAATTATATAACTAATTTTTTTTGGTAGTATATTTAAAATAATGCCGCAAGTAAACTTGAAAAGTACATTACTCAGGTTTTATTCAGTAGTGTATTTTTGTGAAATATAAATGCTAGCAGTATTGTGCAGCATTTAATCAGAATATAAAAAATACAAGATTGTAAAATTAGACAAAATATAAGTTCAATTGACTTACGTCGATCGCAGCTTCCAGGACGTGCGCACAAATATCATTCTAAATGGTTAGCGATACAATTCTTAATATTAATCGAACATATCAACATCATTAGACATACATATTAATCGTTGATATATAGCATCCTGGTAGGTAGATACGCATATTCCTTTCTTCCTGGAATTTTAACTTACGTCATTTATATGTCTTTGCGTAATGGATAGGAGAGATTTTAATAATTGCGATTTAACCATATTCGCCACTAAAGGAACAGTGCAAGTAACAGTTTAAAAATTAATTGTAGATTAACCAGAATAGTAGTGTATGCGACTGTTAGTATAGTATGCAGAGCCCTAAGCTAGTACAGTACATTGAAGTTTTTATGGTATCTTAATTGAGCATGAAGCTATCGCTAACACAACGGTATAATACAGTTTATGCAATCTTTTCCATTAGGTAGTACAGTATTGTGTGCATTGAAATTGCTAAAGTGATCAAATAATCTACTGGACTAGGCACTGAAAATAATTGTATGACTGTCTATTTCTATGGAAATACATTTCATTAATTCTACACTTTGATTTCATTGATAAAGATTATTAAAAGCATCATTGATTCAATCTAAAAATAACAGGCCTATTTGTGAGATGAAATCTAAGATGTAGTTGCAATGCAATCGATGTACTCATCAATCTGTAAAGGTAGCTCAACAAATTTACATAAGTAGGCATAACAAGCATATCAACGTTAAAATATCATTTTATCCAACTCTCAAGTTTTGTTGCTGATATTCGTTAATCCTACATGTCTATCACACTGTCTATGCAGTATTGTAAACTATTGCAATTCTTTGATAGTAATCACATGGAGTTGAAATAGCAAGCTATCCTTTACATGTTATAAAGCTATTGATCAAGTAGGATACTGTCAATACAGAAGAGTGACTCCTCGTTTAAGTTGATTTGTATCATCGAACAGACGGTCTATTTCAACGATACTCTTTTCTTTCGGATAATCCACTTGATTTTGACCAAGTAGGTCAAAAGAGATGAATCATGTACAAGTATAGATGGATTTATAGCGCAATATGGTTATAGAGTCTACAACTGCTGTGTCAAGTTGCATTGTTAGCCATACTTTACTGTACCTTCATTCTTGAGCAAGGTGGTTAATCCATTGATCAAAGGCATGGTATTGATGAAAGAATAATTTGTTGCGACATTAGTTAGTAATGAAATAATTTTAGCTCTAACAACAGCATCAGGTTCTTTGGAATAGCGTTCAATTAATTTGTTGATAACTTTCTCCATATCACAATTCGTGATATAAGGCAGTTTATTACTAAATTCCAATAGAAATTGAAGGACATTAAGAGAATTCCATGAGTCAGGGATATCGAATGTATTGATCGAATCGGTATCCAGTTTAGAGCGTTTTCTCGATCTTACTCTTAATGGTGTCCGTACAGTCTCTTGACGTATAGTAAGAGTAACAGAAGACGATGCCATAGTAGCATCATTTTTACGTGCCCTTTTTCTACCAGCACCAGACATGTTGAATATTGCAATCGATGCCAATAACTTCTTTATTCCATGGACGTTGCTGTGGCAATGAGCTGGCTTTGAGCTTGTAGGACTTGCCTAAGACGTACAGTATGAGGGGGGCACCCATACGCTATCTAGTATAGAAGCTTTTTGGCCGTCAGTTGGTAGGATGAAATGGGTCTCACTAGAGATCCCTTCTAAGGGTCTCTAGGTCTCACTAGTGGGTTCGGAACGGCCTGGGATAATGATTGGACCGGACCGGACCGGACTGGACTGGATCGGACTGGGTCATTTCCATGTTGGGATAGTACCGGTACCGGTGGCTGTGACGTACCGGTCCCAGCACTTGCATCACAGTTCGTCACCAGCGTAGTCATGTCTACGCCACTGTAATTCCTCGCTAGTCAACTTGGCCATTCCTACCGAGAAATTGCAATGCTTTCTGCTGTTTATTTGCCTTCAAATGTCTACATGGTTTGCCTAACTCACGCTCTATCCAATGAGAAAGAGGAAGTTATGGGCTTATTGGTCGGAGAGGTAATATATTCTAGATCCAAGTTAAAGAATTGAACCGCTAAATGGCTAAATGATGTGATGATGACGTGATACTGCAGTATATAGTCATACTGTACTAGCAAAACTCCGATAGTTGTAAAATAGTCATACTAAATCGATTCAAACGGTTATTCAACAACTATGTTTATACGCGAATTTTTCATCAAAACTTCGTAAAATTGATACTGAAACAGCGACCTAGACGATATTTGAACAGCTTTTGTAGCAGCACTTTTCCAAAATATCCTACCTCATACTGTAGTACACCATTGCATGGAATAGTCAATCCTCACTTTCGACATTTCAACATGATATAAAGTTCTACTGTATAGATCTTATGGTTCTGCAATCGACCAACATCATTACTAATCTGCGCATATTGATATGTAACTGATACTCGTATATCAAGCTATACTGTACATTCAGAACAACTTGATTAATTTACCTTAACTGCAAGATGAATAATAATATACTGTACTGTACGAGTCTAGGTAGTCACATTAAGTTACTTCTTAACAACTGCAAAAATAGGTATCATCACGTCATATTTCATTTGTACTGTATGTGTATATCATCTACCATATTGCGTCTTAGTAGCAATTAAAACAATCATCATACAGTATAAGCTAATATCGCTAACAGTTAACTTGTCCTGTATTTGTAATGCCATAAATGATATATTTATTATGAATTGATTAACTATATTATAGGTCAACGAAAACAACGTGGCCCATATTAGTGCTGCGTTAATGTTGATCAGATCGGATAAAAGAAGTGATAGAGTGGAGATCTCACCAGAACAGTTAACATCAGCTTCCATTGAAGTGGAGATATCCAACAGTAAATGTGTTGATACTATATGTGGAATACGTTCGGAGTCAAGACGCAGTAAATTGTACTCTACTAGACCTACATGAAAGCCCGGCATTACTGTTATTATACGCCAATAAATAGTTTTTCGATATGTCAATAAGTGCAGCAAACGAATTCCCTGGTATTTGTTGTTAGCTAACTATGAAAGATTTGATAGTATTCTGTTGAGATATTAACAGATCATAGGTTAAAACAATTAAACTATTCGTTAAAGAAATAATTTACTTCATAGTAAAGTTCTACTAATCTTCTAGATAGCAAAACTAGATCAATAAAAAGAAATGATGCTCTTTAGCCTGAAAGTACTAGTGTATTTACTAAGAGTTATTAGCTACTGTATTACGTTTTATGCTACTTCTGATATCAACTCACAAAGATTACAATTTCAATTGCTACTATACAAATCGAACGTTCCTTAACTTATTAATACCGACTTGCTTATACTCTCAATCGCCCACTACGAATTGTTGGATGGTATCATTCTCATCCACATATCACAGTTTGGCCATCTCATGTAGGTAAGATTGTACTGTTGATTATATATATACTTTCACAATATCAATATATACAAGAGAATAATCAATACTGTACATGCTGTAAGAAATACGCCTACTATGAGTACTATCTAAGTATTTCACTTGAAGAAATCGCCTACACTAGCCGTATTGAAAGTGATAGAATTGTTGATCTACTTGAACACTCTCTGGTATTAACTTAAAATTGCTAAGTAGTAACAGATATCTTGATCGTCATTGCCGTACTTTATTGTTTTCGAGTTATTTTAAAGTAATCACAATTTCTTAGTAATATATTATATATATATAAACCTTGGGTTCTATACTAATATTCCAGCAAAAATTGTATGTGTAACATTGCTTTTAATTATTGCATTTCAGATGTTAGGACACAGGCCATGTATCAAATGATGGATAAAAATTTCATTGGATTAATATTTTCCGTTTTTAATGAAGACTCGAATAAGGTTTATATGAGCATGCTTAACTAGCGGGTCTATCTGAATTGTAGTCCTTACTATAATTAAATAGTTATAATCATCCTATTGTGAAAAGGTACCACTGTAATAGTTATAGAGCACATTCGTTGTAGGTTTATATATTTATACAGCTCCACCCTATTATAGATGACCATTATAATAAAGGCATACTGCATTTTTAAAATAATGACGTTGCTTATTATATACTTCAGAATGGAAGAATTCAAGTTACATGCTTCCAATCAACTGATTACGATAATAGTAGGTATGTAGCATAAACAAATGTTAACATCTGGTAAATCTTAGTCAAACTTTACAAATGCTATTTTAAAAGGATAAAGTTATGCATTTTTTGAACATATTACTTTTCTAGAATCGCCAATTGATAGTATTCAATTTACGTAACATTATTCTGTATGTTTTTACTAGCTCTTCTGCTGTAAAGATCAAATTACACATCACACCAGCGAATGAATTAGGAATTGTGACGTTAAATTCTCTTTCAAATTTACTACGCATTTTAACTGAGGTGCATTTCGTTTATATCAATTTGACGTCAAATCGAAATTCTTATAATTTATCCACTTATTAATACATAACAGGAAGAGAAAACGGCGTACCGTGACAAAGCAGGGTATGGCAGATCATGCTCTAACTACTTTATGAAAATCTATGCTAGCTTCTTATTTTACTGTTACTTTACAGAACTAAAAGCCAGGATATTCTTACAGTCTTGCACAACGGCTCAGGTAATATACTACTAAAAGCAAGTATTATCATAAATTGTACTAAAACTAATGCATAAATCCAGACTGATCAATTTTTACATTTGCAGTACACATGATATCTACATGCCACATTATGGATGTCCTTTGTGAACCTCTTATGAGAGGAATGCAATTAAAATTGCAACAAAATCAACAAATGATAGAAAATTTACGGGCACAGAAAGAGAAGTTACAACACAAATTGCAAACTACAGTTCCTCCTGTTATTCCGAGCTTTGATCAATCTAATAGCTCTATAAAATTTTCGAACATTTAATGAAATAGTTACTGTACTGTAAATATGATGTCTACAATCAGTCAATTATAATAATAGCGTATCAGCGGTTACAGAAATAATTTGTTATTGATTTATTACTTAACATAGTGTAATCGATGATTGTAATCTATAGCGATTACTTATATGTCAAATATGTAAAAATTTATAATACAATGCTGCTATATTTCTTGTATCATGAACGATATTCGAACTAACTAATGATTATAATCTATTCGATTCTATTTTCATGATGGTGCAGCATTATAGCCTAACACAAATTAGCCAGTTTTTTAGTCATTTATGTGCTATTTGTTAATTTAAGAAACCTTGGCAAATTCCAATCGTAGAATACTTGACCCCTTTCTGTACATGCCAACTTCAGTCTGATAACACAGTAACATTACATTAAAGTATTCAATTCTGGTATTGGACATATTAAAATGGACTACCTCCACTAACACAATACCAAACCTTTACATAACGCTTAACTGGATCTATAACTGCGTAACAAAATGTCTGCTGTTGAGACTCTGCAGATGGAAATAGAGTGTTATCTTTCTCATCCTATTTAGAAACAGCAACAAATGACTTAAATTAATATGTATTACGTGTAATAACTCATACACATTTAATCATTTAATTGGCAAAATATAACGTCTGCTTAAATCTGTAAAGGGTTATGTACAGAACGTACCTTGGCTGCCAAAAGATATACGAAGGAAGTAACAAATGGTTTCTTAGTGACCTTATCCTTTTGGACTCTATAATTTTAATATGACAAACACAAAATTCTGACGGAAAATAACAGAACAGAAATTAACAAATAAAAACTACTTCAACTATTTTATACAAACAATACCTAACCCAAATTAAATGTGCCCGAATAAGGTTATGATTCAATATTAGAAAAAAATTAACATTCTATCGCTATATTAGCGCTTACGTTAGCAAATCCTTATAAATAGATTTAGCTGTATCAAGGTAGGGCTGGATATCATCTTCATGCTAGATTGTGAATTTTCCAAAATTAGTAATCTTAGTAATAGCAGCTGAGCGACGACCTAAGGCAAAATCTATTCTGACATTGGCGGTAAAATATACCTGGCATATTGGCCCTCCAATCACAAGATGCTGAAATATTCGAAATAAGAATTCAGAACGTTCTTCCTTACTGAACAAATCGTAATGATCGGAATCTTCCATTAGTAACATCTACAAAAATGAATAGCGTACGAATGTTTAGAACCTTAATCGTCATATTTTCCGCCATTCTATTCATATTGAATTACTATTAATCACTTATCATTGATAAGTAAAAGTCTATACTTGAATAAAGTTACGCTATCTAAAACATCAAGCATAAGAAACTACTAAGGTGACGGAATTAAAAACCTTTCGAAGTTCATCCGAAAGAATCAAATTCTCATAGTATTCATCGTAACACTGCACAATTTTGCCATTTTCATGCACGATACCTAAGAATATTTAATCCAATATATATATCATATACGCGTACATATTTATATTCCTTGTAAATAATGAATATAAGGTATGCTTATGATCAATAAATAGATAGAGTACTACCTTCTGAAAAAAGTTTATCAAAAAACTCAAGGCTAGTTAGGCTGCATAACATCTGTGTTATAGAAACTTTAGCAGGCGATATTCCTGTAGAATATTAGATTACCTCGACTTTTAAATCTTGCAATTTAATAAAAATTTTAAATTATAGCCGTAAAAATGATTTATTCTGTAATAAATAAACTTGCCTAAGGGTACCCAAGATCCTGACGATGAAAGTACCTTAGAGTGTAAGGATGATCAGTATGAAATATTTCGGTTAATTGTATTTGCATATACGTTAAATCTACGCAATTCTATTGACAATACTAATTTAGTGAAAATAATTAGCGTAGCAATTTACTTTCAAATTGGTAATCACTTCAGGGCTATGAAAGAATGCCTAGCAAAAGTAAAGCATATTGTGAGTCAATAGTCATCACTAAAATTATAAGCTTGTAAGATATGAATATCGTGCTGCGTTACTGAAATTATTTTAAGATTTTATGGCAATGAACCGCTTAATGTATTATTGACCTACGTATTATATACCGTAAAAAAGTCTTGTTTCTGATATTGCTGGAATTGTTGATCGAAATTAAATAAAGCTGTTTTCATTTGTTGATGCATTGACCTTAATATAGAAAGGGGGTTTACATTAATCTTCTTCAATCAGCCACTTTAATCAGGAACACCTACATATCATCTTCTATAAGCTGTGTATATGCCACGCGAGTATTATAGAACTATGTATCCTCATTTCTTAATTAATTTATTCTAGAATTAAGGCACTCAAAGGTTTTGAAATAACGTATTATTGCCTATGAATGATAAAGAGAACATTGCTAACCATTTTTGTAGCAGATCTTTAATGTTACGATTGGTGAGAAAGTCAAATTCATGCCCTTCAAGATATCTGAAAGTAAATTTTGGTTTGATATTGGATTGTTCTGCCATAGCTATAGTAGGGAGATAAGTAATAATTATAGAATTAATTAATTACCAATATAATTAACTGAATGATAGCAGACTACATTTTAAATAATCAAAATCAATTACAAAATCAATTACATGTAACATGATTTACCAGATCGTAAGCTTCAGGTCTTTAGCTATCTTACTACAGATAATTTTAATTTTGGTTACGAGGAGAATTGATATCTAAAATGATCGTAGATTGTATTGGATTTTTACAACCTTAATGGTATATCCACATGAATTATTTGTTAACGATTGCAACGTTCCTGTTAATATTCTGCAAGTGTTGATATTCCGAACATAAATTCCCTCAATTAAGCAACAGGCGGACAGACACAAACGCAAGATATTACCCCTTTTGTATCATAGCAACCATGAGTGTTACAGACAGATAGCCATTTCAGTAAGCCTAGGGACTTTCTGAGCTGGTTGGCCTGTTGGTAATTGTATGTTTCTCACTTGTTTCAGTACTATTATTATAGAGAGGGAAAGACTACGCATACTAACTCTTTTATGCCCATTCAAATGCACCTATTTTCGTATAGTACCCTGTATCGGAGATCAGAACCACTTCAAATAATATAAATAATATAACGAATAACGGAAAAATAACGGTAAAGTAATTCTATGAATAACCAATGATAATAGCCGCTACTTTAATAATAATATTACGAAATAGTTGACAGTCTTAATAGAGAACATTTACGGTGATTAAGCAAACACAACTCCATCCATATATCCTTATCCCATTTTAAAAGTGATTCAATAAGGTGCGGCGAATCCCTAATAGATATACGTATTAGGGCGAAATATGAGCGATCGAATGGAAGAAAAAATTTTAAATAGGACGAAAGCTCCATCACTAAATCATGTGAAAAATTTAAATTGCTGGGGCTGGAAAATAAACGATTTATCCATCATGAGGCGGATGCCTAGTTTAAGAGTATTAAATTTAAGCGTAAATGACATTACTAGCTTACAACACTTACAAGATTGTCATCAACTAGTTGAATTATACCTACGAAGGAACAAAATACAAGATTTAGACGAGCTGCAATATCTAAAAAATTTAAAATATTTACGAGTCATTTGGCTTTCAAACAACCCTTGTGTAAATATCGATAATTATCGTCAGAAAGTGAGTTTAATTTTACCGCAATTAGAAAAGCTCGATAATCAGAAAATCCCAAAAAGAGATGACTGGGAAGATAGTGATCATGAGTCAGAAGAAACTAATAACAAAACTACATCAAAAGGAAAGCATGCAAGTGGAAATCATGTAAGCCTCAGTACTGGAACAAATTTTAACTTGGATTTAAAATGAAATCCTTTAAATTGCTCATAACTGTAGTAAAAGAAAACGAATAATGGTGTAGCAACTTGTGATGTACTACGTTGTTCGTGTATATTAATCATTTGGTTTACCTTTTTTACCTTACAGAAATCGAGAAGCAATCCCAAAACTGCCAAGCCTAGCCATTTCACTAGTAGTAAGTCTTCACGCTATCGATCAATAAATAAATTTACAGTATAATGCATGAAAGGCTTTTCTACTATTATCGAGCGCAGTAACGTAATTTAAGTTATGCTATACATGCTTTTAAGTCTACTATTCAAATTGTTTAACTTCAAAATACTAATAGCACGCTACATGTAATGCTGTAATTTACGTGTAAAAATTAAGAACTTGCCATTCTTATCCTTCAGCAGGGAATTCGATCTCAAGTAGCAAGCACAGTCAAGATTCTACATCGGAAAGTAATATCTTAACTGCTGTACTTTGTTTATTAAAAGAACTTAATTCAGAAGACTTGGAAATGGTCATACTAAAAGCTCAAGAACAAGTAGACAAGCAAGATTCTATAGAAACTCATGGATCAGATAACTTAGACACTATTGCTGAGATTGAGTGAATCAATATAATGTTTACCAATATAGTATATTAAGCCTCTAATTAATTCTGTACAATACTATTTACAATAAATTAATTGATCTTAAATTATACAGCTATTAGTGTACTCAACACGAAGTACGCATATATATTTGCATTTATATTAGTTTCTATAAGAACTTAAAGCGTAGTAATTATTGTAATGACTCGATCCAGTTATGGCATAAGGAATTTGATTTGTACATAACTTTGTTAAGAATGTGCTATATTGTCTTAATAAGCTACCTTTATAATGGGTTAAGAAATAATACAGAAAACACAACACCAGTGACTAGAAATACATCACTATCGATTACTGTATTGAACATCAATTTCATACAATCAATTGCAGTCTTGTAATAAAGCTATGTCTACACTAAAAATCGCAGTCAAATGCTCATGGCATAATTATTTAAAGAAGGGACTCAATTTATTAGTTTACAAGTTATAGATAACATGCTATCTTACAATAATATTTATGTAAGGCTTATCGCCTAATGATTTCAGAGTAAGGTAAAAGATCACAAGTTTAAAGACTAGAAATATAAAATAAATAAATATTCTGTAGACTGCGAAAATGGCAATTTCGTCGAATAAACATCTCTTAGCTACATATATTGCCATAAAAACAAAAACTTTATAAGAAGTATTCATGAATTGATATAGAAAGAATTTGAGAATTAAAATTCATTTCATGCTATAATATTTCTAATCTAATCGCATTATAAAATGTTCGAATAATTTCAAATGAAAGGGAAGCTAATGTTAGTCTAGGCAATAGATTAGCTATATAACGATGGACAATCCTTTTAAAAATAATCCTCCATCACTTTTAAGCTATATTACCACCGTAAAGCTTAATAGTTTTATCTATTTCAGATTTAAATTCTGAGATATGATTGTTAAGAGCACGCTCAAGATCTTTACTGTGGTATTCTTCATTAGCTCTGTAATCGGTAGCAACAGATCCTCGAGATGATGGGCGATGAGCCATCTAAACGCATTAAAAATATTACTTTAACAACTTATGTAACTGGATTTTACTAACTGTAGTATAGTACTACGAAGATTGAAATGGCGATTAAGTAGCAAAATAAAAATCTGGAAGATAGAATGATAAAATATCGATAAATAACGTGTATTGAAGCCAACCTCATATTTATTTTCATTAATTTCTTGATCGTTAGTCGCAATGTTCATCGATACATTAGTAGAATTATGTTGACTGACAAAACCTGCAGAGTAAGCACTTCTGTTAGCTTTTCCAAGTCGAAGCGGTGATGTACTAGATACTGAAGGGCTACTCATACTGTTAAGATTATTTTTGGTATTAACTGGGCTGGTTTTGACTAGAAATAAAAGGTGAAACATTGTTATTGCAAACACTTTATAAGATTATCACTTACTTCAGCAATTATCCTTAAAATTAAATTCTTTAAAAGTATTTTGAGCCATACCCTTATAACTTACAAGTAGCTTTATTGTCATCCAAGATACTAGTATTTTGTAAGGGCGATCTCAATGATTTCTGATCATAGTATTTTGCTTTCTGTTCATACTCGCTTATTGTATTATCTAAACGATTTTGAAGGTCACTGATACGTTGTTCTGTATCTCTACTAAGCTGCACGATCCTATTAAATTATAGAGCACATGATGCTATTACTACTTATTTCAAAATTTTATTTAAAAAATTGATAAAAGATCTAAATTTACTTTTCATCCTTTACAAGAGGCGTAGCCTTGAGAGCAACAGCACGGTCTGGGGAAAGAGAATAGCGTTCTAGCATCGACTGATCTCCCCTCGATAAACCAAGCTTAAGAGATACCAAATCATTGTACAATTGTCGATTTTCCTCCTATTGAAGGTTATTATCAACTTACTGAATCTTTATGAATATAGTTTGATTACCTAACTTTCGAATTTTTTGCATATTTACAGGTATGTAGTTGTTACCTGTAACCTAGCTATAGATGAAATATGCTCATTTCTCAAGGCAGACAGTTGCTTCTCAACTGCCTTTAATTCTTCAGAAGCTTGTATCTGCTGTTTACCAATTTGATTCTGTAACTTTCGATTGTCACGATGCAAGATGTCATTTTGTGTATAGGCGTTCTGAATAATTGAGATTTCATAATTGGTTACACAATAATTTCTAACAGATACAGTAACAAAATTATGTCAAATTTTTAAATCAAACCTTTAGTTCCGCTTCTAACTTATATTCTTGCATCTTAATATTCCTAAGGTCAGCTTCTAAATTCGAGGTTGTTTCGCCTTGTATAACTGCGGTGGCCTCCCTATTAATATAGGCACTTATTTAACTATTTATGCTATTGTCCTGGCTATTCTATAATGTTACTGTAATAGTTAGCTCTAAGACCTTTGGTGGAGTTTTGCTGTTAAATTAGACAATTCCTTTCGCATTCCTTCTTCTCGAGCTGCAGAAACCTCTTCCATGTTAGTTATTTTTTCTCTCAACTAAAAAAGTGATTAAGTAAGTTATTGATCGTACTAGAGTATTGTAAGTCGATCGATCTAAACTTAACTATAAATTTAATAGAATCTTTCGGAGAATGATACATATTTATCTATATCTAGATATTGGCATAACACATCAGCATTATGGATTTACCTTTGCATTTTCCGATAACATCTGCTTTAATTCTACTTCTTCAAGGCTTTTAACCGCTTCTTCCTGGTAATAAAATTCGTTAATATACGTGAATTGTTTATTAATTATACCACCTATCTAACAGAGGTAGGATATTTTAATGTAAATTGCTAACAAGTTTTATGAGTAAATAGAGATACCGTAGTACCTTTTGAGAGAACAAAACTTTGGTACTGGCTAATTCTTTTCGGGTTGACTCCAATCTATCATTATGTTAATAAGATCTATAGCCATGATAACATATCGATAGAATTACATCTTACAACTAAAAAAGTAACCTGTTTTGCAAAGCTTTAATCTCTTCTAATAAAGACTTTTCATTTTGAATTCTAGATTCAACTTCAGCTTGAAAGCGTATTATTTCATTCCGTAGTTTCGCTACTAAAGTAGATTCCTTTTTTTCATTCGATTCTTGAAGGGAACTAACAGTATTACAAGTTTTAATGTATTGATATATCTGCCATTCTTACATATCATATTACAAGTTCAATGTACCTAATAAGATTGTCCTTTTGCCGATTTTTATCTTCCAGTATAATTATAGCTTCAGATTGCTGTCGTCGCTCTAACTCTGCTTCCTAAATAAGTTTTATAAAATTTAAACTTAGGAATCGCTAAGAAATTGTAACCTTATAATCAAATTACAAACCCTAATAAGATCATTCTTCGATTGCAGTTCAATTCTTTGATGAGCAATATCATCCTCTCGTTCATGAACAATATTGTTAGCACGACGTAATTTACTTTGCAAATCAGAAATTTCATTTGATTGCTCGCGATTACTGTTAAGCGCTTCATCCAATGATTCTTTAATACTAAATATATAAAATAGAATAAATGGCACTTTACCGCTTATGAAAAGTATTCCGATTATCATGTAGCTGAATGATCTACTCGAAAACTTACTGTCGCATAGTATCATCTTGTGTTTCGTATGATGACTTTAAGCGTAAAATCTATGGAACAGAATAACACCCGTTAGGAAGTATCCAATTTTTCAATTCTTATTAATACTTATCAATAGATTTTATGTCTACACATTATAAGCTTGAAAGTCATCCACTAACTTGAGACTCTTGTTGGGTAATTTCGGTCGTATATTTTTGATCCATGCTTTCAATTTGCTGTTGACGTTTAGCAAGCTGTGATTGTAATTCTAATATTTGCATCTAATAGTGCGATATGACAAGCATTTATAGGTAATGAAGCATCGATTTATGATAGAATAATAACGACTGTAGCAAATAATGCAATTACTAAAACTCTTTTATATAAATACTTAAAAAATAAAATCACCTGCATTTGATCACACTTCTCCAAAGCCGCTTTCTTTTGTGATTCTATTAAAGTTGTCTTATCTTGATTATTGCGATACATCGTTTCCAAGTCCGTTGTTCTGCGCTGTGACTCCTATACACCGGTATTTAATAAAAAATAAGTAATTATATACATACCTTTAAAATCAGTAGTATTATAAATCATGATTAAAAATAAATAACTAACGGCCATTCTTGCATTTAATTGTGTAATTTCAACAATTTTACTTTCTAATTCGAGAGACAGCTGAAAGAACAACATACACGTATAGGCATATACTTAGGATAATTTCTTACATCAGCTTAAATTATAATTATTTAAATATCGCTTTGAATAAACTTTATATAATATATACTACTAAAAAAGATCTCTATGGGATACCTGATCGCGTTGTTTTTCAACCTGTAATAGCTGTTTCGCATGTCTCTTTTGTAGTCTCTCGTAATCATTCTTAATATTAGTCAACTGTATAAAAATTGATCACCCGATGTATTAATATATTAATATAACTAAAATAGTAAAATAGTATTTCCATAACAGATCCCTTCGACGCAATTTAATCTCCAAAGGCATTAATTCGATAAGAGTAATTAATTGAGTTTTGTATATTCAGTAATTTTAGTTATATAATTAACCTCCATGCGTAAACTGGTAGATTGCTGTTCATAATCAGAAACTAATCCCTCCTGAGATCGTTCCATATTTTGAACTTGTTGTCTTAGCTGCCCAATCTGGTTAAATTGTATATGTACTATCATTATTAAGTACTTAAATTACACTATTAACCATTTAGACATAACTGGTTCTAGAATTCAACTATTTAAAAATCGTATAAACATCTAAATCGATAACAGTCTCACCTCCTGATGACGTTGCTCTAGAGTCATAGTTTGCAATGTTAGTTCTCTATCACGTCGCTCTACTTGAGCTTGACAATTTTTTAACTTATTTTCCCAGTCTACTTGACTACTTCTGATCATAATATCAATTTGCTTTAACAACTAGGATTGAATAGAATAAAGATTGTAAATTACTGTTCTCATAGGTCATGATATATACATATAACAAGGGTTACATAAGCTGATTATAATTATTAACAATATATTTGAGGCAAATTTACCGTCAACAAACTATAAAATAGCTTAAGTTTAAAAATTGAAGACGACTTTTTTTATACTTACTTCTTGTAGCTCATTTTCGCATGACGTTAAATGAAGTCTAAATAAAATAATTTTCTTTAATAACTTTATCATCACATATTCAACGTTATTTAGATAATTTATTTCTTCATTTTATATGATCAAATTTATAATTCTAAGAGCTATATTTTATCCCCTAAAAATAGGCGCAATTATTTTCGGCGATTGTGAAGTATTCTTGATTAATAATATCCGCTGCAAATAGTGTCTCAAGTTGCAATGGCCTATTTATAATATCTATAATAATACCTTATGCATAATTTTCATAGTTACTAGTACAGTACTAATCACTAAGGTCGCCAATCCACTGATTTAACACATTCTCAAATGAGACCTGGCGTAAGCTACATTGTCCAATAGCACTAGTAATAGTAGGATTCAGTTTTAATATTATTGAATTTTTGTTATTCACTGTTATTGATCTGTTAGCTATCTTTACAATTGGTATGATGTACGTTTTAATAAAGCGCAGTTTAATCACTTTAATGTCTATAGAATCCAATATTACAATACTGAAATTACAAATATCATACATCTTCCAAAGCTGATGAGATACAGTATATTTTGTATTGACGCTTGTTTACAACTACTGAATGCAGCTTAAACTATTCGATATAAATGACTTGGTTACGATCAAAAACGTTTCATGACGAAAGATAGAAGATACGAGTGCATGCAACCGCGAACGTGCAGAATAGCCTTACCGATCGCCTGCTTTTCGATAGAGGTTGGATAAAACATTGGAGTAGGAATGGCTACTATTAAGGTCCATCTTTTCTTAACAAGGTTAGCTGTAATAGCGTCCAAAGTGAGCTATGACGTACAATATTCAAGATGATTCCCCTAAAGTAGTAATTATCGGATAAGGTTGCCTATAAATGGAACACTTTAGTAGTTAGTTGATTATTGCATTTCGTTGAATACTCCTTTGTAGTTCACCTATATTCGACACACTGTTACAAGTAATCATTCAAATTTTATTCCATTCAACAGACACTGTTTAATATACAATCCATTGGGTATAAGAAAGAGAGAAAAAGAGAGAAAAAAAATAGCTACTCCTTGTCATGTTTGTATACTAGCATTGTATCTTAACTCGTATAAACGCCATTATAACTAATTGATAAATGATTACAAATTGATAGTCGATGAAGACTGAGGCTTTCTGAAAGCAAATAATTGCAGTTATTTTCTCCTACCTTGTCGTCCCTTTGAGTTCAAAGGTACACAGTATACTATTGCAAATGATTTCTTACAAGATGATTTTAATCCTTGTCAATTGGCTCTCTGAATAGTTATTATTGTTGGAGATCTGGCCAACAGCGTCAACTATTGTAAGGAGGTTTTAAATTTGAAAATTGAATGTATGCAATCAGCGTCGGTTTGCTGGATTTGGCATAGTAACGTTTACACTGCAGTACCGTCAGTTGGTATTGTGACAGGAGTACTGTAGACTGTAGACTGTACACTGTACACTGTACGGTACTGTACAGTACTGTACACTTGCAGCAGTGAGTCGCAAAAATCAAATTTCAACTCCAGGGTTTTTTCATACTAAAGCCTATTAACTACCTTGGTAATGAAGCCAAGAAACTACTTTACTCGTCTATGGTTCAGTACGCGTCCAGTTTGTTTTCATAATGTGATCCCATAGAGGTAAGAAGGACTTTTCTTACCTCTACCGTACTGTACTGTATGTCTGATCGGTAGAATTCCAAGCTGTACTGTACAGTACAGTACAGTACAAAAAAATGGAATGAAATCGATCTAGTATTGACTTTTTTATTCCATTTTTCAAAATCTGGAAAGAATTTCTACACAGTGTAATTTTTGACTTCTACTGTACAGTGTACAGTACTGTACAGTAACTGTAGCAAGGACTTTTATTGTATTGTACTGTAAGACTAATACTGTATGGCGTACAGTATAGTACTGTACTGTACTGTACTGTACAGTACTGTGATCAATTCTTACAGTACTGGACTGGAAACCCGTGCTAGTACTGTAGACTGTAGACTGTACACTGTACACTGTACCGTAACGCAGTGGCAGCTCGATGAAAGGACAAAGAAAAACGAAAGCTATTCTCGTCGCGAAACATTTCAAATTTGAAAATCATCAACACCAATCCACAAAATACGGATCAATTCAACTATCCATACCTAATACAAGCCGACTGGCCATTATATAAAAAATCATTGGAACATTGGATATTATAATAATGATACAGAAGCATGACGGTTAGGATTGAGAATGGAAATTTGTAATTACAGTACACTGTTTCGATGGCAATACCGTCTAGCATAGTTGGATCATTCTCCTGAGTAAATAACATGATTTATAGATCGTAGTCAGTTGTTTCATTTCTAATGTTGATAAATCGAAACAGCCTAATTAAAATGAATCATGCAATGAATCCATTGCAATCTGTAAACGCGCTAATTTGCAGCAGAAATATTGAAATGAATTTCAACTACGGCAGTATAGTGCAGAGTATTCACAGGATTGTCATAAAGTGACCGTGGACAGAAATTCTACATAACGATATTTATTGATAATACTTACCGTCATCAACACTAAATTATTATATCATCAATCTAAAATAATAATAGAAGAATCTTATTATACAAGGTCATTTTGTGACAAGTACACTGGTACATTGAAGTCACTGTCAAAATAATAATCGTAATTCTGATATTAACAACTACAGCTGATAATTTGATATCCAAATACCTTGGAAGCTAAACTTTTAACTGTAGGCTATCTCTACGGATATTTTAGTCAAAATTTCAACAACTTTTAGCCGATATCGCTAATATTGGAAGTACTACGGTGAGTTAGTTTACCAAGAGGTCAATTTCACCTGCATCCTCTTTTCATGTTTCGTTAATGAGATATCCTTAATTCAGTATGCATTCTCTTCTATTCCAATGAGCAACACTGGATACTGTACAAGTGTACATATAATATTAAGATCGGCTATACTGTGTATCCTTTAAATTAATTACATTATACACCATACTAATGCACGCAATCACCTCTTTTATGTTAGGGATTTAAGTATTTCACTCTTCAGTTAAACGGAAAAGAAGAATTGCTATGTTCTATATTAAACAGTCCTTCGGTATGCAATTGTTGTACTTATTTTACTAACATATATAGTAAACATGGGTATTACATAATTAAAATGGATATTGTATAACAGATATCATAACTACACCGTATGTCAATGATGTTGGACTGAGCGTTAGTGTCTTAACTGATAGATGCTGATGCATTTTTTTGGTTAAAAGTTATTCGTCTTAAAATTATAGTCTTAGCGCATATTAGTATGAACACTTTATGATATTAGCTCTCGTGAAGATGATAAATACTTTTAATCTAATGAAATCCTCTAATTGATAACCTAGAAAAATTATAATATCTTTGAAATGAATTGTTTTAAAATAATGAAAACTTATTTAATACTTTGAAACTGGAAATTCCTCCGTTCATCTGCATAGCAAATGGTGCAGACTGTCCGGAATAGATCTACGAAGTTGTACTAATTATGCATACAAACTTATTTATTATTTGAATTAATATTCTTACGTTAAGATTTACAGCAATGAAAATGCTATTGGTTGGGATGATATATACGATACCAACAATATATCAAAGAAAAGGTCATTGAAATAACGTTTATCATGCACTACAACGCACCAAAATCAATTCATATATACATAGCAGCACTCAGCTTCTAATTACATTCTTAAATATCAGTAGTGTGTCGTAGACAACAAATTGCTAACAGTCTTGAATATTATTCTTTAAAATAATTCATAGGCGACCTCCGCTATTATCGCAGATGAGCCAAAGCAAGTAAGCACGAATAAGAATATAATTCGAGTATTTTGTAAGCTACTTCTATATGCACGTGTATGTAGAATCTAATCAACTAATATTGTAATGTATACATTACTACGTCGTTATATTACATGTACTCTTGGAATCCATTCAATCCGATATGGAATCGAACACACTTGTCAACGTTATACTTAGTTTATTAAAAGAATCTGGCGGTACTGGCTCTAGCTTGCCTCCAGCTAGCCCTCCGATATCTTGTATCAGTAATGTAAGTACTTATGTTGATTATTTATTAAATAAATAAAATAGGAGATAAAATAAGTAAAGTTATAAAAATTCACTATTATTAAGTATGTAATATGAAAAAAATTTAATGTATTTATGATATAGGCTGATGAAACATTATTCCTGATTGGTGCTTATCCGCTTTACGACCGGCCGTATGTTTGGATTCGAAACAATCATAGCCGCTTCATGGTAGATTCAGATTTAGAAAATGAAAAAACGAAGAGCAGCCCCTTACGATTAAAGTCATCACTTGAATGGGAAAAGAGAGGTTAAACATTATTACATTATATCCAAGCTGAACCGTTGATTTTACAGAATCTTGCTAATGCTACATAACAACCGTGACACATGTACCATTTACGTACAACCGTAGATATTCGAATCTGGGATATAATAGCAGAACTTGTAACTATTTCATGCAGACCGTCACCAAGAAATCCATTCGCTATCGATATAGATTATTATGATAATTCTCCACTTGTTGAGAGTACTTTGGCTACTGGATCTACTATTCGAATTTTACAGGAAATTGTTACTTCAAGTCACCCATACAATGACAAAGGTACCAATAACGACGCATTGTGTATAGAACTATCATGGTTACAATACTATGTACTCTTCTACGTATATATCTTAGTGTGGGATGACTTACAGCAGCTGACCAAACGCCATTTCGAAGACTTGGAAGCAGTAGTTGGAAACTGGTATAGCAATTGAAACACTAATCAGGTACAGTATTTTTGGAGTCATGCACTACTGGACCAAATCCAGAAGGTATCACACAATCGAATCTTCTCACAAGGAAATGAGTATATCAATGGTGAAGTTTCCGGCTATTAATTAGTTGATGATTTATTTATTTAATGTTGCATTACAGCAAAGTTATATCAGATTGTAGCCCTCTAATGTGAATGTATGATTTAACTGTACAAAGTATATAAAATTTGAAATTTTACACAGTATATCATCCATCCACTACAGCATATCTCTACCGCTAGCCAACTAATGTAACGTTACGATGAACATATTTATGTCAAGTTTAGTTATCATGCGCTTATTGATTAACCACCGTCAAAATCAAATTCTTATCATCTTTGATCAATGTAATCATGACTAAACTACTTCTTTAATAAAGGTAATTATACCAATTGTTGACCTGTTAAAGCTAAATCTAAAAATGTAATTAGGAAATTTATCGACACTTTCGGCATATGAAAATGTTGAAATCTGCAGACTAGTAAAGTGCGAAACTATATATTATGAATACTACGGTATATCTAATGTATAGTGTATACTGTATTACATTACATCAAGTACTATATCTAACGAATTCGAATTGCAAAGCCGTAACCTCAATCGAATACGAATATTGAATTATAATTATTCATCGTATGCAACATATAATAGTACAAGCGTGGTAACCTACCTGTACTGTATCTAATACAGTACTCTGATTGTAAGCACCTCACCAACTCTAGTTTTCGAATGAGTATAAGCTAGGTGAGAAGAACGTCCGCTGCAGTTTAAAGTCAACGGCAATATGCGTGTATGTCCCAGCGCTTTGCATAACAGAGAACCTTTTATTACTATCACAATGAAGTTATGCCATTGAATCCACATTTAACCATGTCATTTTACTCTTTTATTAATAGGATTAGCAAATCTCTTATGCATATGATTAAGTACATTAAGAAATATATCGCTACACGAGTACATCTTCGCCCGACTAGATCTTAGCATATAAATGCTATCCATTATAGCAATGCCAAAGATCAGAAAGAATTTTTTGAAACCGGGTACGTATTCAAGATTAGTTACTACAGCGAACAAGAAAGAAAGTAATTTAGTTATAGCCTCATAAATGCCACCTAAAAGATGTTGAAATCTTACGTATTTCTCTTGATTGACTCCATCTTTCCATACGATACCGAATGGAGTAATACCATCCTCGCGGAAGTTAACCAAAACCAACAAACAAGTAGAGTCTTTGGATTCTCCCATGTAAAAATCCCAATCCTTGAAAGTATTTAAAATTTTTGGTACCATTGCAGATGCACCTTTCTTAAAGACGCTAACACGATCAGGGCTATTTTCTTCAAGGTATCCCAATAATTTCTTCATGTAGACTAGAAATGGGATAGAAAATTTCAAATGATTGTCGTTGTGATTAATTATTAGCTATACCGTATAATTTAATTTAAAGTAATTGATAATATAATAGTTGGCAGAACACTAACACTACCATTAACATTAATTCTTAATAAAATGGAAGTACTAATTACTGCACATATAGCACTATGAGTATGCAATCTTTACAAAAAGAGCGTCACCTCTTTCCTGAAAATATGTACAGTACATAGAGATAAATAACCTCTATGAGCTACTATACAGTGCACCTTCCGAAGTTTGAACTCTTAGGTGGATTACTAAAGACTCATGATGGTATCCGAAAAAATTATTAAACTACTATTCCACTTCGATTAACACTCGAACAAGTGGTAAAGAATTAGTGTAACTAGCTTTATAATCCGGTCAGAAGTTATGCATCAGTAGCAAAATATCGCGTTCACTATACAGAGTGCATGAGTCCATTTCTACTCTAAGCATTTTCATCTAAATGATACATCTGGAAACATCTTCACCACAAGTATTAGAATCAATCAACAGCCATTCTAACCTTTAATGTAAGATTGAAACTCTTTCTTAGTGAGATCTATCTTCTCTAATCGATTGGCAAGAACGAAGTTAATTCCACTAACACTGCTAGCCTCACTTGTTTCATCAGCCACCTCTGCAGATGCATTACCACCAATCGCTGATTCAGGAATATCAGTGACTTCTGATGTCATCTACAAAACACGAACAAGCACCTTGGAATTTACTAACACTAAAACATTGGCTTAGTGTATGCAAAATTGTTTTAAAATCAATTCGTTTTCTATCTTAACCGGTGCCACCTCAACTCTGTAGTACACTTTAACCGTTTTAAACCAACATAAGATATGACATGAATATGTATAGACACTACACCATCGTACAAGTACAAAGGGTCATTGCACTTATTTTATTTCAAGTACCATACCTTGCCTTCAATTTCGTAATACAAATCATCTTTTAATACGTATGGAATACCGTCGGAAAAAATTTCTTGATCTAGAATTTCAATTAAATAAGCGTATTTTACCTCCAGTCGTTGAAGAAAGTCAAACAAATAATCTTTAAATAATGTCGAGTGACGCAGAGTATACTACATCACCATCAATATATGAAGGTTAAAATGAGAGTAAATTATGATGCAAGATTTCAATCACGTCAATCAAGTTGAGAAAGAATATAAATTATAGATTTCAGGAAAAAGAAACATCTTGATTCACTGAGATCGAAGGGGTTTTATGAGAATATTTCATTCTCGATGGTCAGGCTAACTGATGAACTTTAGTTTTAATAGTTTTAATTTAGGACGATAAAATGTAATCCTCAGTATCTCTAATCTAGTGCACATTACAGAGGATCACTACAGAATTTTCAGATAGATTTCTGATCCGACTATACCAGTGATACCTGTACGTACAAACAGGCATCGTACTGATTCATTTCGCAATCTACCGCATCATACGAATTGAAGTATGCTAATATTAGCTATACTGTACTGTACGTACAGTGGAAGGATGGCTTACGTATTCGAAGCAAAACGGCTTTAATTGAAGTCTACTCTTCCTAATAATACAGTACGAGTATATCAACTTATTATTCTCTGCATATATCAAGAAAATAGAAACTAAACTTCGTCTATAGTAGAACACATCTAACATTAACGTCTTTCAGCTACATTTCAAGGCACGTTCAGTTTTACCCAGTAGCACTGTAGTCGATCGTAAAGAGTTGATAACAACGTTTCCAACTCACTAAAATGCGAAAATAATCACAAATACACCAGTCATTTCCTGCACAAAACTTTATTAGTGATACATTACCGTACCATTAAAAACGTCTTTGAAGACGATCATTGTCGATTAAAGAAGGATTTGGAAGGCTTTGGTTCGAAATTGGAGTAACACTGAAGCCGCCACTAGCGCAACGACAGATATTTCTGAAAAGGAAGCTTTTGAAGGCGTGACGTCAGCATCATACCCACGCGCTTACAAGCATGCGTACTTATCCACAATCCGCACAGTAAGACCGCAGGGAGCAGGGACTACTAAAAAAAGAAAGAGACGTTTGAATATTTGAAAGCACGGTCGTGTACAAGTACAAGTACAGTACTGTAGTACTGTCATGGTCTCATGGACCAGAAATACCGTATGCTGTACCTTGCTTTTTACTTTTTAGAGACCTTTAAAAGAGTCTCTAATAATAATAAGGGTCTCTACTGTACTACTTGGATTGGACACTGAGTGGACACTCTCCTCGGACGGACAGACTTTTTACTTCAGGTGGCCGAAAATGTCCAAAAATAGCTACTCAGTAAGGATCTTCTGAATCTGTTTTCTAAATGGTATTAATTTAAATAACACTAGTGCAAACTCCCGTCGCTTTGCTGACTGTTTACGATAATGTGCTCATTTAACAGATAGTATTACCATTTGTCGTAGACCTGTCAGAGGTTCAGTAACTTTATACCGTGTACTTTAGAAAAAATCAGTCAATTCAGAATCGACTATCTCCATACTATTTAAAGTACAGTACTGCACTGTCATAATGAGGTGTTTGACACAATTTGTTGACGAAATTAGGCCAAATGTTTGTCCGTCCAGACTGTCCGGTCCGGTTTAGTCAATGTACTGTACATTGTATTGTGCAAAACTAACCTGGCAGCTAACATAATTTGCAGCATGGTCGCGTATCTCGATGCTTTCTCTTTTTTCGAGTAGTACTTGGTACTGTTTTACTCCACTAATACTGTACTGCACTTTATTTTTAGAATACAGTGGCCCAAAAGGGACAACTTTACAGAACAGAATCTGTACAGTTGTCCCTTTTGAGCCACAATATCAGAGGCTTGACTGTAACGGTACAGTACAGTAGATAGGGGGAGTACAGTATACTGTACAGTAGTACTGTACAGTACAGTTCAGCTATTTCAGTTGACCTCCACCAAATTCGGGGTCAGCAGGTTAATCAATATATAATTAATTATTAATAATTAATTAATATAGAGATATATATAATTAATTAATAAACGCTCACTTGGGTTAAAATATTGCTTTGCAAAGTTGAGCAGTCTTTTATTCTTTCTGAAACCAATCCATATTCTTTTTTTCGTAGCAGAACGCGTATTACTGTATTACGTTGGAGGTGCAAACAACAACGGTTCAGTTGATAAATTAACAGTTAAATAAAAAAGAAATAAGTTCAAATTACTAACTACTCGTATAAATTAATAACATGGTTATCGCAGTCGGAGATAAGATACCATCGTACCGATTACAGCAAGGCAGTCCTGGCAATAATGTCGACATCGCTGAACTTGTTGCCAACAAGAAAGCAATCATATTTGGTGTTCCTGGAGCCTTCACTCCTGGCTGCCACAGATCGCACTTACCTGGTTATGTAGCTGATTACGATAAGATCGTGGCGAAAGGTGTCGATATTATCATTTGCGTATCTGTTAATGATGCTTTCGTCGTTGATGCTTGGGGAAAAAGTGTCGGAGCAGAGAACAAAGTAGTCATGCTAGCTGATCCAGTCGCTGCATTTACCAAGGCTATTGGAATGGATCTTGATGCTACACCAATTTTAGGAAATATCCGTTCTAAGCGCTATTCCATGATTCTGTCCGACGGTGTACTTACAAACTTAAATGTCGAACCGGATGGTACTGGACTTACTTGTAGTTTATCCAACAGTATATTAAGTCAGCTTTAACAGTGGTAGTGAAGTCAGTGCTGCTATCGATTGTACGTATACTGCACTGTAGCTCAGTAGAATAGGCTAGCAAAATTCTGCTTTTGTACCGTGTCAAAGTTCCATTGTGATCAGTGTATAAGTTCGATGACAGCTGAATAGAATCTGCTCTGTTTTCGTTAATTGAAGACAGAAGGAGTCTGTTGGTGCGAGTGAAAAGCCTTTATCAGTCTCTGAGTGTCATTTTTTGAATAGGTGTGTTTGCTGACAGCTACTTGCCGATGTCTCTTAACTGCAATGAATCATCGTAGTTCTCTAATTTGTGTACGTTTCTGTTCAGCTTCAGCATTGACTGAAAGTACAGCATTGCAAGTACTGTACTCTTTTTACATTGTTCATGTTGAGGAATTATTATAAATTGCGGACTATAATGCATCAAAATAAAAAATTAAAAAGTGAAACATTGAATCCAGATTACTGAGCATTTAATTGAAAATCTTTTAGCCAGCAATTTTAGATCAGCAGATCGGATCATATTACCGATCAAATTTATAAGTTGATAACAAATTATATACTGTAACATAGATTGCTATACTGTATACTGTTCAGTACAGTAGAAGTAATTAAATCATCGTTAAACAGTCATCAACTCCTAATACACGCTATGCATCCTTGCCGTACAGTCTACAGTACTGTACAGTACTGTACTATGCTGTACCAGGCTGGACTGAACACTTGACTAGGACGGTCGGACATTGGGCCACAGTCATACCGTCTAATACTGTACTGTTCCAAACACCTCTATTTTGTCATATTGTATTGTATATATTGTAATGTTAGTTAAGAGGATGCTACGTTCTGTAATTTGCTTATTTTTCTAAATGAAGTAATACTTCATTGAAATCGATTTTATGTTACTAAATTCTACTTGAAAGCGATTATATAACATAATTATAGTTCTTGAATTAGCAAAAGTGATCAAGAAAAATAGACTCAAAAGATCCATACAGTAACTAATTTTTCGAGATTTTAGCCTCATTTGCTATAAAGCTCTGTCCGTCCGAGGGTGCCTTGTCCGTTCTGTCCGGTGTCCGTAGTCTGGATCATTTGCTGCAGCGCACTGTAGTCTCTGATGAGATGGTAGGTACGATTACACCTGATCCGGTAATTACACTTTACAAAAAAAAAAGATCTACAATTCAAGATTGAAATCTGCTCGATGAAAGATCTCAAAAGATAGATAGGATGCTCCTTACTCTATCAGATCAGCACAAGGATGACCTTCAGTATTTAACGACCGTTGACGTAGAAGGTTAGTACAAACCACATGAAAATTTCAATGCTATGTACTGTATCTTAGTACTACAAGCTTGAGTTAATAGTGTCAATCTTATTAACATGTTCTCCATGATAACCCGTAGTTAGTTATTACATCAATAATTATAATTAATATAGTATAATAGCTGACCGGTTAATGCAGTCTCCATACGTTATTGCTTATGAAGATTGCTAGCAACTGTAAATAGCTTACAACTATCGAACGCAATGGCATTTGTAGCCATTTCGTAGTGTCTTAGCTATTTAAGAATCCACTCGTATATACTGTAGAACACTTAAATTGATCCAATCAATAATAGACGTTGTGTGACAAAATAACTATATTGCGATACCAATCAAATCAGTCGACAAGCGTAATTCGTCCAATAATTATAGGCTACTCTAGTATATACAGTACATTGACAAATTAGTTAAATAAGATTTATTATACTGTATGTAACTGCAAGTATATGGAGATAGAATAATCACCCCTAAAATCTACTGTACCGTATTCGTTTAAGGTCTAGCACTTTGGAAGAAAGATGCTATTCTAATGGATAGCATTTTGTAAACTTGCATGAATGTCTTATCAGAAGATATGTTAATAAACTAATTATATAAAATCCTTCATCTTTAAAATATATTAATCATTCGAATCGCTGTTCATAAACCAAAAGTTTTTGAAGAATTCTGTCAAATTGCCTGTGCTACTGTACAAAATGGTCTAAACCCTAAAGTTTACCAAACTGCAGCCCGTGAGTAAAGACTGTCAAGTTATAAATTTGCATAGGTGTAATAAATGTATGAGCTCATATCGAATTCACGTATCCAAAATTGTAGTACACTATTTGTGGGAAGTTCTGTATTTGTATGCTAGCAGCTGCAAATCAACAACATGTTGACTGCGTTTGATACAAATTGTTTTCCTTTCAGAAAAATTAAATGTCCCCTCAAATACGATCAAAAATAGCGTTGGTGGACTTGTACATTTATTATTAGAGAGTGCAAAACTCGCGGTGAGTAGTTGACAAACCCAATTTATGTTGATGTCGTCTTTATCAATTGGGCCGTGCATATCTAGGCCTTTCATCTTATATGCGACGTTACCCTTTAAATTAATTAACAATTTAGCAATTGAAACGTTGTAATACCAGCTTGAACTATATTAGTTTACGATACGATAGCAGGGAATTTGAAACCTTAAATATCTCACTTAAATACAATATATCCGCTCGCATGACTGCAGAAAATTAATAATTTTAGGCAGTTGATTCACATAAATGATAATTTTTTGTTTGCTAGTTAAATGAGATCGATTTTCAGGATTCTGTCTTAACGCTAGGATTTAGTGAGGAGGCGAAAGAAACGTTACTGAAGGTATAGTAATAAAATCATATTCTTCTAAACAGTTCCAGCGATTCATACACTACCGTATTTATTAATGAGATACGAGTATATGCTAGCATTACTGAGTATTTCATAATATAAAAATATTTTGATTAATTGTATTGAAAACTGCAGGCGTATAAGCAAACATTGGATGAGGTCAGGAAAAATCTATCGAACGTTTCGCTGTCTTTACCTCATTATCGAAACTTGGAATGGCGATTTGATGTGCAGGTTGACTAATATAATCAGTTGATTGCTATAAATTTATACTGTAGTAACTAGCGTTTAATATACATATTATAATCTACAAAATATTTTTCCAGGTCGCTAGCCGAGCCTTAAGGCAACAGGTCGAACCGCGCATAGTTTTCAAGTTAAATGTAGTAGAAAATGGTAAGATAGCGCTCCTTGTTTTCGTAAAAATATCAACGTATTGTTTGCCGTTAAATGCTTGCTTTTATGTTATGCAATAGATACCGTAACTAGCGAATTGTTACAAACTGACATCAATAATCTCGCGCACATGGTTTCGAAATTGGAAGCTGCACTTGCAGAGATGAAAACTAATCACTGCCGTCGAATTCTACGTAACATCTAATGTATCTCTTTCCTTCTGTACGAATATTTCTAAATGAATACAAGCAATGTATTAGAATTTATACATAGTTTTTAAAAATATTTCACAAAAGCCGTGGTTAAGTTTGATGGTATGGTTGTGATCAAAGTCAAAACTACTGAATATTCAAATGTATATCATAGTGCCCTGTAATTCCAAATATAAATCATACTTTGAACTGCCAGATTACTTATTGTAGCACTACTCATGTAATTGTGTCTATTGTAGGTCTAAAATAATTATATTTTTATCCTTTATGTACAGTAATTAGTTTCGTATATGAAAATTACCGAATAAAATGCATTATGAGTTCATCAAAAAATATATAAGTTGTTTAATTTTGATATAAACACACTAAACCCTGTTAGCACAGTAAATAAATACAGTAACAGAAATTTTCGTGCAATATCATCATGTCACAAGGTAAATAAGAGTCTTAAAACAGTATCATACAGCGCTATAAATTAGAAATCTTACAAGAGTATCCTTAAGTTTAATTGTAAATGTACAATTTTTTATGAGTAGCCATTAAATTTTATAAATTAAACTTTTAGCAACTCCGTAGTAGAGTTCTATATATTTATTGCTATGATCTATCATAGTTACAGTAATATCATCCATAGCCATTGCATCTACCGATAAATTATGTACGATCTTTAGAACGACGTCGATAAGTATCCCTGTTTCTAGACCCATCAAACCTATCACGTCTAGAGTCTTTATCGCGCCTTTCGTTGAGCTTATAATCTCGATTCTTAGACCTATGCTGATTAGACTGATCGTCGTATGATGTAAATTTATCAGCACTTTTATATTCCGAAACAGATCTCTCCGGTTTTACTCTATTGTTTACTTCTTCTCGGTCTCGACTTTTATAATCATTATGGTCGGTTTTAAGACTCTTTTTCGAAGTAGTCTCTCTTTCATCCTTTCTTTTTCGATCTTTCTTTTGCTTTTTCTTTTTTACTTTTATTTCTTTCTCATCTTCTACCTCATCAACTTCGGATGATGACGGTGTCTTAGGTGCACAATTGGTACCCTTAATAATATTGCCATCTTCATCTTTTGGAGGTCGATAATTCTTTACGTGGTCAACACGTATTGTTCTATCAAGTAGCTACATTACATGAGGGCAAAAAAACAGTAATAATTGTAAAAGTTGTCCATATGTCCGGCTAAAAAACTCCAAGTATGCAATATACCTTAATTCCATTAAAATTATCAACCGCTAATGTAGTACTACGTTGATCTTCATAAGCCAAGAAGCAATATCCCTTTGTTTTACCGGTTTTTTTATCGCGTATATAATTAATATCAACAACTTCACCATATCTGTAAGACGTTAACGAGATAATTTAATTCATATTATTACAAATTAAGCAAAATAAATAATTAAGTTCACCCTAGATATTAATACAGTACTTGATAGAGATAGAGTGAATACGTACTGTGAGAAAACTGTAATTATGTCGCCTTCAGTTAGGCCGTAAGCTAGGCCGCCTAAGATTAAAGTATAGAAAGATCATAAATGTATGCATCACCAGCCAGTTAAAATACCATAGTTACATTTCAATGAAAAACTTCACATATGCTACGAATATGATTGAGAACAGGAAGAAGAGAGAGCTTAGTAATATCGTATAAATTTTCTATCTTTTCTAATGTTGAAGATTATACAAGTTTAGCTAAGCATAGTACATCCAGATCTAATCAATTGTATATACTACGGCAAAAATAGCCGTCTATTCCAAATTGAGCATAAGGGGAATAAAATTGCAACTTTAACACAGCACACCTAGAGGTTTATCAAGCTCCTAGTACTAATGATAACAATGATCGGTTCAATAATTGAATAGTAATTCAATGGATAGATTGCATGCGAATTCTGGATTAGATAATCAATACTTTAAACGTAAAAATTATTTCTTCTGTTGTATTTAGGTAATGAATTTAAACTTTCATAGGAACATTACAAATTACAGTAAAATTTTCTATCAAAATATCAACGAATTTCACAGCATGCAAAGTAAAGATTGAAGACTACTCTCAAAGTTACTTACTGTTACTTGTAACAAAGAGTAAGAAGGCTTCCACTCTACTATCGTTAAATCAGTAATAGAAATTACTCCTCTACATACGAGGGATTATTATTAATGATAGTATGCTCTCAATAAGACTTCTATTTTAGTTACATGCAATTACTACAGCTTTTAATCTCGAGCCGTAAACTGACTCAAATCCAATCAACCGATTGCGATATTCATACAGTAGTAGCAATTATACAAAGCACATACGTACATACGATCCAGTTAATAGTGTCAATGTACTCACAATTATTCCATTTATAACATAACATACCTATAAAAACATATGCACTTTCTTTATATTGATCGTGCCAAGTAGTGCTCTTGCTACCAGTAAGATGCAACTCTGTTTCGTTAATTTTTTGAATTGCCTTGACATTACTGATACATCAAGAGAGAACATCAACATTAGAAAACCCAACGATTACTTCTGCACTATCAATCTATCATGTCTATTTCAACACGAATTAGATATGACATAATTACAAGTATACTCTATAATGTGCTATACAGTGAAATAGTTATGTTTCCTTGGCTAAATAGCATTACATTAGACGAAATAACTCACTTCATGGTGATTCTTGTCGCATATAATTTTCCTTGAGGTCTTGAGATACTATATTTGCAAAGATTCGTGTTGGGTAGCTGTAGCTGCACCGTAGTATTTTTATACCTTAGTACAGTAGTACAGCATGATACTGTACACTGTATAATGCAGTATGTTATGAGTAATGCACTAGCAGCTGTCCTCGACTGCCGTCCGTACTGTACTAGGGCCAGATTATGAACGTACAGGTAGGGTTAGGGGAACTCGACTCTGCTGAATGTTCAAATATTCAACCATGGACTACTAGAAATTATAGCAGTAGATAAAAATTAAGGTATAATTTCTAATTTCTAGTCCATGGCGTTATAATATTTCACGTAGCGAGGCACAGATGGTAGTGATAGACGAAAGGAGTTTGAATGCTACTCTCAATGTAATAGAGTACAAGCAAATGTGCACCAAAACGAGTACCTTAATTTTTGCAAGCTTTTAAGCATTAAAATTAGTTGAACTAAAACGAGTGTACCCGTACATAATTACTTCCGTTAATCCTGCTTAATAGTATAAAATAAATAGTATGATATTGAACAGTGGAATATACACGATCGAATGTACATGAATATTAGTTTATTAGATGATCAAACTCAATTTGTAATACGAGCAGAACTACCGAAATTCGCCACTTCACCGTACTAACTGCGCCGTTTTAATCCTCCCTAGAAGCTATGAGCTTTTTCATTTAGATAGGCAGTAGCAATATTCTAATATTACATTCAAGGCGGATAAAAATCTTGTAATAAGTCATGTAAAATATGAATGAATTCTATTTCTTTTGAGAATGATACATAGTTAATGAAATAGGATAGACCTTTAATAAAATGCATTTATCGGTGAGTATACAGGATACAAACATGTCGGTATGGTATACTCATATGGTACACAAGTATTCTGCCGTAAAGGTGCATAATATCCTTTACATAGCTTATTTTAAATGTACTTACAATTAGTAATTGACTTTACGCTGAAATACTTTATCATTATTATTAATAATACATTCAACACGTTAACAAAATCCTACAGTATCTAATCTTTAGCATTGGATGTCGTTTTGTGCAACTAAATCCGTTGATTCATTTTCTTAATTTAGAACAGCCTATGAATTAATAATGCTGCATCATGTAGTTAACTTTATTCAAGAAAAACTGATTTTGCAAGGCAATCAATTCTTCACTTATGCTCTTTTCCTTGTCGTCACTTACGGGCTCAGCAGATAATTCCTTTGTATTATCTGTGTTGGTTTGCGACTATTAATGCAAATAATACAATGTATATTAGTGCAGTCCAAAAATCTTTACTTCATCATCGCAAAGCGGTAAAGAAATGGATTACTTATCATCTACTGGCAGTAACTACGACAAAGTCAAACTACGCCTATATTAGATTCACCTTTTATACAAATACAACCGTAATTTATTAGGCAAAAAAGTAATGAAATAAGTTTAATGACCGTAAACAAAAAGAAATGAATGGTAAATACTACTGTTCACATTGTATTAATATCTAACGTTTACATGATAATTCGTATTTATTACATTATGTGAATCATCTACCTTGCCGTATAATTCTTTAATTTCACGATATTTCCACTCCCTATAATTAATTGTCGAATAGCAAATGTTTTAATATCTAACGGCAGCAGATTTATCAAGATACCACCAAAAAAATTTTCAATTTCTATTTCAATATGGTGTTCTATGAAAGTACAATACCCATATAAAAATACCTACATGGTAACATTCTAGCGTACGATAACACCAAAATGCAACAAAGATGTACGCTGTCAAATTGATTATAGAATTTACACACCTTAACGATAGTACCCTTAAATATAACAGTAAAAAATGCCGGGATATCGTATTAATAATATAATATAATTTATGGTTTCTATTTGGAAAACTATAACTGATAATAAGTTATCTGAAATCCTGCAACAATTTTACTATCATAATCACTTTAAATTAGGAATCTACCAATAAATAAATTATGAAACGTATGAGAATTACTGCATAGATGACGATATTGTTTTTATAAATCTTGTACCAGGCAATACAAAATAGTAAGGAAATACGAGCAGGATCATATGAATTTCGTATTACTACATCATAAAGAAAATCTCAAATACTCTTTAATTTATATCAATCCTTTGATATTAATAAATAATAAAGATATCATATGAACGCTGCCTTAATGATTTGAGTAAATAAAAGCAAACATACGTATGTAAATCGTTTACCATAGTTTTATAGCTCGACGTTCAGCCCTACAAGACTCTTTCCATCGTTCATCTTGTCGAGTAACTGAATGATCGTTTGTACCAACTGCAGTGAAAGTTCCAACCGTATCGGATAAGGTTGAACATTCTGAAAGTGAAATAGACAACCTATCGGAATCAGCTGTATTAACTGCCTTATTCTGGAATTTGGAAGATTGCCCTTGCATTTCGCTTAAATAGCCACTTTTTGCTACTGCTTCAAGTTAAAGATTAAAAGCATAACTATTTCCTCTGCTGATTATTAGTTAGAATTACATATTACATTATGGTAAGCACCATAGTAGCCAAATTATAGTATTACTTACCTGAAATTGTGTAAATGATTTTCCTGCCTTAAAATGATATTAAAACGTACCTCTTAAAGCAATAAATTGAAATATTAACTGAAATTCTAACTCTCATACAAATATAACTTTTGAATTACGTGCGAAAGAAATCACCGATGTTTGTGATGTTATAACTTATTATCCTATAACTAAGTAACCAATGTAGAGTAAATGAATTACTTTACTGAGATTCCGATTTCTTAAAAGTCATCAATTTCATCTCCTAGGAAACGTTGTTTAAATTATTAGCTTTTATGACTATCAATTTACCTATTTTTATATACAATTAGCAATGCTTAATGG